AGTGTGAAGACTCCAGGTTGAGTTTACAGCACTAAAGTTCAGTAAATCCACTTTTCTATGCAGAAGTGAAGCCAAAGGGCAGCAGATACCAAGCACCGTGTTTCCAAATTTTAGAAAGGGAGTTGATTTTCATGAAAAAAAAAAAAAAATTGGTAAAAATACATACGTGAAGTTCTACCTTCATTCAATTACTGCCCAAGGGCAGTTGCATTGCCTCTGCCCCCTGAAACTAGTTCATGCCCCATCCTGAGCCCATTTAGACCTCTCAATCACACCACAGTGCATTTGTACCACAGCACAGAAACCAGCAGGATAAAGCTACACAGGACAGTAGAGTGACATGGTTAAGTCATATTATTGTTATTGCTAATTTGTTGTTGCTGTGTGCAGTTACCATGTCATTAGTGAGAGCTGTGGATGGGGACCCAGAGAACATTCCCTGTGCCAGGATAAACCCTCTGCAGAGGTACTTTAGTCCCCTTAAGGCCAGTGCCTGCATAGCTGTTGAAGACACTGCTATTGCAGCACAGCAGTCTCCCATTGCTATAAAAATTCTCCACTGTGCATGCAAGGTTCTTTTGACACTTACAAACCCTTTATTCTAGTGGCAATCAGAAGTCCAATCTTTTGCCTTTTTTTTTTAACCCTGTCTGTTCCTGAGGGATTGAGCACTGGAGGGACTGTTCCTGAGCACTGAAAAAAAAAATAACCTGGTTTGGTTTCACCACCTCAAGTCCATAGAGTAAGAACCCCAAAAACCATCTGCTGCCTCTGTCCAGGGTGCACACTGAGCCCAGCTGGAGCCAAGGGACAGGGAGCAGGTGACACAGGACAAGCAGGTCATGCCAAGGTCCAAGGCAAAGACCTTTAATCTACTTAATTGCCAATTAATTATTGCTCCTTTTAGTCAAGACAATAAGTGAAAACAGAGAATGAAGTTTGGCTCAGATTCTTTAAAAAAAAAAAAATGCTACAAAGAAGGTAATTAAATGCTTTTATTGCTGGAAAAGTTTTTGCAGTTGAACTTACCAAGGACTGGAAATTCCTACCTTGCTCCACCACATCTATAAAGTAGTTTTCCCCTACCCTCCTACCAAGGGAAAATGTCCAGCTATAACTGGGGAGCAACGGGCTCATGAATGTGCCTCGTGGTGGGAAAAAGGACTCCATATGCAGTGGGGACACAGTGGGGTTGCAGAGGGGACTGTGCTCCTCTCTGCTGTGAGGTGCCAGGCTGGGCTGGGAGGAGCAGCTGGCATAGCACAGGAAGGGACACGCAGGAGATGGGGATGAGGTGCAGGGAGACAGAGATGAACGCAAACACCAGTGGTGCCAGGCAAGGAAAGCCAGACTGAGACATGGACAGCCCTTGGTAGTGACTGCTGACGAGGAGGTTGGGGCCACATAAATCTTGATTTCTTTGTTTTCCCCTCATCAGCACAAAGGAAACAAGATACAAGTTGTTACGCAACTTTGGAACGAAGCCAGCTTTATGAAACATGGCATGCTGCCTTCCTGCCAGAAAATGCTGCCTTGGGTCTCCTCCTGCGCTCCTTGAGATAAGGCTCTGCCCTCCCCTGCCTTAACTCTCCCTGGCCTTTGGCCTTCCTCCCTTCCCTCTGCTCCCAGCACTGATGGTTACATTTTTTGGCAGGGCCCTTTGATAAACACAGTGGGGTTCAGCAAAACCTTTAATCACCCACCGAGAGCCCTTCAGCCTCAACGCTCGGTGAAGCACATTTCATGAATGTCCTTCACAAATAGCAAGAGCAAAGTGTTAGCCTGAAAGCAGCAAACTCCTCAGACTGCACAGCCCCATATCTTACAAGATCTGGTACATTTGTGAAGCCGTGGTCAGGAAGTGGCATTATGTGCTGATCTGTGTCACCTGCAGCGGCCACTGACGGCCCCCTGCCCTCTCACCATGAGCTCCACGTCCCCGCTCCTTCCCCTGCCCAAGACCACGAGCTGGTGAGAAGTTACACATTTTGCTGGAAGGCAAAGCTGCTGTGAATGATTGGGTAGCAGTGTTGGTGGTTGGTCTTAGCGTGTGACAGATGCCAGGCAGCTTATTCCTCAAGCAAACACAGTGAGATGCCTCCTTGTGTTGCAGGGCAGAGCTATGCCAATTTTCCCATGGTAAATTGTCCCAGTATTTAAGGCACATAGGGACCATTGGGGTTATCTAGTTTTTGCAGGAAACACAAACTAAAGGATTAATCAGTGAAGGAGCTGCTGGAGCTGTGTGGTAAGAGGGGATGAAGTACCAAAGGTGAAGCCATCAATGACTATAGCTTGTGAACCCTTCAGAGCTGTTAGCTCTCCTTCCTGGAATTTCCATATTGCAAATAATGGACCAAAAGAAATAAAATGAGATGGGCTAATCTGCAGTACCTGTGCTTCTCCTCATGGGACAGCAGCCTGCCCTGGATATCTTTCTACACATGGTATGCAGTAAGACCACTGAGGTTTTTCCTGACCAACCAGCTAAAACATCTACCTAATTATACTCTGGGCAGACTGAAAACAACAAATGTAGATCTGTCAGCATGTTTTGTCTCACCCTTTTAGGAACAAGTCTCTGAGGTTTTTCAGAAACCATTTTTAAGAGGCTTTTCCTCTCCCTTCCCTTCCAAGTGGCCTAGTTACTTTTGTTGGATTAAAGTGCAGTCAAGCATTACAAAAGCAGGGATATGTTTAGTTTCCAGCCCAGGTTCTAATTTGTGAGTGGTCATTCCAGTTGTTTGTCCTTCTATAGGACTGTAATTGCTTTTTATCAGCAGAGTCCCATCTGCTGAGGATTTGCTGGGCAATGCCCTGGCTGTGAGATACGCCCTGATATTGTGCTGCAACATGAGATTATGAGGAGCTGCCATTCCTGAATTATGTGATTAAAAGGAACACAGTAGGTGATGAGAGCTACAGGACAACTACACAAAGCTCCTTGAGAATGCTGGACCCTGTCTTTAATCAGAGTCCAGAAAGGTATCAACAAAAACCAGTCTGCAGGGAAAGAGCAGAGCCTGTGACTGGCACAGCATCGCTTCCTAGAACCTCAGAGGAGGAATGCATGTGGTTAAACCCCGGGACTTCAAAGGAATAAGATGAAGGAGGGTTCAATGCTAGCAAAATTGAAGGTTTTTATAGGATATAAATGGCTTTGTGTCTCATCAAAAGGGTAGAAGTCCCAGGGGTGGAACAAATGATAGAGGAGGTTTTGGAGAAGAGACAGAGGAAGCCAAGTCTGAAAGAAAAAAGTGAATAGATAAGAATGAAAGGAAATGGATGGTGAAAATGGGGTGCAATAAGGTCTTCTAAGGCTTGCCAATACTCTTGAGAGTTAATAGGTATTTCCATTTTGTGGAGCTTTAAAGCCTTGGGTTTATGATATAAAAGAGAGAGACCCAGAGAGACCTACACAGGCAGTTGTTGTCTGCAGGAGACTGTCCTGGCAGTAAATCCAGAGACACTGCTTAATCTGCGAGCAAAACCAAATACAAAGACCCAAATGCACAAGCAAAGTTCAGCAAGAGCAATGTGAGACCACACTGTAATAATTTCCTTCTCTTGCCTCAAGTCCAAGTATACAAAAGCAAACTACCCAGCCAGTCATGCAAGAATGAGGTTTGAGGAGCCTTTTGGCCTCTCTGTTTCGAGGCTGTTTGACAGTACACTGTGGCAAACCTCACCCCATCTCCAGAGGCATCAACTGCTTCCCCGTTTTAGGTTGAATGTGATGATGTAAAATAGCAAAGGAGCAGCAGTGGGGGTTGGCACAGTGATGGGGACGGCTGCTGCCAGCGGGGCAGAGCTGCAGGGTCGTGATGATGGGGGGAGCAAGAGGCAAGAGGGAGCTGGAGAGTGATAGACACAAAGGGTTGGGTTGGGGTCCAAGGGAGGGTAAGAAGGTTGCTGAAGTCTTGCTGTCTCTGAGTGGTAACCTGTGACAGGTACAGTGGAGCAGCTGAAGTTCACTGACAGTCACCTGTGTTTGAAAAACAGACGGTTTGCAGTGTGTTGGTGTTCTTAGGTCTCACCGATTTCCGTCACGGTGTCCCAAAGTGAGCTGGGAGACAGCTAGTGTTTAATCCCTACTGAAAATGAATCAAAACAGGAAACCCAGCTGGTTAGCTTGCCTCTGAAGAGCAAATGCACGTGTAGTGAATTCTGCAGAAGCATCAGATACTGAGCCTCAGCTCCGCTCCCACCCACTGTGTGCAGGCATCACCTCACCCCTCTCTTGCAAAAGCTCAGTGCCACTGGCCAAGGAGCTGTAGGGTGAGAATCCCATAGGAAATAGGTACTGAGGTAGCTGGGATATTTGGATGTCTTTTCTTCTCATACCCATTCCCAACTGCCCATACTGTGATCAAGATATCTGGCATATGGTGAATAATAACACAGCAGAGGCTGCCAGAAAAAGAGCTTTGTGAGAAAGTTTTTGAGGATATTATTTATTTCAAAATTTCCTGTTATTTTTTTCTTAGCTGAAGAGCTGGACAAAACAAAAACAGAAAAATGTTGTGGTCTTTGGAAAACAGATGCAGTAAAAATGTACATTTTTGATAAAATGCATAGTTTTGAAATGCTCAGTACTCAAACTTTTTTTAACAAATTATTTATTGTTTTCTATCTTTTATGAAAGAGTAGTGTTAGTAAACTAAACATGTAAGGAAAACAGACCTTTTTGCTTAAAAGAGCACTTCATTTTGTTGGAAGAAAAAAAGTAGAAGCTGAATTTCAACCAAAGTTTTTGACTGGTTCTCTAAGAATCCTTGTACTGAAGTGAAGTATATATATGTGCATATATGTATGAGTATGAGCAAAACATGCAAGGTGCCATATATGAGATGCTTTGTACTTTTAAATGTCTTATATAATCAGTTAATTTGCTTCTGCTCCATTAAAATTAAATCTCCCACGGACATGACAGTCTTGTCTAATTATTCACTTAATGCACAATCATTAGCATCAACCAAGTGCTTTTCTCTGTCTTTTAGAAAAAAAGGACTTTGAAGGGTTCTGTGGAACTTTCCAGGATTAAATGTGTGGAAATTGTGAAAAGCGACATCATCATTCCCTGTCAGTATAAATACCCTTTCCAGGTGAGTCTGTCTGTTGACCATACTGAAAGAGATATCACTTCTATATATTTCAATAAAATTCTCCCTCACAGTGCAGTTGTTAATGAACCCAACACCAGGGTGAATAACAATGAAGGGAGAAAAAGCAGATTGAGGTTGGAATTGAACTGGGGAGTCAGAGTGTCACTACAAGATCCATAAACCCTTACACTCATTAGCTTTAAATTGGAAAGGATCATTAGACAGAATGCTATCCCATGTTTAACACAACATTCAGCTGTCCCACCGACTCATGTTCAGAAAAAAAACATCTTTCACATGGGGAATTCACTCAGGATTTTGTCCATTTTAGCTGTGTGGTACTGAAACTGAATACACATGAAATGAGTGATTTTGGGCAGCTGCTCATGCTCATGGCTACATCTTTGGGAGACCTGCTTACTGCATATTTTGAAATCTGCCTTTGATTGTCAAAACATTATACAGACCTGACAATAATATCAATAGGAGTGACTTTGGTGGGAGTTATTTCTCCCTTTTTTCTATTTTATTGCTCTGTAGCATGCAAAGCAACTGCATCACTCTTCAAGGACTTCAGACTGAGATAGAAAATGTTTTCTGTTCTTTAGACAATAATCAATATTGCCTTATCTACACCTCTTTAAACTTTAAAAATCAGCTACTGTCTTGTAGAATCCTCTGTTTAAAGACAGTGGTCAAAGTTTTTCAAAGCATTTGTGAATCAATGAGCCCAGGTCCCATTTGGCATGAAATTGCTGAGCTAAACATTGAAAGAGAACTGTAGATTATGCATTACATCAAATATTAGGCCCAAATATAGTAATTTGATTCAGTTTCTGATTCATTTCCGTTCTTGTGATGATTTTACTCCCTGGTCTGAAACTTCACAAGCTTTCTGTATTTCTCTCATTTGTTTGTTTGTAATTAAGTGAAGTTGATGAAAATGGCTTCTGGATTGCTCATTGTTCATCTGCTCCAGCTTCTTACTTCCCCTCTATAAACCTACTGAAAGATATTAAATACATTGAAAAACAAGAGTATTCAAATAATCTCCAGGGAGTTGCTTGAGATTTATACTGACACACAAAAAAATTTGGCTCTTAGATCTCAAGTGAAGGTATCTTATAAGGAATTGCTAAAAAACTCCATTTTCCCAGAGAAATGGAGTTTTAGAAGGATAAACTGCAACCAGTGAGTAATGGGCTAAATCCTCTGCAGGCTGGAATTGCTCCATCTCTGTTGATTTCACAGGCATTTCTTAACAGCATAAAAGTGATCTAAAACAGTGCTTGTCTAGAATTCTTTCTTGATAAGAATTTCCATTCCATTTTAAATAGCAAAAAGTGGATGAGCTTAAGAGATGCTTCTGAACAGGCCCTGTCACTCCACTTCCCCACATCATCATTTTGTATGTAACTTGTTGGTAAGAGGGCTGCTGCCTGTTTCCTTTGGTGACTCCATTGTGCCCAGAGTATCTGGGATTGCTTCTCATGGCTGGCTCCCTTCTTTACTCCCCTCTCCAGATTGTCCACGATAGCTACATACTCTACGTGTTTGCACCCAACCGTGAGAGCCGGCAGAGATGGGTCTTCACACTGAAGGAAGGTAATAAAACCCCTGTGCACACCTACTCGTTGAAGTTACTTATGTCTGACCGGTTTTCTCACAAGCTATAATGCAGAGAAAATGTGCAAGAGGAGTCAATGTCTTGTATCTGAGCAGGCAAAGTGGTAATGGGTTATAAACTCAAATTGCTTGTAAATTTGGTGGGTGTGTTTTCAGCAGCAGTGGAAAATGTGGACAGGGAGTGCTTTATTTGGGGGCCCTATCAATGTCTGTAAGTGTTTGAAGGGAGGGTGACAAGAGGCTGGAGCCAGGCTCTGCTCAGTGGTGCCCAACAATAGGACAAGAGGCGATGGGCAGAACTGACGCACAGGAAGTTCCACCTGAACATGAGGAAGAGCTTTGTTCCTGTGCAGTGACCGAGCACTGGAACATATTGCCCAGAGAATCTCCCTCACAGGAGAAATTCCAGAACAGTCTGGGCACAATCCTGTGCCCTGTGCTCTGGGATGACCCTGCCTGAGCAGAGGGGTTGGACCAGATGAGCCGCTGTGGTCCCTTCCAACCTGAACCATCCTGTGATTCTGTAATTTGAGGTTTCTTATTCAGCAACAGACAAGCATTTTACTGCGGCTAATTTTTTTAAATAATCCTTTCTACATAAAAGATTTTTTGCCTCTTATTAATAGATTTGTTTGTTTGTTTGTTTGATGACAATCTTCTTAGAGAATCATGACTATTAAGAAACATTTTTGCGGGCAGCTTTCATTTCCTGTTCCCCTCCTGAATTGTGCTGTGGTTCGCTGCCGTGGTGCTGAAGAGAAGGCACAGCACTGAACCACTGCAGGCAGACACGAAGCACAATGCTTGATGTAAGGGTGGTGTTACTTAGTTACATGAAACTGCACCAGGCTTCTGTCACAGCTTTTTCCTGCTTTATAGCATAAGCTGCTGTATTGTTCCCTCTGAAAACATTGGGCCTGATGGAGGTGTTATGAAGTTCATGCAACTGACTCTTGCAACCTGCTCCAAGCTTCTACTTCATCACCTCTTCTCATTCAACATTTTGAGACTGTCCCCTCCCTTGGACAATTTGAACAGTCTCTTGAAACAGGCCTGAAGAATTTTTCTGTTCATGAAAGTTATGATTACAGATAGAGAGCCTGAGTTTAAAAAAAGAACTTTAATCACTCGTGCAGATATTCAAGACTGGTATTTACAAGTGCAAAAAATGTTTAGTGCTGGTGAATGCCAGCTTGTACAGCTCCTTCTGAACACCAAGACAAAATAGCAAGTGTGCTGGGAATCATCAATATATGGCCTGAAAGGTTTTATTTCTTTTTATGTGACCTTCCTTCCCTGGTTTTGGTGTTTTATCATTTTAAAGAGTCATACTGGTAGGATTCTGTTCTACCACAGTAGAGAGATAAGGGCTCCACCATCACCTGGGAGGCTGTTCCTCCACATTGATGGTGGCATTCACTCCTTCTGGGAGAAAACAAAGAAGACATTAACGGAGGAGGTTGATAATATTCACCAAAGCTTAGTTTGACAAGAATAAGAAGTTTCTTTAAAGTGCAGATTATTTCCATTTAGTTCTAGATGTCTTTTAGAGCTGATGTGGATGCAGATAAATTAATTTCCCCCCTTCTTCTTCCCCTAATGTTTTCCAGAAACTAGAAACAACAACAGCTTGGTTTCAAAGTGTCATCCAGATTTTTGGTTAGATGGCAAGTGGAGATGCTGTGCTCAGACAGAGAAGATGGCACTTGGCTGTGTGGAGTATGATCCCTCCAAAAATGGTATGGGATTTGTTAAGACCATCCTGACCTTGCAAACATTTATTCCTAGTGAAAGTAAAGGATCAAATCTGTCTTGTATAGAACATCAAAAAATATGGTGTTACATTTCCATCAAGAAACATGTTGCTGCAGGACATCCTATTTTGTTCTAACCATATTTCCTCTGTGGCTTCAGTGGCCAAGAGTAATCCTGACTTTGTCTCTTGAAAACACATATAAGTGGTAAATCATTCCTCACCCAATAAACTTTTGCCTTGTATCTCGGTGATTCCTTAAGCAATCTGAACCCCAGTTTCAAACCCCTGCTGTGTGACTGAGATTCACTGTGTAGGTGCAGTTGGCATGTCTCGCTCTAAAAGTCCAAGGCTTGCTATTCACTGGGTTTGTATCACTTGTATCCATTCAGTACATTGGTGGTTTCTCCACTGGTTTTGTCCTGATCAACTTCAAATTATCTTTCTTGATTTAATTTCAGCCTCAAAGAAGCCTCTTCCTCCCACTCCTGGAGATAACTGGGTGAGTGCAGTGAGGCATGTTAAGCTGTCCTTAGTGTCCTGTCCTGTGTGATTAACTACCAGTGGGGGATGTGTCCTCATTAAGGTTCACCACAGTGCAGTGACCTAGAATTTCACCTGTGATAACATTCCCTGGGCATTTTCTGTGCAACTGAAATTTTTATATGAAATTCATTGTTTGAAAGTGGTAAAGATTCTCACATTGCCACCATACCCCACTAGATGCTCTGGAGTGCTTTCCTAGCCTTGAGACTTTTGAGCCCAGAGGACACCAGTGCTGCCAGGAAAATATCATTTTAGAGAGTATGCCATTGGTTTTTATGAATATGATGAGCCTTTTGCCTTGTTTGTGCAGGAATTGTTTCTATACCCCAAGGAAGCCTTGGTCATAGCCATATATGACTATGAAGCCCAGAATCCACAGGAGCTGACTTTACAATATAACGAGGAATATTATGTGATTGACAGCTCTGAGGAACATTGGTGGCTGATTCAAGATAAGAATGGGTAAGTCCCTTTTCAACAGCCAGTTTACAAATCCTTTCTAAATCCAATTTGTTCTTCCATTAACACACATGCTGGCCCTTTGTTCAACTTTTGCGAAGCATCTTCTAACATACAGGGAAGAAGTGATGGAAGGTTATGTAGGTTAACTGTCTTCCCTTTAATGTTGCTTGTATTCAGGCAGCTGGAGAAAAGTGAATTTTAAAGAAATAAACAGTCCTTCTCTCAGGCTGATATTTGCTGTGATACACATAGGGGAAAAAATTGTGAAACTCCCCAGAAGTTTAGAGGTGCAATCAGTTGTTTTCTTCTCCAGTAACCCTGCTAAATACATAACAACCAGCACTGCTATCATGCAATGAGCAGGCAAATCTTTCAAGGCTGACTCCTACAGATGCAGAGAAAACCCTGTCTGTCAGCACACTCACACTGTGTTGCATCTCAACAGGCACGAAGGCTACGTGCCAAGCAGCTACCTGGTGGAAAAATCACCCGAGAATCTGCAAATGTATGAGTAAGTTGTGCCTATGTTTTTCTTGTACCTCTGAGTGCCCTGGATTTGAAGCTCCAAGCCTCAAATGCCCCTACTCCAGACCACATGTCAGTGCTGGCCCTGGGGACACTCAATTCAGCTTTTCAGCAGAAACCTCCCTAGCCTGGAAACGCTGACTCAGAGTCTTCTGATGCTTTCAGGTGGTACAACAAGAACATCAGCAGAAGCAAAGCAGAAGCTCTCCTCAGGGATGAGGTAAACCAGTGTTATGTATGAGGTGGATGGGAAATACTAATTAATTAATGACAAATGAAGCCTGCAAGGGCTGCTATGTGTAAGAGAGCTGAACCCTGGGTTCCTACTGCATTACTGGCCTTAGTGTGAGATGCCAGATAAAGGACCACCAGCACCACCCCCTTACCTCCATGTTTGCTGAGCATGGGCAGAGAGCTGTGCCAACCTGCTTTAGCCAAACTCACACAATAACTGTGGCTAGCAGAAAACACTGCTTCAGAACACTGTGTCAATTGAAAACCATGATATTAGCACATCTTTTCAGTCTCTGCAGAAGGCCTGTGGATGCCATTAGTTCTCTGAAAATTTAAGTGAAATCATGCTGAAATATTTTGGATAAAAGCCAAAAGTATGGGTTTGGAGTTTGTTTTTAGTTTTGTATGTCTGTGTGCATGTGAGCACACATCTTTAATTTTTCAGTTGAGCCAGAGTTTTCCAGTGAAAACTGTATTGAAAATATAAAGAATAACCTTCTTGTTCAGATTTTCCACACAAACACAACCTCAGTTTTTAAATAAGCTCTTATGCTAACAGGTGACCCAAATAGATGTTGTTGCTTGGAATGACAGTATTTTATGGAAATAAAAGTGGTTTTGTGTGGTTTTAAAAATTCTTCTAGCTCCTATAAACTACTACAGGACATGTCCACACACGGTTTAATATCTTATCCTTTTTTTCCTCTTGGTCCTACCAGCACAACTTTTCTATGGCAACTACCCTCGTGTGGCTGCAGAGGCTTCTGGTTCAAAGCTTTGCAACCCTCACAGCTCCCCCAAAAAATGTGGCCAAGCTTGAGAGTGATCTTTGGCCAGGCTTGGTATCAAGTGAGAAAGAAGGACAAAAATATAGCTTAAAGAAACTCAGGCAGGATGCTGTCACCAAAACTTGCCTACCTTCGATACTTGCCAGGGAAATGAGTCCTGAAGCCCTCACTGTGCATGATATAGATGCTTCTACAGCAGCACAGAGACCCTTTTCAGAGCTTCCCTGTGCTGGATATTGCATTGTGCAGATACTGGAGCTGATCAGTCCTCTGGGGAGGTGGGAAGAGGTCCAAGGGAGGGTGCACTTGGTGCATTAGGTTTCCATGAAGTGTTGTGGGTGAGTAGAAGGCATATAAAATGGAGGAAACCTACCATGTAAAGCAAAGGAGGGAATGAAATAATCAGGCACTTGGGATGCCAGATGAAAAGCATCTTTATCTGCAAACAGAAGTAAAACGTTTTTATTATCAATATATAGGCCAGTGCAGCAAGTTCCATCAAAACTATGATGTTAAACCTCCTCCACTGCCATCGGATCCATCAGTGTCTGGCCCTGCGGGATCATGGCCTGAGACATGTTAGCATTGAGATGAGTAGAAAACAATCATAACGAAAAGTTAAAAAGGAAAATTATTCTGTGAGTGCCAGAGTGCAGGAAGCTTTCCTACACATTTATGTTTAGATACTGGATGACTGGTGTACCTATGAAAGGGCAGCATCATGTCCAAGCTTTTCCCATTTGTGATACGTTGGTAAATTATCTTTCATACACTCCCATATGGATTCTCTTGTGTTGATAAACTGTGCTCTCATTCTGTAGCTGCTCAACAGAGAGCACTCAGAGGGGTTTGCCTTTCCACTCGGATGCACATTTCATTGAACACATGTTCTGTCAAATAGGGTTGAAGGCAATCAATGGGTTCAGAATTTCTAGGAGAGGCTTGGAGGGACAGAGAGGCACAGCCACATGAACTCAGCACAAGTGCCTAAGTCTCATTTCCTCTGAGAGCTCTGAGAGGAAACTGAGCTAAAAGCACAGAGCACCCAAGAGACACCAGTGGGGTGTACCTGCAGGCCCTGGGCAGCCACCAGAGCTGTGCGTGGGACACCCCAAGCTCTGTCAGTGGGCTGAGGCTCTTTTTTTCCCTACACGTTTAGCACATCCTCATGACTGAGCAGTTGACAGGGCTGAAATTAGCACAGCTTTGCCCCCAGCCTGCTTCTTTTTTTCCATTATGTCTCTAACCAGTTTTCTCTCCTTTGCTCCTGTTCCAGGGTAGGGAAGGCGCCTTCATGGTGAGAGATTCGAGGCAGCCTGGCATGTACACAGTCTCTGTTTTCACCAAAGCATTAAGGTACAGCTGAGCTCAGCAGCTTTTCACATCAATTACATCAATGAAACGGCTTCTGTGAGTGTGTAATCTCTGTATAGTTGTTTTGGCATTATAACGAGAGAGCAGAAGGCTCATGAAAATGATAGAGGAAAACACTTCCAAAAAAGGCAGAGAGTCAGCTGCCAGTCGCAAAGTGTTTTAAAGGCTCCACTTCTCCCTGCATCTAAATATGTGCCTATAAATAGTGCCTTAGACATCACTGGGGTTGTAATTCTGATGAAATTGTCCCCACAGCTGAAGTGTCCATGGGATAAACATGGACTGTGTGCTGGACTCATCAGAGGTGGGTAGCACAAGATTAGTGAAAGGGTTTCAGTAATGGGGCAGAAGCTTTTGTTTCACAAAGAAGAGGCAGAGAAACTTATACTTAACCTTGTCTTATCAGGAAACCTCAGCCTTTCTAGAGATGAGACCATCTATGAGTGAAAAGGAAAACATACAAGTACACAGACTTAATTAGCAACTGCACTCACTCCTTGCTCCTCTCCCATTCATTCCGGGGGAAGGTTTTCCCCTTTTCTCACTTGCTACTCTTCTGTTTATACCCCAGATTCCTGTCTTTGTGCTGCAACCTAGTTTTCCTCAAAGAAAACCTCCTCTCTTTCAGCACAGACAACAATCCTGTTATAAAGCATTATCACATCAATGAGACAACTGACTTTCCCAAGCGGTATTACTTGGCAGAAAAGCACGTGTTTGACTGCATCCCTGACCTCATCAACTACCACCAGCACAATGCAGGAGGTGAGTGAAGGCCAAAGCTGACCAGGGAAGTTGTTGGGTTACCCCATGCAGCCAGGTGGCTGTTTTGAGTGAAGAAAGGCTCCCAAGCACTCTGTCCTCACAATGAAATGTTAAATGGCATCATCTCTTCTTCCACTTATCCGGGCACTTGGATGGCAGAAAAATGACCATTTCAGTCCAGTTTCCACTTCCAGCATTACATCTTCACTCTAGTTGTCCTTCTAAGGCTGACTGTGGCCAACACAGATGCCATAATGACATACCATGGAGAGCCCTGGAAGTGGATCACCACTGCCAGGCCAAGCTACCTGTTTGAATTACACAGCAGGGCCTTCTTGCCCTGGAGGTGATATATCTCTGGACCTTGATTTGACACAAAGTCAGGGACATGGCCAGGACCCATAGCCAGACATGGGAGTCACCAAAGACTCCCATCCCTACAGTGCAGGAGTACTACAGGAAATCCTAGACTTCAAAAATACCCTAAAAATAAAAGGTATAATTTGGAAATTCATCAGAATTAATAGAGACTCACAGCTCACATTTGCTGACAGAGCAAAAATGAAAACTAAGCTGAAACTGCTCAGAATTGGCTTCCTTCTCACAGGCAGGAAATCAGTCTGAGCAGTTCAGCTGCCCTCAAGTGGAGCTGAGAATTCAATACAATAAACCTTCTTTGAGTATCCAAACTGCCTCCTGGGGTAGTGACAGCCACACTGCCCATGGCTGTGACAATAACTGGGACCCCCCTTTCCCTCTGTCCCCCAGGTCTCGTCACTCGGCTCAGGTATGCAGTGTCTTCGTGGAGAAAGAAGGCCCCGATCACTGCAGGGCTGAGCTATGGTATGGTACCCTCATGACTGCATGGGAATCACATTCCTCCCTGGTTAGCTGGCTGATCCTGCATATCCCCGTGGATGTTGATGAATATTCATGTGACCATAGCCATAATAAATAGCTTTCTCCAGATCTTTACACTGCACTGTTCACTAGATTATCATCTTTGCCATTACCATTGGTGACTGACCCGACAATGCAGGGCCTTGAGGGAGTGATGAGAATCCCAGGGTCTCAATGAAGTCAACATTAAATACTAAAATGAATGCTGAACAAAGGGGATGGGAGTGGGATCACAGCACAATTTGATGAAAGCTGAGTCTCTCCTGAAAGATGCCTCCATTTGAGTATTGTTGTCAACAGAATTTTTGCTGGTATCATCCTTATTGTAATTCTTGGAGACATCAAAGAAACTCAAACCCCATGTTGTGCTCAGTAGTGCACATATGTATGGCAGAAACAATCCTTCCTGAAGAACTGGATAGACAAGACAAAGGAGGGGTAAAAGGGGATGTTGTTGTTCCTACTCTTGAACATGACCTGCAGCATGGGCTAATCAAATGAGCTATCAAAGGTCAGACAGGCAATTTGAGGGAGAGACAGAAAGTCTCACACCACGTCCTATCTCCCACAAAAGCTTTTTGTTTGACATCCTACTGCTCAATCCTTACTCTTTCCCCCTTACAATCAACAGGGAAATTGGTCATTAATGCCTCTGAGCTCACCCGTGTGCAGGAGATTGGCAGTGGTCAGTTTGGGGTGGTCTACCTTGGCTACTTGCTGGACAAGACAAAAGTAGCCATAAAGACCATCCGTGAGGGAGCAATGTCTGAAGAGGATTTCATTGAGGAAGCTAAAGTCTTGATGTAAGTAGCAGATTCACCAAGAAAATCAGCCACTGTGGGATTCGTAAGATTGAACTAAAGTGTTGCCAGGAATATGAATGGGGAATTCAAACTTTGATTATCTGCTATGTATCTAAGTAGTAGAGACAGGTGAGCTCTGGCAGCTACAAAGGAAGGCAATTCAAAGTGTAGGTGAATTATTGTGCTTTGAAGTCTATCAATATCCAGAATGTTCTTCCAGATCTCTGCTGCTGAAGAAGGCAGGGTTCACTGATAGTACATTTTGGAAAGCAAAGTGGTTTTTGTCAAAAATAATTAGATGGAGAAATATCTTACAATTTGAGGGAAATTTTACTGAAAATCTTTATCTGTAAAAGTTTTTTTGCTTTGCACAACTGAATATATCCTCTTTGGTTTTATTGACTTTATTTGTATTTGTTGCATTTCCCTCCCTTCAAAGCAAACAGAAATTGATTTTATTTTTGTTTGATTGTATGATTTTCCATGCAGAAAAGTCTTTTGGTGACCATTACCATTGAAAAGGGATGATACTTAGACCTACTTGACATTAGACTTGGTCTACCCATGTGCAGAGCTGGCCTTTGCAGAGAGCAGGGTGCAGCACAGTGGCACATGGAGCTGTGTATTAACCAGTTGCTGTAAGAATAGAAGGCACTGAGCCTATTCTTTTCCACCTTCCCTCCCTATCCCACAGGAAGCTGTCTCACCCCAAGCTAGTCCAGCTTTATGGTGTGTGCTTTGAGAACACTCCCATATGCCTGGTGTTTGAGTTCATGGAGAATGGCTGCTTGTCTGACTACCTCAGGAGCCAGCGGGGCACTTTTTCAAAGGAAACCCTGCTGGGGATGTGCCAAGATGTGTGTGAAGGAATGACTTATCTGGAACAAAACTCTGTCATCCACAGAGACCTGGTATGTTGGTCCCACATAGACTTTTCCTTTGCTCCGGGTGGATGTTTTCCTGTGCTTTCTTCCTTCCTTAATTTCAGCTTCCACACTCCTCCTACATATTTACAGGGGATCCTGTATCTGCCCTTATTGCAGAAGCAGTACCAATACTTTAGGGGAAAAAAAAAACAACCCCTGGATTGCTGATTAATCTATTTCCCCTAATTGTGTTTGGGAGAGAAGAAACAAGGCTATAAAGTTTTTCTTCCTTCCTGAGTGGACTCTTTTGCTTCCCAAGAGCCACAGTTCCTGGGTACTGACTCCTCTTCATGTCTAAAATCAGTGGGAAAAAAAAAAGACCTGTTTTTGCATAATTCATGTATAAACATGCATTGATGATCAAATACTTTTAATTAGGTGGTGTTCAATCAAGGTCCATTGGTCACTGTGGCTGTTTCACTAGGGAGCAAGGACTGTGAGTAGCTGTGGATATTTTAGGGTCTTTCTCTGCCCTTTCTGGGCAATAAGGGCCTGAAAGCCAGATTGATGGTTGAACAGCTTTTCTGGCAACAGGGACATGCTGTAAAATGTACTGAAAGCATGAGAAGCTCAGGGTTTTGTCCTCTTTGTATGGCACAATGTCACTTTGATGCTCTTTTTTAAGCACTATCTGCTGTGCCAGGATAAAAGCCACCACAGGTCAGTCTTTCAGCTCTGACCTGCTGCCTTTGCACCTTCTTTCCTTGTAGGCTGCCAGGAACTGCCTGGTGGGGGAATCCCAGGTGGTCAAAGTGTCCGACTTCGGGATGTCAAGGTAATACCACTAAGGCCGTGCACGGTCCCTGCAGGGTTGTCATGGGATGGGGAGTTACTCAGCATTCTCCCTTCTTTTCCTGTTCCAGGATTGTCCTTGATGATCAGTATACCAGCTCCTCGGGTACCAAGTTTCCAGTCAAGTGGTCTGCTCCAGAGGTTTTCTCCTACAGCAACTATAGCACCAAATCTGACGTTTGGTCATTCGGTAAGAAACTTGTCAAAATGGAAGAAATTCAACAAATCCCAGCTTAGAAAACTTAAGGGCTCAGTCCTTAAGTAAACTCTTCTAAACACTATATCCTCTGGATTCTTAGGGTGTTGTATAGCTGTGCAATGCTATATCATATCAAAAAATGAACTGTGCTTTCTGCTGACATAGCAGGAGTGTCCAAGAAAAAGTTAGAGAGCCACTGACAAGATTACAGAGGAGAGGAGAACAGAGCAGAGGAAAGGGATAATATTTAGGCAGTCCATCTCTTTGCATGTCAGTCCTAGGCACTGATTCCTCACTCAAACCCTCTGCCTTTCCAAGTTTGCTCTGCTGAGTCCATTTGCTTTATGCTGATCTGAAAATATAATTTCACTGCTCCCATTTCTCACCTCATTTCCTGCTCCCCAATGCATTGTTTTATGATTTGCGTCCATTCTTTGGTCTCCCTTCTGGACCCTCACAGATAAGAACACCGCTGTATATTTTCTCCCCAAAGCCATAACAAAGGCTATCCCCTGGGCTGTAGATCTGGCACACTCATGGCCCTGGCCCCTCTCCAGCCAACATGCAAATCTCTGTTACTGCAGTGAATCGGGGCAGTGTGCTGTGCACAGCACACAGTCAATGGGGTGCCACTCAGCTCCAGGCCCAGCAGTAAATAATGCAGGATTATAACCTTTCCTAGTCTGTGCTTGTGAATGCTGTGCTTTCCTTGCTTTTTGCTGTGGCTCCCATCTCTTCTGCTGTGCCTGAAGCTGTGCACTCCTGGGGTGGGCTATGAGCAGCGTGGTGGGCACTGGGTGCTCAGACCCACACAGCCTCCCTCACAAACTCAGCAGGGAGATGCTTCAGAGAGCACCATTCCTCTTTCCATGTTCCCTGGCATGTGGAGGAGGCTGTCAGCACTCACCATGTAATGACAAGGGACAGCTTTTGTCAGTGGAGCTATTGCTGACACCTCACAGCGAAGTGGCAGTGACATGGGGAGAGGTGCTACTTTGGTAGGAATGTTCTTCTGCTTCACAAATCGGAAACTGGCCTGTACACTGAGAGCCAGATGCTTCCAGAGAAGGTGCTCAGATTGATTTACAGTCAAGCCAAGCCTGGTGAAGTTGGCTTACTCCAGTTTCAGATCTGAATGAAATATAGGTGAACTTTGCTTGTGTTGGTCAGTCCTTCTTTGTGAGATGTGCAGACGGCGGGTTGTACATCTGTCAGACTCGTTATCTCCCCATCCAGTGGGGTTTGCTTAAGAGGATTCCTCATGGTCTCATGACTGTGAGCAGCTTTCTGCTCTGCTACTCCGCAGCCCATTCATCTCTTCTGCCAGGTCTGAAATCCTGCTGTGCCCAGGAGAACAAAATGGGTGTGAGAAGCTCCCAGTGCAGGAATCTGCACACTTGGGGAGTACAACTACTTTGCTTTTTCTTCAGTAGGGCCAGTATCAGTCTCTTTGCATCTTCCTATTTGAAGATGTCAAAGATGGAAGCAGGCGTAATTGAGCAAAGCTGAGTGTGCAACTGTGCAACTATGGAGTTGCACAACTTTATTTCAGAACAGTCTATATATAGTCTGTCTCCCTTTTCTAACACAGTTTACTCAGTGAGGCATAATAGGTGATCAAAGAAATTAAAGCTAATAACAACCCAGATGCCTTGTATTCACTCAGTTTGCAGACCCTCTCTGACCTGGAGGCCAACTGCAGTGTATTCAGTCTTTTTGTCTTTGCCTGTCTCTCTTCCACCACACTAGAGAAGCATGAGTTTCTGTACTGCTCTGAACAGCAATCATAGGAAAACATTTGACTGTTCAGGAAAAGAGGAAAAATGTGCCTCAATCCTTTGAAATTCCACTATGAGTGCATGTGAATTCATCCCAGCGAATCACACCACCCAGGACATTTTTCAGGAGAGGAGTTCCCTGCACTAAGCTGGCTAACAGGAATGGAGCAGTTCATATTGCTTTATTGCTACTGAGTCTTGCCAAAATTAACAGCTTTGGGTACAGGACACACTGCACGCAGGAACATCAGTGACATGTCTCTTGTATGTGATTAACTGGAAGCAAAAATAGATAAACTGAATCAGTGACAAAAAGCAGGTTCTCTTTCCCAGATTACACATCTGGATGGAGCACATGCACAGCATTCCCTCTTCACAGTTTTGGAGAAGACATACTCTGCTTTCTGACACATAACACAGCATCTGACTCATGGGGAAAGACATCCCTGTGTGCTAGACTATGACAAAGTAGGATGCAGAGAAGTCAAACTGGTACTTCCACACATTCCAGTGCACAGCAGAGATCCTGGCTGGCATCGTAGAACTGTACAGCTGTGTTAGGGCCTGCCTGGTTTTTCAGATGTGTACTGAGAATCCAAGTGAAAACGCTTTTCCAAGTAGCTGACACCAAGGTTGAGCTGCAGAGAAGAACAGGTGGAAGGTGGCCACAGGTCTGCTGAGGATTTTATTTGCTTCTTTGTGATTTTTCTCATTTCTTTGCTTCAGGAGTGCTGATGTGGGAGGTCTTCAGTGAAGGTAAAATCCCCTATGAGAATCGCACCAATGCAGAAGTGGTGGAAGAAATCAATGCAGGATTTCGGCTCTACAAACCCAAGCTGGCCTCCAAGGCAATTTATGATGTCATGAGCCACTGCTGGAGGATGGTTAGTATTGTCATGGGAGAGTCCCAGTTCACAAAGACAAGAGCTCTCTTTCCCTTGGCTTAAAGGAGGAGAGAGAGGTGTACACATCACATGCTAACAAAAGATAAAATCCTGGATGTGAAGCACTGTAGCTTTCATCTGCACCAGCAAGCAAACTCTGGTCTCTCTGCCTTTAATTTAATCTGCTGTTTCTATAGAGTGCATTGACTTCTCTAAGGAGCCCATGTAGTGCACCTAACTCTAGTTAACTCAAAAGTTTCCTTCCTAAGAAAGCTGCAGATCTGTGGGGCTGAGTTCTAACAGTGATGGTAAAAATGACAGCCAAGCCATTAGAAGGTACTTAGTGTCCACGAGACAAAATTCACTGCTAATAGAAAAGAAACACTGCACAGAAGGAAGCTGGTTCTTCCATTGGCTTTTTCTCTATAGAGATAGATTGTATTTTTGTTAATACTCAGTTTCTTCACAAGATTTTCCTTGCTAACCTTGCCATTCCTCACAAGCTGACAAAAATGTTCTTCCTCTCTCTTCTCTTCCCTGCTCAGAGGAAAGACGAGCGGCCAGCCTTTTCTCTTCTGCTGTTCCAGCTGAGTGAAATCTCTGAGTATGATCTGTAATCATGGCACTGTTCACTCAGCACAGCTGAGAGTCCTGAGAGAAGAGAAGACTGGATTTTCCCCACACAAAGCATTAACAGGAATCCTCTCACCATAAACACTTGCCATATGCCTGGGGAGAAGAGAGGGCAGAGGCTGGTACTTCCAGACAGACAAGATATCCCCAGGTCTTCCAGAGCCTAGACAGACATAGGCTTTGGTTTGGCCAAGAATGTGGTTTGCATCTCAAAAGCAGAAGCAGCAATTGAGCACAGAGTCCTGAACCACACAATCCAGCAAAGGTATTTCTCCTGAAGATACAGCCTCAAAACTAAGAGATCTGACATTGCTGTTCCAGTTTTGTGAACTCCCAAATGAAGGGAAAAGAAAAACCTGTCTTTAACTGAGGAGGAACATTTAGAATCTCCACAGCTCTCTAATACAGAGTGGGCTGGACCTGAAAGCTCTGAACATGAATAAGCCTGGGAAACATAGGAACAGTGACTGCATTTCTGACACCGATATTTTAAGGTGGTTTTGTTTTCCCTTGCATGATTTTTTCTGCAGCTGTGGCATAACAGGAACAGGATTCAGATACCTGGTAAACTGAAGAGGTGTCTGTGTGTGCACGAGAGTTTGTAAGAGAGGAAGTGAAAAAGCAACGTGCTGAAGAGTTTTGAAATTGTCTCAGATTGCACTGTATAGTGAATGAGAAAAAGGGACTCTGATGCAAATGTAGACATTCTTGGAGGGGGGAAGTCAAAGCTGAACGTTTATATTGTTTTTTTCTTCAGACTTTCTACATCAGAAGATTAATACATGACTTCTATCCAGTTCATTTGAACAAAGCATGGAGGACTGAGCAGTGCAGAGTGCTATGTGTTTCCAGTCCAGGACAAGACAGAGTTCTGGGATCTGATTACCTGTGAAAGGTACAGGAATCTACTGCTGAACTGGTGTGTTTGGAAAAAAGGAGCTGAGAGCTCACAAGGGAGCCATGAGGACAAAACATGCAGAGCACATGCTCAGTGCACCGGTGATAATGAGAAGAGTTTTCTCATACTTCAAAGAGTAACTGAATCATCAAAAGTAAAGACCTTTCCATCTCCTCTGTGAACAAAGGGACTGATCAAAGAAAAAGTCCAATGCAAATGGACTGCCTGGGTTCTTTCTCCACATCTCCATTATGTGGTGATGGCAGAAGAAGGTATAAACAAAATCCATCTCCTGGTATTTAAACTAAAATCTGTATTTCCACTGCAAGACAGAGACACTGTTTTGACATAACTGACCCCAAAACCAAATGTCTGGGTGTTGGTGTCCTGCAGAATTTGTAAATTTGTAAAGTGCAGGACTTTCTGCTAAGCATTAACAATAACTAGGGAAGTCAAGAGGGCTCACGGATAATATATGCATATATGCAGGATATATTTTTTATGCTTCTCTGTTTTGGGCAGGTGAGAACACAAGGAAACCTTATGTGACAGCAGCTTACAAAAACTCTAAGGTGCAAACTTCCAGAAGCAATCTCCTTTTACAGAATCTCCAGTTACAGAAGTCAGGTTCAAATACGTTTGCCAACAAAAATGGAACAAGGAAATAATGTAATCCCATGATCTAACATATCCTGTGTTGAACTATTTCTTCACAGAAGGCAACTTTATTTTTGGTATTTTTCAGACCCATGGTTCTAGGGTAGCTTTTAGGAGCCAGAATATCTTTTCAGGTATGTGGATATGGGCAAGGCATCAGTTCCTGCCTTATACATCTTCACACACTCTGTGGCAGGGGTTTCTGCAGGCTCACAAAGTTAAGCTTCTGGCTTGCTGCCCTCATCATCCTTGGAGGAGCCAGGGGTCTGTTGAGCTTGAGGACATTGCTATTTAGTAGCAGCAATATTGCTCTGCTAGGTGATCTTACTGAGGTTATATTTATATTTGTATATGTGTAATATTTATTAGCTAGAGTGTGTTGCACAAAATGATATTGTGATGTTTTACGTTCGTTTTTACAAACAATAAAATTGCTGAGTCCCAACTGTGGGGTTCACTATATGTTAGCAAAAATGTAAAAACCATCCTCATGCAATTATAATCATACAGTTTGCTGTTCCTCCAAATCCCTCCCACCAAGAAGCAAACAGACTTTTTCTGGCTTTCTGAAGTATCTCTGTTCCCCCGAACTATGGCTGTGTTCTGGGATTAGATTATTATGAAGTATTCAGAATCTCTGCAAATTCAGTAATTTACTACATAATTTACTATATGGACACCAGATTTTTAGGTCTAAACATCCATTATGGTGGCTTTAAATTCTCCGAATCTTCATAAAATGGGGGTAGTAGTATTTGAGTGCTCCCAGAGGGTGTTTCCCCATGATAATTTACAGGGATCTTCAGGAATCTCAAAAGGTTAGTGCCTTACTGGGATAACTGCATGATGTCAGTGCACTGTAACCCAGTTCTCTCCCACCAGAGCAGTGTCTATGGCGAGTTTAGGTGGATGCTCTTCATGTGGCTTCACTGGATACGTTCCCCACAAAGTAGAGGTCAGAATACCAGTCTCCTGCTGCAAAGTGAGTAACCTTTCTCTGAATACCCCTTCCCTGTCTCCTTAGAAAGCATTTGCAATCTGCTGAATGTTTAAGCCACTCCACCTTTACCCTATGTAAAAGTGTTTCAGCAAGGTGGGAGGTTGTGCTTGTCCCTGTTTTCCCGCTGGGTGCACGGCTCTGCTGACGCTGCACACTTGGCTGGAGCCAAGGCCCACAGCTCTATCCCAGCGTGTCCCCAACCTGCTGCTGCGATGGCCAGGCACAGGCACAGCCAGGCTGGCGTCCCTGCTAGGAAAAGGCAGTCAAGCAGTAACCTCATCTAGAAGGAGCAGCTGATGCTTCTCAGTGGAGATCAGGGGCTGGTGAGTGGCAGAATTAGCCATGAAAACCTCTTTCCTGGGCATGTGTTGGTCACCCCGGGGAAGTGGGGGTTGTCAATACACAATTACCTTAAAATCAGGCCTGATAAAAGTCTAGAATTTCCTGAAACATTTTTTAATGAACATGTTTTTATGTGATGTTTGGCTTTGTCCCTCTCTGAACGCTGCACTTGTCAGCGCGGACGGATTCAGGTGAATGGCTCTGCTAAATCTCACTTGGCAGCCACTTCAAATCCGTGTGTATTCTTCTGTTCAGCTCCTCCCACTATCGAGTTATCTCTCCCCTCCACCCCTCCACGCAGAGCCAGCTGATGCACACACTCCTGAGTCTGCAGCTGCATGGGGCTGCTCCTTGCTGTCATACTTCCCAGCCTGCAGAGAGATCTGCAGGACAAATGCAGAGAAGCTCATTCTATTATTCTACAAGCTAAGACAACACGGAGCAGAAAATTAAAATATTATCCTAACATTAATGGAATTCCCATCACCCTGAGCCTGGCTGATAATGGGACCAGATTAAACTGTGCAAAAAAACAGTCCACAGAAGTCTTTGTTGCCACAGTTTTCTTGAACTGACCTGGTTTCACCCATGGCCTCAGAGCAATATTAGCTGTAAAATCCTTTGTGTCTGCAGTACCAGTGCTCACTTACTGAATTTTTCTGCCAAGAATTAAATAGTAAAAAGAGGAATGATGGCTACAAGATGTTCCAGTCAAAGGTGAGATAGAGTCATAGATATCACAGAATCATAGAATAGTTTGGGTTGGAAAGGACCTTTAAAGGTCATCTAGTCCCACCTCCAAAGAAGAAACACTATTCAGGGGAAAGAGAAGGGTCTACTCCCAGAGAGGATATTAATACATTTTTTTTCAGGTGTAGTCCTCTCCTGTAAAACAAAGACAGTTCCTAAGACTGTCCTGCTGCTTTTCTAGTTTGCAGACCCTGGTGCCTTTAAGGCCATTGCATCCATTCGAATCACAGTAGGAGAACTGCAGTGTAAACTGGTGTCCAAGCTTCCCTGCGGAGTCAAGACACACCCACAGGGAGCAAGCTCAGCCCCTCACTAGCATGGGCAACAGCAGCAATCTAAGGAATCAGAGGGGTCACTCTAATCCAGGAGGGGCAAGACAGTCCAGTTTTAGCATAGGCTGATGCTCAGGAAAGGAACACTGCCAGGGCCACCAAGGAGGTACATCTAGACCTGTATCTAGACCTCCATCAGTCCTGGGGTATCCACCAGTGTCTTTCAACAAGATAGTTCTATACAGGGCTTGTGTCAGTCACCATGAGGCAATGTTCCTCTGGAAGCTGTGAGAGGTCCAGTTTGGATTTCACAGTAGATCTGAAGAGCTGTATTAGAGCTTTAAAAAGAAATATGAGCAGAAGGACTGGAAACCTTTCCCTGAAGAAAAGCCAGATGCCAAAAGGAAGACCTTTTGGATGTGGTGCTGACTCAGAAGTGGATTGGCGCTCCGAGCAAAGGCACTGCCTTCTGGTTTTGGCCCCCAACATGCTCAGTCATCCGAGGCTCCATATGTATTCTATACGTACATGTATTCTGCAAACAGCATGTTTGTTAAGACGGTAGGTTAACCTTAACAATGGTCCTCCGAGGGGCAGAGTGGCTGAACACCCGATACCCAGCAAACACAGCAGCAGGGAGATGGGGGAACCCAGCCGGGTCCTGCCTCCTCAGGGACCCAAACCCGCTCTGCCAGCACCAGACCTCCGAGGGGCTGCAGCAGCTGCCCCCAGCCTTGTTCCCTCCGCGCCCCGGGTGGGGGTGGCTGGCGGCCTTCCCTGACCCCGACCCCGCCGGCGCCGCGCTGCCGCCAGCCCGGCCGGCCCCGGCGGAGCGACCACCGCAGGAGGTCCCCGCCGCGGGGGGAGAGCTGCGGGCCCCCCTTCCCAGCGAGGAGGGGGATGCAGCCCCCGGCCCCGCCGCGCATCCCCCGCGCTGCTGGGGGAGGAGCCGCCCGCGCCGCTCCAGCCCCTTCCCGCGGCGGGGGCCGGGGCTCCCCCCGCCGCCGCGCCGCGCGGAGGGGCCGGCGGAGAGCCGCGGAAGTGCACTTGCTGCAGCCATTTCCTGCTCTTTGTGCGGGCGGCGCGGAGCATCCCGCGGAGCATCCCGCGGAGCATCCCGCGGCGCGGAGCATCGCGCCCGCCGAGCGCAGGTGAGCGCGCGGGGGTGGGCGCGGGGCTGCGCGGGGGCTGCGCGGCTTCACCCCCTCCCTTCCTTTCTTCCTTCCTTCCTTCCTCCCCCCTCGCCGCCGAGCGCGGTGCCCCCGCCGCCCCGGGAGCGCGGAGCGGGGGCGGCGGGCGGGGGGCAGCGGCGGGGCAGGTGCCGCCGCCCCGGGAGCGGAGGGCGGGCGGGCGGCCCGGCCGGGCCGGGATGTGCGGGATGTATCCCACAATCCCTAGAGCTACCTGCGGCGCTCAGCCTGCCCGCAGCCGCGGCAAAGCGCCGGGGAAAAAATAGCGCAAATCCCCCTCTTCCCCCCCGCCCATGCCGGCCCCGCGCCCCCAGGACGTGGGAAGGGGCCGAGCCCCCGGGCCCGCGGGCGCTGCAGGCCCCGCCGTGGCAGCGGGAGCCCGAGCCGGGGTGGCGGCGATGCTTGGCGCGGGGAGAACGGGGCGCGGAGGGGATGGCGATGATGATGATGATGGAGGAGCGGCGGCGCGCAGCGCCGGGCTGGCGGCGGGGGGCGGCCCCGGCGGGGGCTCCGGCCAGCTCCCGGATCACCCGTGGCGTGGAAATATGGTGTTCCTGGGGGAGGAGGGGGATGGAGGCAGCGAGGGAGGCTGAGCCAGCGCTGGGAGCGATGGCTGGAGCGGCGCCCGCAGGTTCGGGCCGTGGCGCGGGTCGGAGCCCCGCAACGCCGGTCCCCGCGCGTGGGGCCGGGCAGCGCTCCTTTGTGCTCAACTTTACACCCGAGACCGCTGGAAATGCCTCGTGCCAACCGCATCCCACCGGGCGGGGGTTCAAGGGATGGATTCCGCAGGAAATTTCCGTGGTTTGGAAGGACCGGGAGGGAACGAGGAGGAGGAGAAGAGGCGCACACTAAAGCCTCCCTGCGTGCCCAGGGCTGTTTTGGATAAGGGGGCAGGGTGGTGGCTGTGTGTGCTGTCAGAGGACACTGCCAGCAGCAGAGCGTGGCCCCCTCTGCCATCTGCCGCTTTCCACGGGGGGTTCCTGCCTGGGGGCTTTGGATCACAAAGATTTCAAAGAATTAGGCTGAGTCGCTAAAGCCTCTGCACCCCTCCTGCCCCGAGATACCGAAACAAAAATCACCCTCATGTTTTGCATGACGACAGTTGTCTGGGGTTAGTCACAGAGATGGGTGACGAGCCCAGTATTCTGGTGTCACAGCCATATAATTCTATGGTAATTCTCTGCAAAGGATAATTCTTTTCTCCTTTGTACAGTTAATTGTTATTAATGAAGCCTGGGAAATATACAAAATCTTCCGTTTTCTGACCAGGGTCTCTTGAGCAAAGCAGAATATGCTGATTTCATTATAATAATTTTGTTAACAAACAATTATCATCCTTGCATGAAAAATAGGAAGATTGGTTTTGGAAGATGAATATCTGGTCAACTATTAACAATGCTGGCCTGTATGATTTGGTTTCCCAAGAAGTGCTTTAACTGTCAGCAGTGGGGTTGCCTGTAAACTTGCTCAAAATTTTTCAGCTCTATTGGAAATATAGCTTCACTTACCTTCCTCTTTCCTTGACCCTCTTTCTTCAGCACCAGAAAAAAATATTATTAAGTTATTCTAAAAGAAATAAATTCCAAAATAATTATGTTGCTGAAACACAAGGATGGCACAAATGCCTTGAACTCAGCCCTAATGGAATGGCATAAAATGTAGACTGGAGATATAGCTTCAGGAGTCATGCAGTTTGGCTTCCTTTTTTAATAGGAAGGGTGATTTCATGGTTATTAGCATCTGTGTCTGTGTAGGGCAGAGGCCCAGCTCTGCCAGTCTCATTCTTCTTTGGCTGTGCTTATTTGCTTCTATAAAGGACCTCCTGACTGTGGTGACAGTTGCAATTACAAGTAATTCTTAGAGCGTGAGAGAATGAGTTGATGACATGCATCCTAAAACACAGGGGGCTTCAATCCTGTGCATTTTAGACAAGGGTCAAACTAAAGTTTTGCACCATGAAGTTATTCTGGACTAAAAATATGTTGGTGGCCATAAGCATTTATCCTTCTGTTGCTGTGAGGCAGTGGGTACCAGAAACACTTTGCTCTTATGCACATAAGACTTCACTCTGCTTGGGCACTTGTTGGGACAGGACAGTTCATGCCCACTGATGCTATTTTTGGAGCAAGAGGGAGAAGCATTACCACAGGGGCAAAACTAAACTCTGTGACTTTCCCAGGTTACCCAGGGACTGGGCATCAGAGCTGAAGAAGAATCCCAGATCCTCAGGAGGTGACCAGAAGGTTTGTCCTCCTCCTCTGCATTGCCATCTCCCCAGCAAAAGTCATTTTGCTCCTCATCTCACCCCAGACTTGCAGGACATGGACTCTGTCTGGGCAATTCCCATTTTTCCTTGCCTCCTTTCTTGCTTTTGGTAGCTACTGCAGCTCCGGTGTGACTGCTGTAGGAGCAGGCAAGCTGAAAATCCGGAACAGCCCGTGCCACTTCCCCAGAGCTCTCAGCTGTGCAGCTTTGGAGCTGAGCACACATGCATGCAACATATTCATTATGGCCTTGCTTTTAAAAGTCTTTCTTTGTTTCCCTAAGCTGCTTGAACAATAAAGTCGCCTCTGTGCTTCTTGCTGCAAAGAGAATGATATTGCACCAATACTTCTGGGCAAGCATTTTAGTGGGGAAGGTAGGATATGCCCTGCAAGTTCAGATATCTGGGGTGTCCATCCTTACGCCTCAAAGCCTTACTATGTTGTCTGTGAAATCTGGCCCCCAAGCTGCTGCCACAACAGTCACTGTGTCAGGAACTCTCCATTTCAGGGTGGTGGGGCCGTGCCCTGTGCACAGGCCCTGCCTGACTGGCTCCCTGCAGTGTCTGGAAGCCCCAGTGCCTCTGGTATCATTTGGCTTTAGAAGGTGTATGAGATGGCCAGAGGGTTTGCAACTGAGATGTGGGAAAGCGACAGGAAGTTTCTGCAGCAGAGGAGGAGAAAGTGTGGGCAACACTGCACTCATTAGTACTGATGCTCATCAGCAGAAGGGTTAATCAGCCCAATGGCAGCATCCCTGCCCTGAGATTCACTGGGGTGGAGCTGGTTTCTGCCAGGCTCACCTTCAGTTTTACCAAAACATGTAGGACCAGAGGGACTTTGGCCTCTGACCAGCAGTGGGATATGGAGGTGGCTCTTGGCAGCCTGTATGGCTGCGTGTGAGTTCAGAGAGGCAGGATATGCTTCCTGCATGCAAGGGAAAGCCTCACCCCTCTGTGGATGTGTTATGACAGAAAAAAAGCCCTGTTTCTGGGCATGCTGCTGCGTTGCTCCCTGGATGGTGGGAGCCCAGCCCCACGGCCACGTGTCCAAACACTGACACCAAACCACTGCCTCCCAGTGCAGCTGCCCCTGCCCTGAAGCCCAGGTGGTGGATGGCAGTTAAAGCTTTTTGATGAGTGTCCCCAGGGATCCCTGACTTCCTTGGGCTGGAGCCGCTTGGCTGCTGACAGATCACCTGACAGCTGCCCCCTTGTCGCTGGACAGAGGGGAGGAAGCTGGATTTAATGGGACAGCCCCCACATGTTTGTGTAAGAACCTTTCTGCAGGAAGGCGAGGGAGAGCAGTGTGGGTCTGTGGTAGTGGGGCTTCACCTTCTGGCTCTCCCAGGCTGCCCCCGTGGTGGGGTGACACAGTGCAGTGCCCCTTGGACAGGAGAGAGCATCACTGATGCCTTCAGAGCCTTCCCCAGCCTTTGTGCAGTGCACAACCCCTCTAACTGCTGGATGCTTACACGTGGCAGGGGACCCCAACCAAGGACAGCCCCCCCCCCAGCCCTACAGCCACCCTAAGGAGCAGGCGAGGGGCCACGGCAGAGGCAGATGGCAGGTCACTCACAGCTGCTCCTCTGTGGATGATCTGGGGTGATGATCCAAGTCTGCTGGCTCTGGACCAGTAGCCCCTCTGTCACATGCTCCAGCTGTGAGGTTGCTGTCTGTGGCAATGTGCTACAGACGCAAGACCCAGGGGAAGTCCTGGGTGACCACACTGTTCCCTGTAGCCTCCGTTGGTTTCCCTGTTGGGCTTAAGAAAGTGTAGAGTGGAAATTAGAAGTCCCTGTAAAGACTCATGTATTAAACTCTCAAAATCTGTGTAGTTTTTCCATCTGCATCCGGATTCTTGCAGTGCTCAGCCATGGCAAAGCATGGGGTGGGCTGGTGGCTGATTGCACCGCTCGCTCACAACGCCTCGATGCTTCCTTTTCTATTCATGCATTTCCACATGCTGCCTCTCTTCCTCTGTTTGAGTGTGAGATCTTTAGGGCAGGGACTAACTTGGCCTCACAGGTCTGTGTGCTGCCTGGCACAGCAGGACCCTGATGCTGTATCTGGGACTCTGTTTCCTGGTATGGCCCAAACAGCAGTAGTAATTTTGTCCCTTGAGTTGCTGAGCTCTTTGGGTGTCACAGGGTTATTGAGGAGATGTCTTTGATTACAGTAAACTGCCTTGCACAAATGGTCTTAGAATTGAACTTAAAGAGAGAAATGGAGAATGAGCCCAAACAAACAGCCACAGCCCTCAAAGCTATAAAATGGAAAGTTTTGCCTTCTCAAGCCTGAAGTGTGTAATGCAGCATGAGTGAGTAGCAGGGGTGTTGTTCAGGGATCCCAGTGGTGCGTCCAGAGGTGCTGGAGGGTGGTGGTGGAGCAGGGTGGGTGGCTCTGTGGGGCTGGGCGAGCTGAGCCGCCGGCTGATGGGGAGCAGCACAGGGTGCCTGCAGGCAGGCAGGGAGGAAGCTACAGAAACGTAATGTCTGGTTTTGACAGTTGCTACAATTTGAAACAGGAAACCATTTTAGCAAAGAGGGGTGAAGAAGGAAACAGAAATTTGAGTGTGAAGGGAAAAAAGCTGCTTGAGATTTTGTTTTCTTCCAGGCAATTATTTAATGATGTTTCAGCTGCGAGTACAACCAAACCGGTTTCTCAGCTGCCTGCTGCCTTGGGGAGGCATTTGTGGAGGTGGAATGGGTTTTACCAGGCTCATACATATTCTTGCAGTCCATACATGCAGGCAGCAATGATGATGAGACACAGCAGCAGACTCATCCCTCTTGTCACCCAACATGAAACCACTCCAGTACTACACACAGAGTGCATCCCTCTTGGCAGTGGACCTTGCTGGGTCTGTGTGTGTCCATCTATGGATGTCCCAAAGCCATTGTCCTTCTGTGCTCCCAGTGCTGGAAATGAAGAGCAAACTTATACTCTTGGAAACAGTGACTCAACTGGTGGGGAAAAAAACCCTAAGGGATTTGTAGCAGATAACTGGCTGAGTATGGGCGCCCATAGAGCTGCTGTTGTGAGCAAAGGAGCTGGTGTGGCTGTACTCAAGAAGGGAGGTTATGCTGCTGTTGTATCTGGCTCTTGTGCAGTCACTGCTTGAGCCTTGTGTCCTGCTACTGTGTCTGCACTTCAGCAAGAGCTGCAAAAGCTTAGAGAAAAGCCAAAGAGATGATTAAAGGATTGGAAAACATGCTATGTAACAAGATAGGCAAAGAGCTTGGTCCGCTTGCCTGAGCCAAAGTGAAGGTTGCAGGGTGTTTTATTGAACTGTGTGAGTATCTTGATGGGAACTTTGATAACAGAGAGCTCTGCTGTCCTGCAGATGAGAGTGATGAGACTCAGAAGGCTCACATTTGAAACTAGACAGGCTCTGAATGAGGAAAGAAGCACTGAGGGGGTGATTTGCTAATTGAATGACATGTCAATATTTAAAGTATTCTCTCTCTGCAAATGTTTAAATGCAGTGGGGTGTTTTTCTAGGAGACACAGGCTCTGGGTCGGGCACAGCTATTGCAGAGGATTAGGCATTAACCAGGGAAGCCCTGTGGCTGTGATTACACAAGTGCTGAGCCTGGGTGACAGTGCACTTACAGCCAAGGTGAGTAGCAGAGGAGACGAGGGACATAGAGGTTTGTCCTGTGGTTCCCGGTGGGGCGCCTGCCTGGGGTGAGCGCCAGGGAGCTTTCAGAAATGTTTCCCTTTGATTTTATTTTGTGTGCAGCTGGCACTGTTGGCAGCTCCAGGGTGGGCCGGGAGTGACAGGGGATTCCGCGTCTGTGGTAAAAGCAGGGAAATTCTATTTTACAGCAACTTCTTTTTTGGCTGCTTGCAGTGCCACAGCCTGCCTGCACAGCACTCTTTCCCGTTCACCTTTGGGAGTGCAGTTGGTTGTTTACAGTTTCCAGCGCCGTTCATGTGTGTGAGAAGCAGAGCATGTGAGTGTCAGCATCTGTCATACTTTTCTAATCATGCTGCTTCAAGAGATATTCTTGATAGCACCACTTTGCATTTTGGAGGTTTCACTTGGGGCTGCTAAAGCTGCACTGCAACACCCAACTGTTTTCTGTCTCAGATAGTTTTGCATAGAGTTACGAGAGAAGTGCCTGGGTGGGCAGTTGTGTTCCTCTTATTCTGCATTCCTACTCTGCAGCTGAATTGTAGAAGGAGAGATGACATAGAGATGTAGGTTAAATACACAAAGAGAGGAAAATGAGATAAACTGGGATTTTATCCCCTGCAGTGCCAGCCAGTTGTGGGGCTGGTTTTGTCTTTCGGAACTTTCCCACTCGGTCTTCTGCCTGCTGGCTGGTTGTCTTGTCCAGCTATCACCCTCTCTTTTACTTTGGATTTAGTGTGGAAACTGAACATCCAGAACCATGACGACTCACGTCACACTAGAGGATGCCTTGTCCAACGTGGACTTGTTGGAGGAGCTGCCTCTGCCAGACCAGCAGCCATGCATCGAACCACCTCCCTCCTCCATCATGTACCAGGTACTTCAGCCCCCTGGGGCAGCGGGGAGGGAGGGTTGTTCCCGTAGCTCATGCAAAGCACGGGGCACATGGTGCTGTGAGAACTAGCCGAAAACATCCTGGGTTCAGCATGTGTAAGGAAGTGTTCAGAACAGATCTAGCCACAAATCTGTTCCCAAGGACTTTAAAAGGAAAACACCAGAGATTGGTGAAAGGGATTTTTAAGGCTGAGCAAAAATGAGGACCAGAGTGCATGAATGGGTAGGAAGCAGGAGATAAGATTTGTGATAACAGCAAAAAGTTCTCGGCAATGTTTTTTTGTGCACATATTTCTGTGCTTCCTTTTTATGACAGTGCTTGCATCTAAGCAGGGCGAGATCAAAGTTCTGCCTGACTTTTTGCTACTAGCACAGCTGGAGCTGCTGGTCGGGGGAGCTGCTGGCATGCAAGGGAGGGCAGCTGCTAGAATCATTTCTCTGCCCTGAACAACCTCAGATTTAGCTGCAGCTGCACTGACCAAGCAAAGCTTGGCGTGAGCCCAGGGCACAGCTCGACCTCCTGCTTTTGGTTACACAGTGGGATGCCTTGGCTGCTTGGCCAGCCACCACACCCTGCCCTATAGCACACACCCAGGGTTAAATATAATAGGGGGTTACTTTCTCCATCCTGCCACTCCTGAATTCATGGCTTACCCGTGGCAGTGTATAAATACACTCGTACCGTGATTGCTATGCCTTGTCGGCAGGGGTCTGGAATTACAGTATCTCTTTCAGCAGCTCAGACCCTGTGCTCATTCCAGAGCTTTAGTATCTTTATAGGTTATCAGACCCAAAGGCTGTTCTGGGCTGCTCAAATTTCAGCTCTCCCTGGAAAATCTTGATACCATTTTTTGCTTATTTCTTCTTTCAATAAATGTTTAGCCTTTGCCAGCATGTGTCCCATGGGGGGCTCAGGGTCCAGCCTTATGTCACAGCCTCCTTTCAGGACCACGAGTGTGTGCACACAGCTTGGCCTAAAAACCTGCTCTAAACTGGGTATGGAGATGTTGGCCAAGCCTGTTTCCTCATCATACTCCATTTGTATATAGCCCTCTCCCCTGCTAGCCAGAAATGCCTATGCAGACTCAGCTTTTTTGTCACGTTAGTCACACATGAAGTCCTGGAGGCATTAAGAAGAGTAGCCCTATGGCCATAGGTCTGTGCTCCTGGCTTTCCTACTCAGGAAATCAGTTATTGAAGTGAGCGTGGTCACTGCAGTGCTAATGCCATTGCAAGGAGCTCTCTGGGTGCTTGGGACTTCTGTCTGCCCTGCCCTGCAGCAGATACCATCAGCCAGCCTGGGTGGAGGAAATTACCCGAGCGCAGAGCGTGTGAACGGGCACTCGGTGCAGAGAGGCTGAGGAGCTGCTTTTCCATCCCCCACCTTCCAGTGCACTTTCTTGCTCTCCAACCCAAAGCAATATTGCAGCTTCCAAAGCAACTATTCATCCCAAAAAGGTTTGTGCTTGCAAGAGCAACAGTAGCACTGATAATAGCACCTGCATGAGTGCTGACTTTTATATTGTTTTCCAGACAACTCCTTCCCTGCCTTTTCGGTGTATTTATCCTTTGCAGTTTCAGCTGACAGGATGTGGTCTTTCCCTAGCAGCCAGGGCACAAACAGATATTAATGAGGCTGCATCTGTCTTTGAGTTACTAGGCTAAAATCCTTAGAATAATTGCTGTAGGTTTGGTCCATGGTGTGGCTGCAATAAAGTTTGGCTTGATTTTACAAGGGTTTGTCAGTCTTAACTGCCATATTTCCACACATATAACCTGCAGGATTTCCTCTAATGAACATGTGTGGTTCAGAAGTATCTCAGGGTGTATATATGAACCTATTTCAGACGTAGAGGTGCAGCACCTAAATTGTTCATAGGCTATTCCCATTCCCCAAGACCCCTAATGATTGTGCTTTTTGCCAACACATTTCACGTTAGACTGTATCAGGTGAGCAAACAACTAACTGTATTTTAATCCCCATCTTGACCACAGGCTAATTTTGACACAAACTTTGAAGACAGAAATGCCTTTGTGACCGGCATTGCCAGGTACATCGAGCAGGCGACGGTGCACTCCAGCATGGTGAGTCCCTCGGGCACTGCCCCAGTGGTGCTGAGCCTGCAGTGCCTGCCCTGCCCCACCAACACCTCTCTGTGTTTCAGAATGAGATGCTGGAAGAAGGCCACGAGTACGCTGTGATGCTCTACACGTGGAGGAGCTGCTCACGAGCCATCCCTCAGGTACTCAAACCCTTCCCAGACAGGAATGTTCCCAGAGCATCTAGTTGGTTTTGTCTTGAGCATGGCTTAGTTTGGAGTGGAGACAGAAGACCAAAAAAAGCAAAGAAAACTAAAGGAGATAAGTTAAAAAGAAAGACCACTGACTCTCCAAATTGTCTCCTCCCCACCAAAGTCTCAGCCACTGGGTTGAGTGGTCTGAACCACTCAGCCACTACTCATCAGCTGGTAGCTGTTTCAGAAGCAGGTCTGTACTACTGCCCTAGTAAAGGGCATCTGCTCTGCACCCTCGTGCATATGAGAGCTCCATCCCTCACAGCTCCTAACAGTGCTTCTCACCTCAAACACACTCCCCACCAGCTGACTGCCTTACATACATTTCCTGGTTTCATGAGCCCCTCCCTGCCCCATGAAGTGGTTGCACCTGAAGTCCCACAGGACCAGCTTGTTTGTCTTACAGCTCCTAACAGAACTCAGCACAGCTCTGGTCCAGCACAGTGCATGGGATAGTGCTGTGTTTTGTCACTTGGGTCTTTATCCATGTATCTCTCCGGAGAACAGGTAGGCTTTGCTTTAATTCAAAGCAATTTTCTTATCAGTGTACCACCTGAATATTCTTCTCTCTCACGTTGTGAGGAGATCGAGTTTGCTTCAGGCAAAGGCAGTTTTTGGAAGTTGAGAGTAAAATCATCTGGTTTATATGACACTTTCTTCATACCTTTGTATGGTGTCATGCAATTATAATGGTATCAAGAACTACAGCTTCAATTAAGAATTTTCCCAGTGCCAAGTGAGACTCGTGTTGTGTGAAGAAGGGAGCCCAGGCAGGCTGGGATGAGAAGAGCAGGTCCTTTCAATATGTGGCAGTCTCAGGCTCTCCCAGACTGGTATAGAGCAGATTGGGCAGCTGGGGCAAGTTTCAGTATCCCAGTCTGCTGCACAGATTCTGGGGTGCTCTCTCTGCTCCCACAGCAACCCCTTAAAATTGTTGAAGTTGTGTGAGGATGAATGAAGGAGCACTTCAGTATGCCAGAAACATTTCCCCAAAGGCTCTTTTTTTTTTTTTCTGCTGATACTTATGAGGATCCTGATCTCCCCATGTTTTTAATCATTGTCCTCCTCTACTGCTCATTATTCTTCAATTATTCTGTAGTCCTTCACTCTCCAACCTGGATTTTGATGGCTTCATCCTGCAAACACCTACAGACATGAGTAAGGTTGCCCACATGGCTCACTGATTGTGATTCAACTCAGTCTCCTGCAATGTGAACATGTGCTGGACTGACACGTGCTGGGATGGGTGCTCTGCCCTTCCACTAACCCTACAGATAAAAGGCCTTGTGGCTCTTCCATGGAGCCAGGGAAAAACATTTCCATGTGGTAATGTTTGTGATTCCCCAGGAAAGGTCAAACCTCAATTCCCCTTGTGTTGTACTCTGCTGATGGTCTCATGAGACCCAGCAATGGGGAGATTTCTGCTGCTGACTGGGTACTTGCTTATCTCCCATTTGTTTTGTTGTGCTGTGCTGCTATTGCCTCTCATGGCTGTGCCAATGGAAGGCAGGCTGTGGTTCAGCTGATGGCAACACAGTGCTACAGATCATCTGTTTTGATGTCCTCCCTACAACGTTTGTGCCTCTCTGAGCAGCTTGTAGGGTCCCTGCTCTCTGCCTTGTCCTCCCCCTCAGGACCTCAGGCAGTTCCACATGTGACAGAGGGACAGACAACTCCACAGCAGAGGGTTCATTTACAGATTCACCAGATTTATCTTGGAATGACCCCTGCACTTTGCCATGGGGCACATGGCCAGGAGGGTTCTGTGCTCAGCCCCCCAGCCTGGCTACTCTCCCTGTGCTACATAAGAGCAGTGGTTTTACATGTGAAGGACAGAGCCTACACCTAAAGGTGCACCACGCCTCCCTCCCATGAGCTGCTTCCTCATGGCCATGGTGTGATTCTTGGGACTGTCCTGTGCAGGGCCAGGAGTTGGACTTTGATGATCTTTGTGGGTCCCTTGCAACTCAGCATGTTCTGTGATTTTGTGGTTCTGTGATACTGCCCAGCTGCAGTGCGGAACAGGGCAGGGACATTGGATTGCCCGCTACAGAGAGGGCAAGGCTACTTTGGCATCTTCCCCCATGTAAAGCTGGCTGAAGTGTCCCCCCGTGCCCTGTGCATCGGCTGCTGAAAGTGCACCAGAGCTGTCAGCCCCATCACAGCTTTGTGTGAGCAACAGCTGCAAACAGATCCAGAGGAGGACAGCAGGATGCATTCCCCTGCACAGCTGGGGGTTTCCCTAAAAGTTTGGTAATGACTCCAAGTAACTGTTGGAAGTGAGATGGATGACAACTGAGTAAGTCCTTAAATTTAGCTTCCCAGGATTCCAATGATGGTGACTTAATTCATTGCTGTGAGCCACAGACAAGCCCAGTGATTTTTAACGGGTCAGCAACAGAACCAGAATAATCCCAGTGAGGCCATAGCAGAGCTGTAGCCTGGTGCCCTGTGTGCCCAGGGGACTTTGCAACACAAAGTCTCAGATAACTTTATGATACAACATTCCCACACTGTGCAGCAAGTCCAGACTCCATACTGCCTGTGTTCTATCCCAGACAAATGCATTAGGAGACATATTTTCCTCAGAATGCCTTTTTAGAATGCATGATGAGAATTTAGTGTCTGAAATAGCCCCTTCTACTTTCATGTATTGCCACAAGAACCAGCACCCTTTTGGGTCCCTCCATTGTCCTCAGGTGGGACTCAGTGTGAAACAAGGAGAAGATGGTGGCTTCTGTGGTCCATGGCAGGGTTAGAAGCTGATGCTGACATGGATGATTTTCTTTGCAATGCAGGTGAAATGTAATGAACAGCCAAACCGAGTGGAGATTTATGAGAAGACGGTGGAAGTCCTGGAGCCAGAAGTCACCAAGCTTATGAAGTTCATGTATTTTCAGGTAAGTGGTCAAGGAGAGAGGCAGAAATAATCTCTTATTTTGGTGTTAACATCCTAAGCAGGGCTGTGCTATCCTTGCCTGCCAGGACAGCTTGGAAAACCCCCCAAGCCCCTGATAGGTCTCTTCCTTGCAGCCATGTGAGCAGATACCTGAGACCTGTCTGAAGGAAAATCTGTGTGTCCCTTGATCAGCCCCAAAATCCTCTGTACAAGTCAGGAAAGAGCACACCTCAGCACTTCAAGTTCATGGAGGCCCAGAGCCCCCACTGTGTGGAGCTGATGGGTGGCACAGGCTGCTGTTTCTCTGGGTTGTTGGCCGATGTGAAGAGCTGATTCTTTCCCAGCACCAGCACATATTGCTCTTCTGCTTGTCTCTCTGAAGCAAAGCCAGGAAGAGCTGAGGGCTGGTGGTGCAGGTGGTGCCTGGGGTGGGATACAGCCTTGCGGCTGGACACCTTCCTGCTCTGCCAGGAGGAACAAGGATGTGTTCACAGCTCCTGAGCTCAGGGGCAGCTGGCAAAGAGCACCACAGCTTAAATTTAGCAGTTGCTACACCTGAGGCATTTGACAAAATAATACACTTAGACACCAATAGAGCAGTGACGATGTGGCAATCACAGAGCTGCTGTGGGCTCCAGGGGCCTCTCCCCATCACCACCTGCATTGTAACGGGCCACAGCTGAGTTTCATCATCATTTTTAGGTTTTATGTCCTGTGAGGTCTTTATGTCCCACATAAAAACTGAAGCCTGGTTTTGCAGAACACGCCACACTCACGAGCACTGAGGATGTTTGTCGGCAGTGGTGTGTAACGCTGCTCTGTTTCATGGGGACAGTGGAGAGGGACCCTGACCTCCATCCTCAGCCAGAAAATGCTTTTTTTAAAGGAAGAAGCTGGTGGTGGGTGGAGTGGGGTCCCAATGGTGGTATGATGACCCTGCATGAGCACTGCAGGGATGACCCTGTCCCCCTGCCCCCCAGCGCAAGGCGATCGAGCGGTTCTGCAGTGAGGTGAAGCGCCTGTGCCACGCTGAGCGGAGGAAGGACTTCGTCTCCGAGGCCTATCTCCTCACTCTGGGCAAGTTCATTAACATGTTCGCTGTCCTGGATGAGCTGAAGAACATGAAGTGCAGCGTCAAAAATGACCATTCTGCCTACAAAAGGTGAGAGGGGCCAAAGCAGCGGGAATGGGGATGGGACTGCACCTGGTCTGCACGGGGAGTGCCTGGGCAGACAGGTGAACTTGAGGAGGCTGGAGCTTGGGTTTCTGTGCTCTCCCAGGCTCTCTTTGCTAGTTTAGGTGAATCTCTGCCCTCTTGTGTTTTGATTCCCTCTTGGTAAATAGAACTGTGCTGCAGTGGGGTTTGAGGCTGCAGCTCAGACAGGGGAGGTGGGTGGTGACAGTCTCACGCTGGCTGAGTGATCCTTGCTGATGTTGGATTTTTCTCCTTCCAGAGCTGCCCAGTTTCTGCGGAAGATGGCAGACCCCCAGTCCATCCAGGAGTCCCAGAACCTCTCCATGTTCCTGGCAAACCACAACCGCATCACACAGGCAGGTCCCTTTTCTCTGAACTGCTGAACCTTTCTGTGAGTAGAGAAAAGGAATGATCTCGTCGAGGCTGACAGCACTTCAGACCAGACTGTCACAGTAGCTGTTGAGTCATTGCCACTGACTTTAATGGTATTTTGGTCAGGCTGTGTAATTCTAGCAATATCTTCTTCTCATGCATCATCTTGGGTGGCTTTGGTGGTCTCTATGTCCAGACAAAGATGAAGGTCTGAAAGATGTAAGAAGAGGGGGAGGAGGAGGTTCTGCCAGAACTCCAAGAAATCCATCCCTTGTGGCTACATGGGGACTTCAGCTCAGACCCCATGGCCTCCACACTTCACAGGCCCTATAGTTTCTGCTAATTAGGTACAATATTGTACAGAAACAGGAGAGTCAGAAAGTTGCTTCTGAGTCACCTTCCTTTGCATCTCACTGTGTGATGTTTGGCTGTTGTGATCAGTCTGAAGGGGAGAGCTGTCCTGCAGAGGAAGGTTATTTCTTCTGGGTGGTACTATGAGGTCAGTCTTCTGCCAGTAACTTAAGAAAAGCATATAGAAGAGGTTTATCATTCTACTTTTAATCCTTCAAATATGTTTCCTCCCTGGTTGCTGCTTTTCTTCAGCCCATGCCACTAATGTGGCTTCTGTTGATGTTTCAGTGTCTGCACCAACAACTAGAGGTTATCCCTGGCTATGAGGAATTGCTGGCTGATATTGTCAACATCTGTGTGGATTATTATGAAAACAAGATGTATCTTACTCCAAGTGAGAAGCACATGCTCTTGAAGGTAAGGTTTAGCCACGCTTGTGGGGCTGGGTGCTTTCATGGTTTTACTGTTGTTTTAGTAAAGTGAAATTCAGGATAATGTTTCTTTTCAATTTCTTAATTTTTTGCTCCTTTGAGTTTACATGCATCCCTCCTCTGCAGAGCCAGTGTCCTCTGGTCACACAAGTTGCTCCGTGGGCAGCAGCAGAACTGCTTTGCTTCCTCCTCTTTCTGTTTCCTTTCTGATCCCTGTTACTTTGTCTTTTCTGTGATACCTCAGTCCTCCCATTTCACCTCTTTTTTGTAGCTGAACAGACTGGTTGGGGCCATGGGTCAGAGATGTTCCACCCCCGTGCTCCAAAGTGACGTCTCTGCTGGGCAGTGCCATGAGCTGCTTCTGTTACTCCTGTAACTTGAACCTTCTCCCACCATTTCTCTGCTGTCCTTTCTGGTCTTCTCCCATATTCCCGTATAAAAATTCCTTTCTCTTTCCTTTTCCTCTGCTCTTCCCCATCTCCATCTCTCGTTTTCCCACAATCCTTCCCAAGGTTTTTCTGTTGTACATGGATGTGCAGGATCATGGGCCTGACCTGGGTAGCTGTAAAGGACATTCTAACATTACCACCAACTTTGTAACCCAGAATTTTCTTCTTGGTGCCCATTCCCTGCAGAAGGCAGGTCCTTCCAGGTTTGTTTTCCTGACTGTAAAGAGCCCTCAAGATGAAGATGCCAAAGTATGTGCTTGTTTGGTGTATTTGTCCTTGCTGTCAGTCAGTTTTTGGCAATGATTGCAGTCACTATTACCATAAAAACTTCATTACCATGGTGTGAGTCAACTCAGGTTCTTTGAAGGATAATGTGGGTAGTTTGACTATCTGTAATGATTTTTACTGAATTAATGGGGGGAAAAAATCAATCCAGGAGAATATTTTAAATGTTTATATTTTTCTCTGGGTGTAAATGTTTGGCTTTGGGTGGAGAAGATTTCTGGGCTGTTGTTATGTGGGAGAGAGAAGGAACAAATTGCCAAAGGAAGCACCATGTTTTTGCACAGAAAACAGAAGCAATCTATTTTTTGTCCTCAGCCTACCATGTACATCCTTGAAGATATGTGCATGTTTTAGACAGTCTCCTCAGGAGTGTCAGGTGGCACAGGAGCCTGAAATGGTCTTTCCTCATGCCAAGTGGTGGAGAACTGTCTTTGACTTGTGCTGCTGACTTCATGCTAATGAAACCTTGCCTTTCCATCTTCTCCAGGTGATGGGGTTTGGCCTGTATCTCATGGATGGGAATGTCAGCAACATTTACAAGTTGGATGCCAAGAAGAGAATCAACCTTAGCAAAATAGACAAATTCTTCAAGGTCAGTGACCTGTCTGGGTGAGGCTGGAGGTTATTGCAGACAATGGATTAGCGACCTGTACCACTGCACATGCTGCCAGCAAAAAACAAACCACAGGAATCATTTACAGGTCCAAAAACCCCCAAAGGGTTAAGGAATTACCTGGGCCAAAGTCTGAGGAATGGAATTGCTGTGACCAGCCATGGACACAGAGTTGCAGCATGGGCCATGCCAGCCCTCAGTGCCAGCAAGGCCGTGGATGGGTGAGCAGTGCCTGGAGCTGGCTCTGCTCCCCTGGTGCTGGAGCTGAGGAGCTGCTGCTGCAGCTCTGCCTGCTTCCTGCCAAGGGACTGAGGAGGGGGAGGGTGTGTGGGCTGTTTGGTGGGTGAGGGAAGGATGTGCCAGACCGACATCACTTCTATCTCTCTGCAACATTTCTGAGGCAGGTTTGCAGTCTCTGTGATTTCAGGCCACCGGCAAACCTGGCTGGTTTGCTGAGGTCTGTGCAGGTGATGGTTGTGCTTCTCTTTCCCTCCGCACGCTGCTGAGCTGAGGGACAGAGAACGCAGCTGATGAACCAACATGTGATCTGGCAGTTTTTTTTCATGTATAAAAAGTTCTCACTGTAGAACAGGAAAAGCTTTTTGGGGAGCCTGTGTCAGCTGGGACTTGGAGGTGCTCAGTTTCATCCTCAAAAGGGTCACCCAGTGGTTTGATGAACCATTTTTTTCTTATCTGAGATGTGGGTTTTGGGGAAGGGCCCATGAAAACCGGATGCTCCCAGTGGCAGGGTGGGAAGCAGTCACTCAACCTGCCTCTGCCAAAGCACATGTGAGACTGAGTCCACTCATGGGCTGGTCTGCAGCTGGAGGCCAGGCTGCATTGCCCTGGGGCCACTCAGCACAAGAAAGGTTTGGGATAACCCTGTGGCTACCTGCCAAAATCTGGTGTGTGTAAGCCCCTGGCCACCCATGACAGAGATTGGGGCTGAGAGCCTGCACAGCACCCCAGGGAAAGTGATGCCTCCTTTCCAGTGCTTCTGCACACAGGGTGGATCCAGGAGGCATTTTGGGTTTGGGGCAGGTGAGCTCTAGGAGGCACAGTGGCATCTGGCAAGGGAAGAATGTGTTGGCAGCAAAGAATAACAGTACAGCAGGAGAACAGCAGAATAATTTCCCAGACAGAGCAATTAGTTTTCTTTGAGCAGTCCTTCCAGAGTCCTTTTGCCTTCACTGTATTAATCTTTCTCCTGAGATGGAAAGATTATTTTCTCTTACCAGCATTTGCTCCACATCAGGGAAAATGAGAAGATGATAATTTGGGGAGGGCACAGAGTGCTCCTTCCCCATCAGTCTTTCAGCATGGTGGATTCTCCCTCTTGCTTTACCCAAAGATCAGATGAGGAATCTGGAAGAAGGGGTTGGTTATGGTGTTGGATAGAGGATGCTTCCCTGCTTATTGCCCGCAGGTTCAGTTTATAGATGGTGTGCTGGGTCTGTGCAGGGGAGGGAACAGGTGAGCCCAGGTACCTGGTTTCATGAAAGGTTTGTGTGCCAGCTGCTGCATCCTTGCCCTGAGCAAGTGGGGACCTATTGACCCCAATTTGCACCATCTCCTGGAGACAGCCCTGAGAGCAAGGGGCCACAAACACCATAACCTCATGGATGGGGCAGTAATGAGGTGGTCAAATACCCTCCAGTCACTGGGCAGACTGCTGAGGACTGCAGCTCTGCAGAGGGGATTTATCATGCCTTTCCTCAGAGTCTTCAGGGTTTTCCCTAGGTCAGCTTTGCTAATTCAACTAAATCTCAGTTTAAATCAAGCCTTCAGTGTAATCTGTAGAGTTTGGTCATCTTGGTGCATTCAAACAGATTTGCTCTTCGTTGCAAAATGCTGTGGGCCATCAGAGAACCAGGTAAAATATTTTCCATTGCATGGAATAACTTTCTCCTTTACAGCTTTTTTTTCCATTTGCACTTCTCCAGCATCTGCTGTGGTCTCACCTAATCAGTTAAGTGCCACTCCAGACTATCAGATCTCAATAAGGAAAGACCAACTACTCCTCTTACTACATCTGCTTATTGCCTTCTGATTAAATTTCTAGTGGATTGACCAGGAATTTGAGTAGTGAAAATGAACTACCCCTTCATTTAAACCTTTTATGGAAGTGCTACTGGGAATTCCTGATGGCAGCATTACACACCCTCCACACAACTCACCCTGAGAAGAGAACCGTGTGATAATAGGACAGGGAATTTGCCATCATCTTTCCTGAATTTTGGGGCAAGGCTTTTCTAGCTGGGTGAAGTCGAAGCTTCATATTTTATTGATGAAATGTTGGTAGCTCTTGTTTGAATTTTGTTTGCAGCTGAAAGCTTAGTGAAGCAGGGACCTGTTTGAGCTTGAGGTACGTTCAGTGCGCTTTGAATTTATTTCCCATCCAAATCCTCCTGAGATGTAAAGGGCAAGTAAAGCCATGTTATACTGCCTGTGTCTTTCTCTTTATGGAGAAGTTTCAAGACACATCACAAGCATCCACAGTGCTAAAGTACACTCTGAGTGCCTGGGCAAAGTTGCCACATCCATGGGTGTCCAAAATACCAATGTGCTGGCTTTTCATCCCTCTTTTCTCTTGGAGGATTATGCTGGGAGACAATAAGCTCTGCTCAGGAATGTGCTTCTCTCTTTTTGTTGTAAGAAGAGCCTATTCTCTGTCTGGTTACAGCACTGAACTGTTCTGGCCATTACCAGCCTGGTATCAGCGAGCCCAGGGCTCCAGAGCACTCACAGGGGATGATCTTCCTCACAGAGAAAGCCTTGTGATCGTTTTCAGTCTCTTACTAGGTGGGAAATGACCCTGGGCCCAGGTTTGCACCTTGCTTTAAATAGCCTGACACTTTCCAAAGCTTTGGAGATGCAGGATGCCTTTCCATAGTCCCTTGTGTTGCACTGGGGCCAGGCTCGCTCTCTCTGCCGTGTTTCAACCATCTTTTGTTTTCTTTTCCAGCAGCTGCAGGTGGTTCCTTTATTCGGCGATATGCAGATAGAACTGGCCAGATACATTAAGACCAGTGCTCACTATGAGGAGAACAAATCCAAGTGAGTGCCTGCCATAATGTCTCTCGGCTTCTGTGTGTGTCCTGAGAGCCGTGGGAGCTGCAGCTCTGTGGTGTGCGTGAGGTCTGTGCACGGGTACCCGTGTGTGTCCCTGTGAGGTGTGAGTGCCAGCTCTGTGTGCTCGTGTGTCCCTGTCCCTGCATGGGAAGATGTCCTCACCAGCCCTGAGTGCTTGTGTGTGCAGCCAGCTCCGAACCCACATGTAACCATCCCCCTGGGAGCAGGCAGGGGAGCGGGCATGCCTGTACCTCTGTGCCCACTGGAGAGGGCTGGGAGGGAGCTGGGTGGCCACTAGTGAGGCAGGAGGAAGGAAAGGCATCTGGTGCACGGATCGGGGCAGTGCTGAGTGCTTGTGAGGTGTGTGAGTGCGAGCAGTGTGTCCCTGCTCTGGAGAGATTTTAATCCCCATTTTGCATCTCAAGGACAAAATCCTCCAGAGCATGAACACAGCAGTGGATCTCTGCAGTAGCCAGGGCGTCTCCTCTAGCTCAGGCAGGTTTCATGAAGAAGGACAGCAGGAATGAGGATGGAGCCGAGGGGCTCAGATGAACTGGAAACAACTGGACATGGCACTTAGTGCTGTGGTTTAGTTGACAGGTGGCGATCAGTCAAAGGTTGGACTCGATGATCTTAGAGGTCTTTTCCAACCTAAGTGATTCTGTGATTCCAAATACTGTGCAAGAAGGGCAGAAATGGAGTCTGTGGAGAGCTCAGGAGTAGCATGGCAGTGTAAAGTGCTGCTTCCCAGCCTGGGCTCACAGGCAGTTTGCTGCTCCTGTCAGATGAATTCACAGACGTTGTTTCAGTCACACCAGGCATGTGCAAGGCTCCACTTGTCTTTGTAGCTTTGCATCACGCTGAGGTATTGCTAGAAGAATCGGTGTTAGGTTTGGATATCCTTGGAATGGGAGTTGCAACCGCACATAAGCAAAGCCCGTCTGAGCTGTGTCTGGCTGTAGTGGCTGGTGGCAGCCTGGCTTTCATCAGGCTGTGGCCTTTCATGGGACTGTATTGCATGGAAGTCAGATTTCTCTGGTGTCTGTGAGAAACAGTGAGGCTGGACTGTCTCTTCAGCAGGACAGGAACTAACCTGCAGTCTCATCGCTTCTGTTTGCTTGTCCCCTTCCACCCCGGAGGGTCTGGCTTCTCTGCCCACCAGGAGCAGCCCTCCCTTGCCCCCACAAAGGCAGGTTGAAAAGTGCCGATTAATTGTTCAGGAGAGATTTGAAAATAACATGGCAAAACGTCCTGAACAAAAGGTTTTCAATTCAAATTGAAAAAAAAAAAAAAGACAAAAAAAAATTATTCTGCGTAACGTAAATTTAAAGAATATTTTTTAAAATTCAGAAGAGAAAAATTGTTAAAAATTTTGCAGCTTCTTATCTCGAATCGTTCAGAAAGCACGTTTCAACGAAACATGTGTCAGCAGCATTCCTCATTTTCTCATCTCAAAACCAAGGTAGCTCGCGGGCTGTTTACCTGTTCACGATTTAATGTCTGTCTTGAAATCTGTCTTACCAGGTCTGTGTGCCGTACCTTACTAACCAGTGTTTCTTCCTCACTCACTTTCCCAGCAAATTGCATGGGACTCCCAACACTAATTCTGCCAAGGTGGTTCCATATAATCCCCATTTCTTACTAATATTGTTTTTGTCACTTTCTTTCCCTCCTTGTCTCCATGAAAGTGGAATTAATTGGTGTTTTTCCTGCATGGCGCTTTGTCTCTGCACTGTGGACTAGGTTGTGTGTGGCAGGGAGGGCTGGTGCAGCCCTGGCCATTCCTGCTAACCTGCCGATTGTCCGGTGGGGAGCACAGGACATGGAAACGGGTAAGAGTCGAACGATGGGGCTGTGGGAGGATGGATTTCACCAGGGATGACGTGACCCAGCACCTCCAGGACCTTCTACCACCACAAATTCTGTCAACAAGTGCAGTTACCTGTAGGGATGTGTCTTCATGTCTATGTCCATATCAGAGGCAGGTTTCTCACCTTCCTTTGGTATGGCCAGTCTAGATTGGAGAACATGACTATCTGTCATAAGATGGGCAATTATTTAGGGGGGAAAAAAGCATAATCTGAACTTTTACATTGTATTGACAGAGTAAGACATGAGAATCTTGCTGACAGACATTTGCTTGCACAAACCCTTTTGGTGGAACTGTTCTGGTTCTGTGTCTGGGGCTAATACCTTACAGGGAAAAAGATACTAAATTAATAGACTTGGTTTGTACCATTCCTGTGCCTTTGCAAGAGGAGTGCTACCTTCTTTTAGGAATGTCATTACACTGTTACATGGTACCTGTAGCTCAATGCAAATGAAAATCTAGTTCAGTTAATCATATTCTGCTTGTCATTTATACTCAAAGTTGTTCACTGAGCTTGTAGCATGAGCCAGAACAAAAAACATAGAGTGGGAGAGCTATTCCTGTGCTGGCCCCTTGCAGAGTTTTTCCTTGCAGGAGAAGGCAGCATAACCCAGAGCTGGAGGGATGATCTCTAAAGGGATGATTATCCTTAAGTTTAGCAGAAAGGATGAAAATGGTGCCAAGTCTTTGAATTTCATCCTTCCCTGAAAGCTTGTCCAGTGATGGTCTGGGAAATAGCCATCTCTGCTCTTGGGGGTAGATGAGCCCAACCTTGACAGCAGTCTTCAGGGTGGATGGAGCAGAGATATTCAGGTTGAAAGGTGAGGCAAGTATCCCCATCAGACCACCTCTGGAAGACCCCACACACCAGGGGCCATGAGAGACAACACAGGCTGACATTTGCCCTGAAGGTGGCATGTCTGGAGCATGTTGAAGTGAAGAGAGCAGCTGTCCCTGGGGTGTCTGAGTGCAGCCCTGTGCCCTGTCCTTGACACCCTTGCTTTTCTCCCCAGGTGGACGTGCACTCAGAGCAGCATAAGCCCCCAGTACAACATCTGTGAGCAGATGGTGCAGATCCGAGATGACCACATCCGCTTCATCTCGGAGCTCGCTCGCTACAGCAACAGCGAGGTCAGTCACTCACAGGGTGTAGCCACTGTAATCAGGCTCGTTAGGTGGGCAAGGATGGGAGAGAACAATGTAGCAGGAGTATGGTCTGCCACAGTGAGAGGGACGAAGGAGGTGGATGGAACAAACCACTTCTCCATCCAGCAATAAAAAAGCAAGTTATGAAAGGCTCTTGTAGGTGCAAAATCATGTGCAGTAGAAGATCTCTTGCAACAGCTTCTGCTCCTTGACCACAGATTCATTATAATAAACAGAAAAAAATTGGCAATTAAATGTTTAGTATCAGCCAGATGTCAGAACGCCAATGATTTGCAAATAGGGCTTTTCTATTACACAGAGCTCTCAGGCAGGGCTTTGAGGAAAGTTCACAAGGGCATCTCTGTTCTTTTCATTACTGAGTGCCAGTGCTCTCTCTGATGCCACTGGGACTGCTTTTTTGCAAATGTGTGATCCTCATTAATCTGTGTTTGTTTAATAAATCGTAGTATACTGAGCCTTTTCCTTTTTGGCATTTGTAAGTGCTTATTTGAACTTTTAATCAGTAAAGGACTCTCAAGGATTTCAGTAGTATTAGACCATCTAAAAGGAGTGGGAAAGTGGAATAAGAAGAGTAAGTTATTTGCTCTGAGGTTACAGGTCAGACCCATTTCTCTACAGGAAATAGATTCTGCCTGGGTGAATAGAGTCTTGCCAAGTTATACCCCTTTTCCTGAGGGACAGTATATGCCCTACTCAATTTTAGCCTGATTGTAAGGTCACAGGGAATTAATTTCAGCTGGGATCTGTTGGCTGAGTGAGGCCCCTGCACCAAGTTGCTGAGTCTAACCCTGAGGTGATGTGATGTCCTGCAGGTGGTCACTGGCTCAGGACTGGACAGCCAGAAATCGGATGAAGAGTACAGGGAGCTCTTTGATCTCGCTCTACGGGGGCTGCAGCTGCTGTCCAAGTGGAGTGCCCACGTCATGGAAGTGGTGAGTGTGTAATGTCCTCCTCTGGTGAGCATGGATGTTTTAACATGGCATGTAACAGACTGTGGGAAGGTGAGCTTGCTTTAATGCCACCTAACTAAGCCATTAACAGACACGCTGAGATCAGGCAGCTAATGACCCTGAACACCCCGAGCGTCAAATGGAGAAAGAGCTTGGTCGTCTTACCCTGGACCTGAAAGCTGTAGTGATGTCTAGGGAGTGATTTCCTGTGTGATTTCCTCAAGAGGACACAGGCCCTCTTGAGTCTTTCCAGCCCAGCTTCTCTCTCATTGCAATGTTGACATTGTCTCTTTCCATCTTCTAGTACTCTTGGAAGCTGGTTCATCCCACAGATAAATTCTGTAACAAGGACTGCCCAGGAACAGCTGAAGAGTATGAGAGAGCCACCCGGTACAACTATACCAGTGAAGAGAAGTTTGCCTTTGTGGAGGTAGGTGCCAACTGCACGAGACTCAGAGCCAGCCACTGCTGGTTTCCTGTGCATGTTCCTCAGGCCAGGGGAAGAGGATGGAAGGGTATCTTACTGTACTCTGCCAGTTCCTCATCCCTGTGGCCCATGTTAAAGGATTAAGGGTTCCCACATCCTTTAATTTGGCCCTTAATTTGCCCCTGGCCTGCAGCGGGTTTGTCTTGGCACCGGCTGACATTGGTTCTATTGGACATGGGGGAAGCTTCCAGCAGCTTCTCACGGAAGCCACCCCTGTAGTCCCCTGCTATCAAAAACATGCCACACAAACCCAATGCAGTGGGCTTGCAGAGCAAGATCAGCAGCTATGTTCAGGAGCTGTGCAAACACGAGATCCTCAGCCAGTCCCCAGGACCCATCAGCTCTTGGTCCAGCTCTCTGTAGATGGTGCAAATAGTCCTCTGAGCCTGGCTATGGGAGGCACTCACACCTTCATCTTGCCTTACACAGCCCAGGGTGGTTTGAATATTGCCTTAACTTTTGTGGCTCGCTCCTCTCTACTCTTGGACAAGGAAGTCTGTGCCCTGGTGTGAATGCAGGTCTGTGCAAGCTGCACCCACTGGAGCGTGTGCAGTTTCCTGGGATTGTGTTTTATTAAAGATAGCAAGAGATCAGGAGTGGAAGCAAAGCCTGCCTGGGGACAGGGGTCATTTGGAAGAAACTGATGGTGTAAATCCTCTCCTCAGCTTGTTGTGATCTGTAAAGCAGCTAACACCAAAAAATTAGCTGCCTAATCACTGGACCTATGTAACTTGAGTAGAATTAGTTCAGCCCCTAATTCCCCTAGTGTTGGATTTTTGGACCTCTTCATGCAACGGGAAAATATCAGATACCTCTGGTTTTAATTTTTGCTTCAGGTAATTGCCATGATCAAAGGTCTGCAGGTGCTGATGGGCCGGATGGAGAGTGTCTTTAACCAGGCCATCCGCAACACCATCTACGCGGCCCTGCAGGACTTCGCCCAGGTGACCCTGCGGGAGCCGCTCCGCCAGGCCGTCAGGAAGAAGAAGAACGTCCTGATCAGGTCAGTCCGTCCCTGAATGCAATGCAAAGCCCGTGTGTTTATCTATGGAACACATTTATACTGTATAAGCCTGTGGCCCTGCGTGCACTCAGCAGTAAACAACCAGCCAACGTTCCTGGGCCAGCAGCTCCTCCCGAGGTGACTCCATGGGCATGACTCCATGGGCATGACTCCACCAATAACAACTGTGTATGTCCCCACCTCAGATATTTTAGCTCCCATGTGTGCACAGCAGTGAATATTTTCATCTTGAAGTAAAATCAAGCTTAAGCACTACTTTCCCTCTCCCACCCACTCCAGTGTCCTTCAGGCAATTCGGAAGACGATCTGTGACTGGGAGGGAGGTCGAGAGCCTCCAAATGATCCTTGCCTGAGAGGTGAGAAGGATCCTAAAGGTGGATTTGATATTAAAGTCCCACGACGAGCAGTTGGACCATCAAGCACACAGGTATGTAAATGTCTGAATCTGTGTAGGGAATTAATGGTCTTACAGCCATGTAAGAGTCTTCCCACCCTGTGGATTAGCAGCTGTTTCCATGTCTTTTCCACAGTCTTCATATTATTGCATTAAATGTGGCTTTGGTGCCTAATTTGTTGTATAGTTCCCAAAGCTTCCCTTTTTAGGGCTGTAATTTTATCTAGCTCTGATGGGTAGTTGCTTATGGGTGCAGAGAGTGGTCACCACCTGGGAGAAGCGTTTTTTGTTCCAGAACTCCACAGCTTTGTGTGGTGGTGTCTCATGGAGAGTAGTAACTGCATATCCACCTTCTTCCAAAGCTTTACATGGTGAGGACCATGCTGGAGTCCCTGATAGCAGACAAGAGTGGCTCAAAGAAGACCCTGAGGAGCAGCTTGGATGGGCCGATAGTCTTGGCCATTGAGGAGTTCCATAAGCAGTCCTTCTTCTTCACCCACCTTCTCAACATCAGTGGTGAGATTATGGCAGGGGGAGGCTTGAATCCAACTCTTTCATGCTCAGAAAGGCAAAGGTGGATCAGCTTTGGTCCTCATTGACCTATGCAGAAGATTTTCCTTGTTTTTTCCCAAATATCCTACTTCTGCCTGATTCAGGCATGTTTCTATGTAGTAATCATTGTGTGAACAAGACTGAGTCAGCAACAGCAAATAGCCACATACAGTAGTGTATTTTCTAGGACTGGACTTTTCTTTCTGTCCCAGACAAACTTCTGAGCCCCTGGGCACAGAAGAAATTGGAAGATTTCAGAGATTTTCGGAATGAGAGTAACTCTGAGCCATTGAAGTGTTCCCCCTGAAGCTCTGGGGCAAAAGGGATGGTCCCTTCTTTCTTCTTCCATTACAAAGTGCTCAGACAGCATGGACGTGGTCTGGATTTAAAAGGAGACATCCTAGCAAAATGTTTCCCACCCAAAACCAGTCCAATCTGAGGCTGCAGCAGCTGCCTCCTGTGCAATGTCCTCACTGCTGTCCCATGGGGGTAACGTGGGTGCCCTCCCACGGGGGGATCTCCTCTGCATTTCAGAAGCACTGCAGCAGTGCTGCGACCTGTCCCAGCTCTGGTTCCGGGAATTCTTCTTGGAGCTGACCATGGGCCGACGCATCCAGTTCCCCATCGAAATGTCCATGCCCTGGATCCTCACGGACCATATTCTGGAAACCAAAGAACCCTCCATGATGGAGTAAGAGCTGATGGGCTGTGTTGGGGCTGTGCACGTGCTGGGGCTTGGGATTTTGTTTCAGAAATAGATGTTTCTTGCCTTGCTGTCACATGAATGGTACTGTGTGAACACCTCGTTAGCAGACACAGAGGGGCAGCTTCCTGGCACTGGCACTTATTTATGTGTCATAAATAGCAGCTGGCAACTGCTCTGTTGGGATGTGGGCACAATGTGGTGGTACTGTCACCTGCACAGTCAGACAGTGTGTGTGACCAAAGAGGGGTGGGCCCAGGCTAAGCCACCTAAAACACACTTTTTTTTTTAATGCATAATAAATAAGGAGAGGCATTGCTGTTATGCAAGTGTAATTATGTTCATTATGTCTTCCTGGTTGGTTTTCTGTTGTATGGCCATTGTCAGAGCACTTTGTGTAGTGAGAGCGGGACAAAAGCCTTTTTAAGGGTCGGAAAGAAGCAAGTGTTGATTGAACAAGTCACAGCTCAAACCCAGGTCTGTTGTAGCTACTTCCTGCAGGACCCAAGGAGCGAGAGGGACTATTTGAGGGGCTGGCAGGAATGGCAATGATAGCCATGAAGTCAGGGAAAAAGCATTTTTTGCACTGAACAGGGAACATGCACTGCCTGCCATTTATGCTGATATGCTCCAAAGTTAATTTAAGACGTGGTCTGTCTTCTTCCCCTCAGGTATGTGCTGTACCCCTTGGACCTCTATAATGACAGCGCATACTATGCTTTGACCAAGTTCAAAAAGCAGTTCCTATACGATGAAATTGAAGCTGAAGTAAGTTCTCTTCATCTTTATTGTATAGAAAGAGCTCACTGGGGTCATATTGCCCTGCTTGGCAGCCCCACCCAGCAGTTCAGTGAATTCATTATAGGCACCTTCCGAAAAAAATATCCTGTCAGACTGAGAAGTTTTCAAAAGATCAGCATTTCCAGAGACCTTACAGACTCTCTTGATTAAGGGCTTCAACTTAGCTGTACCCATGGGGGACCATGGAAGCCAAAGGCAGTCAAACACTGGGGACATGGAAGAGTCTGTCTGATGTGCAGAGGGTTATGAAACATCAGAGGAAAATGAGAAATTCCCTGGGAGGGGAAGGATGATGGAGGGTAGGAGACCAGGACCTGTAAGAACATGAAGAAACTGTAAGACGGAAAATAACTGCAATTTTCTGCTTACCTTTAGCATGTGAGAACTGCAGTGTGTTTTTTAGCTAGTGTGACCTTCAATACATGCTTTTCTTAAATGAGAGATCTGTGTTGGGTTGTGTTGATCTAGCATGCATAGGAAGGAGCTGCTCTGTGCTGGTGACACCCTCACCAAGTCTTGTTTTTTTTCTCCCCCAGGTGAATTTGTGCTTTGATCAATTTGTGTACAAGCTGGCAGATCAGATCTTTGCCTATTATAAAGCAATGGCTGGCAGGTAGGAGAACCTGACTGCTGATGGTGACTGATGATATCGCTGCATCCAAATTGCTGTTAAACTGAAAGGTTCCCCTCAGGGAGCAGCCGCTGCAAGTAGACAATAACATAGATCATCCCTGTCCCACGGAGCTGGCTGTCCACGTCAGACCAGTAAATGGGAAAAATGAATTAACAGTGGCAAGGAGACACAGTTAAAAGTGAAAACATAACAATTGGCATCCTGAGTAGCTGTCTGAGTACAGTTTGTGAGAGCAGCAGAAAAGCAAATGGAGACAACATGTCCTTACTTGACTTCTGTTTGTGTACCAGGCAGAGGAGTGGAAGCCTCCTATCTCTACAAAGCAGGAATATGCATTTGTCCTCACTCTAGTAAAGCAGCAGGACTTGTTCTCCCTTGTAGGGAGATAGAACCTTTGTGACATTTCCTTCTTAGCAATTTAAAGAACATGGATGAACTCTAAACTTCTTCTCATGGCCCCAAAGGTGAACCAAGTCTTCTGTGTAACTTTGCAAGGAGTTTTGTCTCTAGGTCACATTTGGCCTTAGAGAAGGAGAGCTCACCATCACCAACCAGATGTTCCCACAGCAGACTGGGGACCACCCCTGTACCTGGCACTAGTGATATTGTTCAGCACATTTTTTTATCTTTTGAAGGTTTTAGCCATAAAACAGAAGCATGGCAGTCCCCAGATAACACCTGCTGCTCTGTGATTTAGGGGTGTAAGCAGAGGTATTAGCGTGTGGAAATTTCTTGGCAGTCGGGGCCAAGATTAAAAGGGCAAAAACAACTCTGGAAAGATCCACAGAGAAGCTGATAGTGTATGTTTCTATTTTCCTGACGGTGCTTCTGTTTTTTTAGTGTTTTATTGGACAAACGTTTCCGGGCTGAATGCAAGAATTACGGGGTGATCATCCCGTACCCACCATCCAACCGCTACGAAACGCTGCTCAAGCAGAGGCACGTCCAGGTACAGTGCAAGCAATAGACTCCGGTACCCATCACTCCTGGTCTATTATCCATTTGGTGACAGTGGGCATCCTGGTGCTGGGCTCAATTGAGGTTGGTTCTGGAATGAGAAGGGTGGGACCCTGTTTCTGACACACCACACTCAAGGCTTGGGGCCTGAGGGGAAAACGAGTTGTGCTCCACATTTCCCTCCTTCTCTCTTAAGTTGACTTTATGTTGCCATTTTCACATTTTAGCAGGCTTGGATGTTTGGTTTTAAGCTGTGTCCGTTAAAAAAGAGATAGAATACCTTTTCCCTATCTGTATATAATATGCAAATCTCTTCTTTTCCCAGTTGCTGGGTAGATCAATTGACCTGAACAGGCTCATTACCCAGCGCATCTCGGCAGCGATGTACAAATCGTTAGACCAGGCCATTAGCCGCTTTGAGAGCGAGGACCTGACATCCATAGTGGTAAGAACTGTTATTGACTGCGAGTATGAACAGAGAGAATAATACACTGCCATGGATACACAGTCAACTGTCTTCTGCTTTGAGTCTCCCTACAGTAGGTTTCAGGCAGCCATGTATCCTACTTTATGCTGCTGAGACTCTACTGTTTCTATTTATGCAGCTTTAATTGCATTATTATCAGACTATTAAGTATCTGCATAAATCATAAGGTGACAGTCAGCAGTTAGACTTTGCAGAGCTATAAGAGAGGCCTGTAACCTGAGTGAAGGAAATCTTGACTTTAATTCCCCATTGGATGAAGGTGGCTGTGACATTGTTTGTGTGTGTACAGGATTTGCTGTCTTTGATATGTTACAGGAGCATCAGAGTCAAGTAGTGTAAAATTATGTTTCCACCTTTGGAGGATTCTGGGGTGAAAACCAGCCAGTGCTCAGTGGGGAACAAATTAATTTTGCTTCCTGTAGATTCACAAGATATGGGACCAAGACCCCCTTGAGCAGAAGTGCAATTGGCCTTGGCCACTGAATTAAATTGATATCTTTAGTTCTGTGTGTGCGTGTGGATATAAAACCATTCCCCTGGCAATTATATCAGCTGCTTCTGTTGTCATCTTGGTAATATGTTGCATTTGCTGCTGCTTTATGTGCTGCAGGAGCTGGAGTGGCTCTTGGAAATAAATCGCCTGACTCACAGGTTGCTGTGCAAGCACATGACCTTGGACAGCTTCGATGCCATGTTCCGGGAGGCCAATCACAACGTCTCCGCGCCCTATGGGCGCATCACCCTCCACGTCTTCTGGGAGCTCAACTTTGACTTCCTACCCAACTACTGCTACAATGGATCCACCAACAGGTGAGGAGGGAAAGCAAGGAAAGGGCCCCCTGGAAACCCTGCTTTTCTTTCTAGAATGTCAGACCTGCCATATAAAATTCATGTGCATTGTGGTGAGATTTCCACTCCCCGTGAGATGCAACAATTACTCTTAGAATGAAGCTGAAGCCCACCATCTCCAGTTGGCCTTGAAGATGATAGTAACAAAGTCAAGCAGCAGTGATTGCAAGTGGCTGAGGGTTGTTTGAGCTCTGGTAGCTGCTCAGATGTGAGTTTCTTGCCTGCCCCAAATGAGAAGAAACTTTGGTAGGTTACACTGATATTTTACACAACCAGTAGATTGGGGCAGGAGTTTGCATTCCAATTCATTTAGTTCAGGTGATGAATTCTAATTAGCCTTCAACTACAGGTCATCCCAGACCATGCCATATCTGCTCTCAGTTAGCCAGGCTCTGACCACTTCCCATCTCCCGTGCCCACCACAGGTTTGTGAGGACAGCGATCCCATTCACGCAGGAGCCCCAGCGGGACAAGCCAGCCAATGTTCAGCCCTATTACCTCTATGGATCCAAGGTCAGTAAATGAGCCACTGCAGCCAGAAGGGGTGGATGCTGGAAATATTTATTTATGAAGAAAGAAATGCAAGAACTAGTTCAATAACAGAATGGTGGGTGCAAATGTGCAGGGTCACACTGTTGTTTGAAACCAAAAGGCCATGCAAGAAGCAGATTCAGTGTGCTGTTGCTATTGCTTTCCCGTATTCTTCCCCGTAACATGCCCATGTTAAGAGATGCCAAAACAGCTCTGTGCTTGGTGTTGGCACTGAGACTGAGTCACATCCATCTAAATGCACAGAGAGGTGAGCACGTTGGTGCTCCAATGCAGTGCTCCTTCCCAAGGAAGGTACCATTTCAGGAATCTCATTTGTAGTTCAAAATAGGAATTACTAAAATACTTGAGTATGCAAATATAAACTACTTAATACTGACAAAAAGCTCTTTTCTCAGGCTGCAATGATTGTTTATACAGGCACTATGAGGGCTTGGGATGTGATACTAGTGGAGGATCACTCAAGTGTGAAACTACTCCAGTGGAGTTTATTTCTTGTGCACATTGATAGATGACTCTGAAGTGAACCTACCTTACTGATGCAGATGAACTAATGACACTACAGTCCGTCAAACCTGGCTGTTCCCAGAGAGCTGACTTGGATTCTTTTTAAAAATTCTCAGCAAATGACAAAAATCTTTCTCCCTGCAACCAATGTCTGTGCCTTGTGTTCTAGCCTGGGACAGACAGCTGCCTTGGATACACAGACAGTTCTCTTGGCAAGAGCTGGGAAAGAGAGGATGAACCAAACCTCTAAGTAGGATCTTGTTTTATTTTGCTCTCATTGAAGGCCATGCTGTGGCAAGATGGCCCTTTTATCATCGCTGTTTTTATAGGAAAAAAAGCAGTGAGGGGAGCTATATGGACTCTCCCTCATGAAACTGGAGCTCCTCATCAGCACAGTGGTCATGGGGACCTCCAGAAGCTCCTCCCTCAGTTCATCATTCAGTGGCTCCTCTGGTGAGCTGCTTCCTTCGACCACTTCTTCAGGGCTGGTGTCGGGATGCTTCAGCCTGGCAGCCTGGTGGCACCGTGCAGACCAGAACTGCAGGCAGCCATAGGCCAGGAGAGCGAGGAAACAGAGGAGCAGCAGGCTGCTCACCATCCACATGGAGGTGGTGGGTTCGTGCTTAGAGCCGCCGAAAACCAGGGGGATTTTGTCCAGAGTGTGGAAGGTGGTGCAGTGGTTGCTGGAGGGGTAAGAGTTTTTGCACGTGATGCAGAGGACATAGATGGTGGATGGCGTGAGTCGGTGGAGGACGAGGGAGCTGAGAGGGTGAGGGACTCGCTCCTCGCGGTGGAAGTTCTGGCGTAAATAGCCGGCAAAGACGCTGTTCCAGTTGGGGCGGTACATGACGTGGTAGTAGTTCTCTGGACAGGGGTTGTTCATGGCCCAGGAGACCGTGGCGCTGGTGTAAGTGATGTTGTGCACTTCGATGTTCATCGTGCCCCTGAAACCAGATGCAGGCACAGGCTGAGTTTCCTGATTTGTGTACAGGCTCAAAAGCCACTGACATCAGTGAAGTCTTTCCACTGGGTTTACTGGCCCTTACATTGGATTCAGGACTATCCTGGCTCACTTAGGTTAAATGCTAGGTCTTGGATGGCTAAAATTACAAAAGATAAATCCTGCTGTTGCCCAGCCTACTATATCACCCTGCTTCATAACAACAGAAAAACCCCAGCTGGGGCATAGGGTATACTTTAGTTAGATTTTTTAAAAAATCTCTCTAACTGGTTGTCTATATCAGAAGCATTTTTTAGCTTTTTTTATTTCCCATGAAATAGAAAGGATGCTTCAAATGGGATTAACATACAGTGATCGTTTAACTAGCTCCAACTTGCCTTGTGAAGCTGCCAATCAATAGATATTTTGATTTTACACCTAATTTTTTTTTTTTTAAAGCTTCATTATGGTTAATCCACTGGTTTAACTTGCTGCTGCATTTTCTGTACATTACTTGTTGCTTAATAGAGTTTCTGTTCCTGCAGCATGTCACACTGTAATATCAGGATCTTAAATGTGACATCTGTAGGTTGGTGACATCTAAAATCAGTGCTTTAAGAGAAATACAAATATATGAAATACAAGAACAAAGCTCTCCCCCAGCAGTAATAAATTACTGTTTAGCAACAGCCACAAATCACTTGAGCACATCACCCCTTTAGATCCCCAAAGTGCTCCCTGAGCCCCGTTCATTCTCTCTCCCAACCATCCAAGCGCTCGGAGCAGCAGCTGCATGCAATAGAGCTGGTTTATTTTTTTCCTTCTTCCTCTGTTCTTTAACAATCCCTAACTTTCCTTTAATTCACTCAGAGAGCAGCTCATTTTAAGAGCTGCTTTGTCCGTTCTCACATGAGGAGGTGAGCAGCACATGTGCCCATCGCTGAGCCCTCCCAGAGCCGCGGGCAGGCACTTACCTCCCTTACCTCCCCGGGTCCGCGGTGGCCGTCGGTGCTGGTGACAGAGCGGCCACTGGCAGGCAGTGCCTTCCCCTCTTCCCACCACTCTCCTCCCTCCTGCCTCTGCTGAATCCCTTCCCCACGCGCTGCCTTGTATTATACCCGTCTGGGGCTCCGTCATCTCTCACCATGGCAACCACTAAGAAAGGATGGGCAGGCATCTTCGAGTGATTTGGGAATGTTATCCTTAAAAGCTTCTGCCTGGGAGAAGTATGTGTTTCTGAGGCAGAAAAAAAAAAAAAGGCAGGTAGTTTTGTTTGCTGGTTTGTTTGGGTTTTCTTTTTTTTCCCCAGCAAGACCATCACTGACCCCCAGCAGGGTCTGGGGTTACAGACACCTTGGCACATTGTATGAAATCTGGGATCCTGGTCTGTGGTACACATTGACTCAGGTCCTTAATTCTGTGATTTCTTGCACATTTAAACTACTGATTTAAGCCAAAGCCAGTGAGCAGATTTTGAACCCTTATGGTGCAGCAACATCCAATAGCTTTTTAATGTTTTCTAAACTGTGCGATGGGAGTAGGAATTGGGTTTTCAAAGACCTCGACCCCCTGATGAACTGTGTGGGATTAAAGACAGGCTCTTCTTGGAATGTCCCTGACTTACAGACAACTAGGGGATGTCCCCTGTAAGTCTGGTGAGAGGGCAGGAGGGAGAGGCAATGCCAGTCCCAGTGGTGTTCAGGAGAGCAGCTCGAGTCTGTGGCCAGGAGGGGACAAATGCGTCACCAGGCCTGATAAGGAGAGGCTCTGAACAAGTATCTCACTGCTCTCCAAAGCCAAAATGTGCTTGAGAGGAACTTTCCCAGAAGAAGTGTTGGTTCTGGGTCTGGAGTTACTCATGTCATTCCTGGAAAGGTGTTTGCAACTTTTCAAAGATCTTCTAGATACCAACAGTGACGAGGTAATGGAAACTGCATCAGGAGGGGCTATTACAGGCTAGGGAGTATGTGACCCTTGCTTTTGATTGACATTTCACAGTTCTGGATGGTTTTGTCTTCCAAGATCTGTATTCCACTTTGTCTCTGTGAGAGCAGCTGAGCTGCATCTGCCAACGAGCTGAAAACTGGGAACAGAGATGAAAATAATTATGGGCAGGGATGGAAATGAAAGTGCTCCCAGGTGCTTCCTGCCTTTGGTTCGGTCCTGCTTATGAGAGCAGGGTGACAGGCACCTCTTAGCTGGCTCCATGCTGTGAGTAAATTACATCTTTGCCTGCAGGGAGAGAGCTGAGGATACAAATCCCAGCTTCAGAAAGGTAAATTACAGAAAGTGGTAGCATTTTCATGGGACAGCCACTTTCTTAAGGCATTTAGGTGGCTGAGTTTATCAGTGTTCACAGCTGCTTTGAAAGTAAATTTCAGTTGTTCACAAATAAGATGCATTAGCAGGAAGAGGGGAAACCAAGGAGAATGGGAATAGCTGGATTAGCCAGCAAGGGGTCCTGCTGACCTTTCTGCACACTGTGATTGATACTGCTTGCTAAGGGAAGTGCAGCAAAGCTTTCAGTGATGTTGGGATTACCTGCTCCCAAAATCAGGCTTGCACCAGTGATGAACTTGAAATTCTCATTTCCCAGGATGAGAAGATGCCAAAACCATGCCAGTGCCAGGACTGCTCCAGCACTGATGTTTCCCATATCTGCAGGTGGACCCAGCTGTGGGCCTGCCTAGGACCTCTCACTCCTCATCATAGGATGCAAACCATGGGCATGCTCCAGTGGCCAGCAGAAACTGAGCCGTTATCTGTCATTCAGCCACTTATAAAACACAGCAGGTTGTAAAGTCTCCAACAAAGAAGCTGCAAAATTACCATCAACCCACTATTTACTGCTCACTAACCACTTCTTCGCTCTGTAAATGCTTTAGATTGGGCTTCATTTATGTATTTTCATGAGTGCATATGTTTTTCTTGGCACTGCTGGATGCAGGGTTGCGCCAGAATCACTGGACATCCCTGTTTCCCTTTCCCTGGTTGAATTTGCTCCCCTTTTTTTAAAAAGTGTGCAGGCAGATGGAACCTGTGCATCCTGCTGCTGCTTGTAAAAATAGTCACGGTATGTGAACAGGATGGAGCCACTCTATTTTCTGCTGCCATGTCTGCAACAACAGCCCAAAGGTGTGAAGGAGCTGTGGTTGCTGCAGGAGATCTTGGTGGTGGGGGCTGCTGATCCCTTCCAAGCGACCTCCTGGGCTGTGTTACCCAGCTTGTTGCAATCAATATCAGTGTATACAGTCCTGAAAATCAGTATTGGTATCACAGAATCATAGAATGGTTTGGGATGGAAGGGACTTTAAAGATCATCTAGTTCCAACACACATGCCACGGGCAGGGGCACCTCTCTCTAGACCATGTTGTTCAGAGCTCAATCCAACCTGGCCTTGAACACTTCCAGGGGTGGGGCAGCCACAGCTTCTCTGGGCAACCTGTGCCAGGGCCTTACCACCCTCACAGTAAAGATTTTTTTTTTTTCCTAATATCTCATTGTTTCACTGAGACACAGAATATAGACAGATACAGTCTCAGTACAGTCTGTAACCATGGCTGCTGCACTGTACATGTCCTGTCCATCCCAGGTAGAAAATATGTGGGTTTTTTGCATGAAAGTCTCAGCAACCAGCTGGTAAAGCTGAATATGGTAAAAACTCAAGGGGAGTGAAGGGTGCTTGTGGCAGGAGAAGGAACCAGGACATATTCAGGCCATTTGACTAGAGACCCACCTCTGGCAATTCTGGTCAGAATTGTTTTTCACTTTCTAAGACACCATCTCAGCTGTTGCACTATAGTTAGGTTGGCTGGGAGCCCTGACTAGTCCTGGGCTGTGTGCAAGTCCTTCTTTGTCTCTATATCCCTCTTTCATTAGCTCTTCATTTTTCCAAGGGAATTCTGGAACAGTTAGTATTGTTTATTATCTCTCTCTGATCTATTTTATCAGCTAAAACTCACCCTGCCTTTTCTCAGGTGAGCTCAGACAGGTCTGGGTAATGGCCAACAACAAGCTCAAAGATTTGGAAATAGAACTGGGTTTTGATTTGCTTCATCTGCTACTAAATCCGCTCCAGAGCATCCTTAGTAACCTCCTGAGCTTCCAAAGCAATGCGGGGGCCTTCCCCACATGCTCACAATTACAGATGACTGTCCCTGAGACCTGGGTGCAGGGTGGGATACCTGGGCTCTGCAGGACACTGCACTCCTGGCCTCCCATCCCCAGAACCTGCCCCTTTGGCCCCAAACCAAAGTTGGGACAAACCTCCCCAGGGGGTCTTCAGCAGCTGCTGCTCCAAGGGGAGGGCAGGATCGGGGATTTGCTTTGGCTCTCCAAGGGGTTGGAAGCGGGGGCCCAGCACGAGGGAGTGAGCTGTGCCATGTACCTTCAGCTGTTTTCTCTTAAAATACCCACTGGTGTCATTTTTTACATCCTACAGTCTTTACCCCAAGCTGTGTATCTCACCCTTAAATGGAGTTATATTTTTAATTGCTGGCAGAGTATTATTATTAGATGCAAGCCTGCTGTTAGTGCACTGTGTGGCTTTGCAGAGAGCTCGATGAACCTCCCTCATCTTGCAGATAGGCAGGGATGAATCATCCTGCTCATCTGCAGCCAATGCACGTCCTAAAATGTGTCTTCTCCCAATCAGGCTAATTGCTGAGACCCCCCCACTTGAGGGAAAAGCCTGGATGAGAGCTGCTCTCCAGCCCCATTATCCCACTGAGAGGGAAGAAGTGCTGCAAGGTGGGCAGCTGGGCAGCAGCACTGGCCACTCACTGCCCGTGCAGCAAAACATCAGCCCCGTTATGGGGAAGACCTGACCAGTTGCACTACAACTGGGTACTGGTGGTGGTAGCCCATCTCAGGGGACCAAGGCTCGTGCACAGACAGAAGTCCTGTCTGCTGGCCATGGAGTAGCAAAGAGGCTTCCAGAAATGAGTGTGGATTCATGACCCACTGAAATGGGGATATTTTGTTCCCATTTAGCCCTGGTGTGCTAAGCCTGGGGAAATATCAGGCTAAAGGAGCCTACAGGGAGACAGGGAAGGAAGGTGCAAGGAGCCATCTCAGGGTCACTTGGATCACTCCTGCAGCACAGCACTTTCTGGGGACACCTGGAGCAGGGATGGTGCCTTGCAAAAGCCAGAACAACACAGGCTGTGGCAGTATGGCTGGGCTGGGGCCCTGTTGCACTGACTTGCCTCTGGAATGGTGGTGTTGGCCATTTGGCAAATATTCCAGGCTGGGTGTTACCTGGTGTTTAAACAGACACACTTTTCAAAATGTAAACCACTGCTGTTCTTCAGATGTATCAGGGTGTGTAACTAGTGGCTTTGGTTCTGTCTCTACCAAACAGGTTTTTAAAGACTTGGTTATCTGAGAATGCAGACAGAAGACTAAGTAAGATGCTCAAATGCCATTCTCTGAACAGGAGTTGGCATCCAAGGAGTTTTGAAAGTAGGCTTCTGTCTGCCTAAATAATTGTTAAACTCTGGCTCATGCCTCATTCAGGGCCCTTTTTTTTAGTTTTAGTGGGAGAGAAAGTTCATGCTCGTTGTGAATGAGCCTCTAAGGTAGCCTTTCTGTACTTAATAGTATTAAAGGGCTATTTTCACCTACCAGGAACAGGAGGAGAAATTATATTTCACGGAAAATAGGGGACTTTCTAAATGTGCTTATTTCTGCTAGTTCAGAGAGCACCAACGAATTACAGCAGGCAACGAGCTGCTGGACCAGAGCAATGGAGCTGTAACAAAATGAGGGACAATTAATTGATTAAAGCATCTGACAAGTCTATGAAAGTGTGGTCAGTACCTCGGTCTGCTGAATTCTGTAGCTGAGAGCAAAAGAAAATGCTTTTCCAATTCCTAGCAAATGACTTCACTTTATAACTCATTAGTAGCTCAGATGAGGTGTTAAAAGTAAGTCTTGCAGAAGTGAGTCAGAACTGGAGGACAACTGGAGCCTTCAGCCACTGTATTGCTGCAGTGGTGAAGCACAGACAATAGTTTGCTCTGTTCTGCTACTTCAGCCTTTGCTCTCTTTCACCCAAACCTCCTCAGTGCCTTGATCCTGGCACTCCCTTTGCTCTGTTACTGGCAGGGCAGGGGATCCCTGTAGAGTGGAGTCCAAAATATCCACAGGGATACATTTTGTTTTCTTACCTTTGTTTGAGAAAGATCTTTTGGTTAAGCATGAGCCAGGGTTTATCTGTGTTTTGCTGGAAGGGGCACTATATGCAAGAATCTTTTCAAGAATTGCATTTTTGCTGCTCGCTGAGGCTGTAGTTGGAGATGTCATTGAGGGACATGGAGGGAGAGTTCCCCCTACTTCTGTTTCGCTCACACCAAATGGATCCTGTAAATGTTACAGTGATAAAACATTACAGCAATTTCCACATTTCCAAGATGACACTGATAGAGTACATTCCTGGAAATCACTTTCTGTTCTCTGCTGCTAAAAACTTTCGGGAGCCAGTACCCTGGGTACTATTCTCCCTAGACCAGGGTCAGATTCTTACCCTTGTCACAGACCCATGGGGATGTCTGTTAAGTAGAGGCTGATGTAAAGTTTTCCGGATGCAAAAATGATCTTCTCTGTGTCTCTTCCAGCTGCCCTTGAACTCAGTGGCTGCAGTTCCTGCTTTTCTTAATAAGCCTCATTTAAAGCAAGTGCCCATAGGGAAAAAAATCTGTCTGCTTAAATGTATATAAAGGTTTTCATTTTAGTAGAGAAGAATTTGGTTTTGAAGAGGCAAAGGGCCACTGAACTGAAATACTTGATTGGGAATGTATGGGAGAGTAAATTACCTTGGAAATGAAAGTGCTGTTGCTACACAGTAGGATAATAAACCTTGTGACATAACAATGTGTTGAGATTAGAATATATCTGACTACACAGAAGAAAAGCAATCTCCTTTTTGCCCCAAGAAGTAGAAATGGGAATTGTCACGGGTTTTATTATTTCTCCTTCTCTTTCTTATTTTTATTTGAAGTGATGGAACATAATACTGTGATAAGAGGATTACTTACAGGTCTGGTCGATGCTGCTGTCTAACTGTCACTGTGCTTCTAATTTCTCAGCCTCTCAACATTGCCTACAGTCACATCTACAGCTCCTACCGCAATTTCGTGGGGCCACCTCATTTCAAGACAATCTGCCGCCTTCTTGGCTACCAGGGCATCGCGGTGGTCATGGAAGAGCTGCTGAAGATCGTCAAGAGCCTGGTAATTCTGAGCCTGACCCTGGTGATGGAGAAAACCCAAAGCCTTGACAGGTCCAGGCAGGACAGTCAGCGTGGGCTTTGGGCTCAGGGTGTTCACATCTGGGCGCAGTCATGTCCCTTGATCCACAGTGAAACATTTGTGTCTGATTTTCACCGTTGCTGAGGAATCCCACTGATTCCTGGGGGATGATGGAGTGTTTCCACCAGGATCAGACAGCATTCAGCACAAAGATTTTATGTTTGACTAAACAGAGTTTAGTCCATAATCCCAGATAATGTATCTACAGGATGCAGGTGTGTAACTGCAAATGTCAGCAAGTGCTTTAAACTAAGAAATGTGCTTTGCTCTAATCCATATTAGTGCAAAACATCAGTTCTGCAGAAACTTGTTCTACATGAATGTAAATTCTTTATTAAAATCTGAGTATCCAGTGTTATTCCTCAGGTGGAAGGAGCATTTCCTGTGCTGGGGAAGGACTCCTTTGGAAGCTCTGGTAAAATGCTTTTTGGTTTAGAAGCACAAGTCCAGCTGGACTGAAGACTGAGCCTTGTTTGGATTTCAGCTGCAAACAGTGCAAACACAGCAAGCTGTATTTTGAATTCAAAAATCCACGCAGCTGTGATTTATTCTTTGTGAGGAAGCTATAAAAGCTCTCTGACTCCATACACTTGGGCTGAATTTTATATTTGAGCGAAATCCAAATTAAGCAAGTCTTTCTTGGACTCCTGCTGAAGTTTCATCCTGTGCTGTCAGATGTGGATCCAACCTCAACCAGCCTCTTTCAAAACCAATGCCAGGAGAACCTATTTAACTTCTCTTTTTCTCCAACAGCTCCAAGGCACCATCCTGCAGTATGTGAAGACTCTGATTGAAGTAATGCCCAAGATATGCCGCTTGCCAAGACATGAATATGGCTCTCCAGGTGGGTGCTGCAGAGGGATACTTGAGCAAGAGCTCACCAATGTCTTGGTGCAGTGTTTACTTAGGCCCACACTAATAATTAAACTATGTTGGGCAGGTGACATGCCAGTGCCACGTGCAGCCAGGCTTGCTGGGACACTTTCAGCTGCTTTGCCATTGAGTCTGGAATGTGTATAGGAAACTTCTCCAGGAAAACTCCTGTTGTAAATTTCCTTTTGAACACACGGATAAGGGAATGTCTTCTGGTAGCTTCTGTTTTGTTTTCGGGATTCTGTAAGCTTTTGTTATTGTTTATAATTATATGTTTTTGTTATATTGTTTATTATTGATATTTTTCAAATGCTCTATTCAGCTGGTGCAAAGACTTTTGCAGCATGTCTGCAGTCAGAAACTCTGGCTGGTATTACGTGAGCCAGCACCACGTCATCCAGTAGTCTCAAACCTCTTTTTTCCTCTGATGTGGAAATCCAAGGAATTCATATGACTTACTTCCTATTTTCTAAGGGTTACTGAAAGCAGGATAAGACACTGCATCTTAGTTCTTTCCAATGCCAGTCTCTGTGTATCCTTTGCAGCTTGCAATTTGTGACTAAAGAAATATCAGGCACTGATTGTCTTTTTACCCAAGCTAACAGAGGATGATTCTGCTCTCTTCCTGACTGTCCTTCCTTGTCTTTTAAGGAATCCTGGAGTTTTTCCATCATCAGCTGAAGGACATCATTGAGTATGCAGAGCTGAAGACTGATGTGTTCCAGAGCCTCAGAGAAGTGGGCAATGCCATTCTCTTCTGCCTCCTTATCGAGCAGGCTTTGGTAAGGCAAAACCCCCTGCACCAACACATCATACTTGAGATTTCCAGCTCAAGAGTATAAGTGGAAGTGGGTTCTCCAGCAGAAGAGTTTGGGAAATGTTACTTTCCAGCTGCTTGTGTTTTCAAGGTCTCTCTGGGGCTGTATTATTGGAGTCTTTGGGCATGTCCATGGGGATGGTGTGTACTGGCACTTGGTCATGCCTCTGAGATTGCTGAAGGTGAATCTGAATACTGGAAGATCTAGATTTAATTTTTGAACCCAAAGCTACCCCTTGTTCATCCTTCTCAGAAATAAAACCAACTGGAGTTTATTTCTAGATTGTAAGCTCTCTGGGGCAGGGATCAATACTTTTTTATACACGTGTTTTGTACAGTGAGATGTAGATTTGAGCCCTTTGCTCTTTTAGGGTGCTAGTGCAATGAAAACAACCTGATTGATTCTAATGGTGATATGGATAAAGCAATTCAACAGGAAGGAAATCTGAGAAGAGCTGATGATATATTTCCTATGACATCCTCACTGAAAATAGCTGGAGTGACAACTCTGTATTGCCCCCTGCCACAGGTGTTTTGCATGTGCAGAAGTCTCTCAGCTCATGTGATGCCCTTTCTAGTGTGGGGCAAAGGCTGTGGCTGAGTGCCACTCATCTTCCTACCGTCTAGCTTTTCACACGTAAATTTACTTTGTGATGAATTTATCTCACAGTTTGGCCTAGAGCCAACTGGGGAGTGTTCAATGACACAATTTTACATGAAATATGCATATTTTATGTCATAATGGTTTTGGCAGGGTTATTTCAGATAGACTTCCCTAGCATGAGATGGGATTCCAAGCAAAGCCAGAAAGTTCAGAGCAAAACCAGAAGGAAATTCAATGATTCCAAGTTTTATCCAGCAACAAAGCACAGGAAAAACTGAAAGTCTCTGCATGTACTCAAAATATATATATTTCTGCCCTTGCATTTTAACTCCAGATCAAGAGACTTTAGTTCCTGATGGGGTGTATCAAACACTTTCAGTGAGCAGTGACTGCTGAAGATTAAGAAAACTAGAGAGATGTATATTACTCAACAGCTTGGCTTTTATAGAATGACCAGAGTTGCCAACTATATTCTGGCAGTTTCTATTTCTTTTGTGGCTTGGTCAGTGCTTTCTGCTGTTCTCAGTGTTGGGTTTTATGCTGGATGTACTGCACTTGCCTTTTCTGTCCCATCTGTAAATGGAGACTTAAGGGACACGTTTCTTTTAGAAATCCTTCATTTCAATGAAACAATGTTCCTTCAGTCCCAGGAACTGTACATCAGCACTTTACTGGCATTTTAGAATAGCAGAAAATAAAGCAAAGATGGTGGGAATTTAGAGATCCCTTTAGGAAGATTGCCCATCCAAGTCCACATCTGCCCACTTTCTGCGCCAAAAAAAGTCTCTCCCTTTCTGATTCCCTATTTTTCCCCACAGAAGTAGATTCAGAATATAAAGCCATTTTGCACGCAGCTGCACTGGTTCCCACTTTCTGGAAGGTGTCAGATTCATAGAGCCATCACAGAACAAGATTTTCCCTCTAATGGAGTTCTTGTGCAGCAGGAGGAATTGCTTTTATGGTGCAGTTACCTTCAGAGCTGTCTGAGTGATCTAAGCCTGGTGGTATTTGCTGGCAAAAATTGCTCTAGTGCAGATGCTCAGTCTGTCCCATTTTACCCCTTTTTATTGTTTAAGTCTGAGAAATGAGGGGTTGCTTGGGACTAAATTTCGAGGCAGAATTTGTACTCTCAGTTAATGGGCCTTGGGGAAGAGGTCTATTAATAGCATGACTAATTTTGGGACAGATATCAGATGAATGCAGGCTGCAAATGGTGAAAATACTCTCTTTATCAGAGGGAAACAGCAGTGGAAGAACATTCATCTAGGAATGAATAGTCTTTTACAAACAAAACAACTAAGGTGATAGGCCCACTCTGTTAGCACCAGCATCTCTCTGCCCTTGGAGGGACCCCAGACTGTTCCTGTCCCTCCAGCACTGTGTCACAAACTGCACTCCCACAAACTTGCTCTCATCCCGGCATCCATGCAGCCTCCTGCAGCTCCATGCTACACTGTCCTCTTGGCTGGAAGGTGGGGAATCCCGCCCTGCATCCCGAACAGACCCAGCCGAGTCATTCCATCTGGCCCCCAGATATCTTTTGCTGCGCTGTCATGATCTGCTTTCGAGTGTGTCTACATCTCTACAATAAGCTCAGAACTGGAAGCATGTCCTAGGACTAGGCTTTTGTAGGAGCAGGCTGATGCCTTGTCGTGACGCGGTGCCTCTGTGTTAAACAGCTTTGGTTTCCTTGCTGCTGTTTCCCATTGCAGACTCGTATACAATGTACTGTCAGCCATCGCTCCTCAGTCTCCACCTGCCTATTTCTAGGTTTCTCCTCCTTGTGCATCTGTGTTTGGGATTATTTTTTCTCAAGTGCATTGGCATGCATCCCCTCAGGTGGCATCTCATGATGTTATTCCTCTCTGGACTTCTGTTTTATTCTCCCTGGTGCCTGCACCACTGGGATTCTGATAGCCCTGGCTGAGAACACCATACGAAGAAACAAATCATTTCAGACCAATGTGTGATGTACCTATTTGCAGTAGAGCCACACATCGCTATATTTTATATGTACACTTCCTAAAATAACTAAGCCAAAGGGTAATTTCCACCTGGGCACTCTCTGTAAGAACAGACAGCAGGAATTCATCAGGGTAAGATGAAACTGAAACCTCTGTGTTCTTTATCCCCCCCTTTGCTTGCAGTGCTAGTAAATAGGACAGAAAATAAAGGTCTGGCCTTGTACAGGCAGGAAGTAACTTATTCGTGTAGGGGAAACTTCCTTTCTTAAGTTGAGGTATTTCTTCCAGTTTTAGTTCATTTAGGTTCAAACTGTTGGAGTTGCTACTGAGCTGGGTTGGATTTGAATAGGTGCTGTAGGCATGAACTGTTGTAGTGTTGCCCAGGTCCCTGAGCCATTCACGAATCCCCTGTAGGTATTTTTTAACTTACTTTATCTTTCTTTCTTCCTGCCTCAGTCCCAGGAAGAAGTTTGTGATTTGCTGCATGCTGCTCCCTTCCAAAATATTTTGCCCAGGGTCTACATCAAAGGTAAGAAGCTGAGAGGGAAGCAGTGGGCAGACTCAGAGGTCTCTGCCCAGAAGCTGGTTCTCTCCCATTTCTGCTGAGGATTAGTTCTAGCCCTGTTTCCCCCTCCAAACAGATAAGTGAATACAGCCAAACGTCAGGTGCAAACAAAAGCCAAGGGTGCATTTCCTGTAGCCTGAAACCTCAGTCAGTTTGGGGGTTCCCTTCAGGTTTTAAAGCCATTTCACAGCCTCTTTGGAGAATGACAGCATGAAATGTCCATCCCAGCAGGAGCGATCGGTAGCAGGGACATGCTTTTGGACATGTGTGATAAAGCTGCTGCTGAGACTGCAATCGCACATCCCTCCCTTCTCTGCATCACTGGTTCCCTCATTGCTGTCGGTTTGGCTCCCTGATCCACAGTCCCCTTGGATGGTTGCTGGGGGGCAGCTCTGAGCAAACTCGGCGGAAATTGCGGGTCTCCACTTCCTCCTCTCATTTCACTGTTTGCTGCTCGCTTGACAGAAGGAGAACGCTTGGAGGTGCGCATGAAGCGTCTCGAAGCCAAGTATGCCCCACTTCACCTGGTTCCCTTAATAGAGAGGCTGGGCACTCCGCAGGTAAGGATTTCGTTGAAAGGGATGGCTGTTGAAAACTCGTAGCAGTCCCCGGACGGCCTGTTTGGCCTTGGGACAGTGATCCTTTTTTTTTTTTCATTGATTTATTTTTTTTCTGCAAAACATCAATTGGACAAACAAATCAGAATCCTTGCCCTAGCAGACACCCTGAAGGGAAATCTGTGAGTGGGTCCAGTGATGTTGTGCTTCTGCCTCTGGTCAGGAGACCTGGCAGGGAGCTGTAAGGCAAGTGTGCTAGAAGCCGGTTCTGAATCAGAACAACTCTGAAAAACTCTCCTTCTCCATTTTAAAAAGATGGAGAATTGCTGGAGTGGTTTGCGGGGAAACTTTGCAGAGCTATCCCTAACTTAATCAATTGCCATCACTTTTGGGGTTCTCATTTTAGGGCTGCAGCTTGGTCTATTTTAAGTTCATCCCTGTCAAGGAATACATCTGAGAATGGTTTCCCTCCTAGCACATGCTTAGAGCTTTAGCACATGCTTAAAATTATGGCTCCATTAAAGTATCTTCTTGACGTAGGTCTCAGCTTGGGAAAGATCCCTTGTGCAGAAACTGAGTATGGTTTAAAATACATCCATAGACTGGTCAATGTAATGGGCAAAATTTGAGCTCCACTGACAGTAATAATCAAACTTCCAGTGCCCACTTAATGGGGTTGATGGGGTAGAAAACATTCAAAGTATCAAATAAATCAACACCCTTTTTCTGTAATGTACTGCTGAGGGAACAGAATGAACACTCAGCTGTATGAGGTGACAGATCTATGGCAGGCAGAAAGTTGTTGATTTTTTTCTCTTGTTTTTTTTTTCTGATGAATGAAGGACATTTTGAACTTCGCATCATTGGAAATCATCTGAAACAAAGAAATTGGCTGGATAACTGAGGGCTTTGTCTTACTTTGTAGACACTTCCTTTTAAAGGAGACACTCGAGAAAAAGAATTCACCTCTGTGTTTTTGTGTGTTTGTGTTGGTCTTTCTATCTTTCCTTCTTTCCATGCAAAATCATCATTGAAATCTGCTATTAGAGTCACTCGTTGCTTATCCCTGCCATAGTTATAACGGTGATGAAAACAAAAGGTACTTCATGTCCAACTAAAATATAATATTTCTGTAAACTCTTCCCATATTCATCACACAGGTACAGTTGGGTACCAGATTTTTTTTTTTTGAGCTCAAATGTAAATGAACACAAGAATCGCTTTCTATAGGTGCCTCCATAGCTTCTAAGCTTGCTCCTTATGCAGTTTTGGACATGCATTTTGGAAATGCAGTTTTGGACACAGGCCATATGGGATATTTCCTGCAGAATGCATAAATGCCTTTTAACAATTGTTCAGAATCTGAGTAGACGATGCCTTCTAGATGCCTCTCCCAAAAGGTGGCCCTCTGCATTTCATAGAATTCTGTGCTGTGAAGGGGCTGAGCCAGAATTAGTGGGGATGTATCAGTCTTTGCAGGTTTTGGGTAGGGTTCTGGCAAGCTCACCAGTTAAAGGTCTGTAAAAGAGGTTCAAAAACTGGAAAATGAAAACTGGTTTTGTGCAATGGCAGGAAAACTGTCAGTGATTGTTGTAAATAATTACTTTAAATTGGGAATCCAGAAGCAGCTGTTTGATGGGTCATTCATAAAGAACCAGGGGCATCAAAGTGGTTCATTAAAGGAATCCTCTCCCTTTTAATACTGACCATAGGAGTATTTAGTAAGGGATTTTCAAATCCTTGCTTGGTCAGTCTGTTTTTTTCACTGGAAGTAACAGAAGCCTTTCCTTCTGAAGACAGAGGGAATAGTTGAGCCAGCACAGTGGCATCCTTTGACAGTTTATCTTGAGACTATCCTTCCTCTCCTGATCTTAGAAATCAGTGGGACCCCAGACTGTGAGGCAGCTCTGGCCACAAGGTCAACAGCTCTCCAGCTGCCTTCCCCATGTTAGATATCTACCCAAGGATGGTAGTCCTGTATCAAAGACTGGTCTTACTGTGATGAATTTTAGAACCAAATTCTGTCTGTGAATGTGCATAGCTGATGGCACTACTGCATTGTAAGCCATATGCCTCCCTTTCTAAATTAAGACTTTTTCAGAAACAGTGTACTAAGATCACTGGAGAAGTTTGTTATCCAAAGTACCACTTTTATCACTGTATCTTAGCAAACAGTAATGCTAACACCTAATTTACATTTGAAATGGCTCTACTTCTATTGTGTCCTCATTTTGCCATGATAGACTGGTGTCTGCAGATCTGTACCCATAAGAGCCTGGAGCGGGTGAAGACAGGGAAAGTGTACAGCATTTAGCTATCAAAAAGCTGGATAAAATAAATCTTTACTTGCTAAGCAAACACATGCAGGTGTGTGCCATGGAACTGGTGATATTATTCCTGAGTTTAACAGGTTTAGGGATCTCGGACCCAATCTGGCCTCTGCAGACCAATACAGCTTTCCCATGATATTTGCTATTAGTTGAACATTAACTGAGCTGAGGTTCCCAGAACATCCTTGAAATTGTGACACAAACAAGAATTATCATGCTTCTACTTTCAAGAACCACCAAACTAAAAATGCTTTAGGTTACTTCCAGCATAAACTAATAGTCAGGAAGGGGGGTGTGCAGGCGCACTCATAAATTTTTCATAGTGGAATGAAGGTGACCCGAGTAAACGGAGCATAATTCATGTTCTTAACGTCTGGCCAGGACATGTCCCTGCCCTTTGTCCCAGCTGCTCTGAGTCCCCATCGTGACTCTGATTGGGATAATATTTTCATAGGCATTACAGGGATAGCTGGAAATGGAGCAAACACTGAAAAACTACTTAAGGCTCCAGGAAGTCCTGTAGGACATGCGGGGTCTCGGGAAGTGTCACACTTGCTCTGCGTGTCTCTGCCAAAGTGGTGAGAGGGGTAAAAGGCTCTGCCTGTGGGGCCGGGGCAGCCTCTCATCTCCCAGGGTGAGCATGGCAGAGCTGGAGCCTCCCACAGCCACAGGCACAGCTCTGACAGCACTCAGCTCCCATTTCCCATGTTATTGTTGGCAGCTCTGCAAACAGAAGTCAGTCATGCTTTGGAACAGCAATAAATAGGGCAGCAAGTGACCCCCATGCTTGCACCACAGCTCCACTCAGTGAGCTCAGGGGGGTCACTGCTCCCAGGGGCAGCCCCTGCTTGCTTTTTTAAATTCCCCATTTTTTTTCCTGCGGGAGCAATGGGGATGAAATGAAGTTGATTCTCTTTTCATTTTCCTTTAGTGTAAAAGCCAAAATAACTCCATCCAGTGGAGCCATTCCAGATTTGTATATCTAAATCTGAGCAGGAATGTCACAGAAATTGTCCATACATGTAAAGCTTCCACATCTGGAAAAAGTATTATTTGACTTTCTTATAAACCACAGGTTTTCCAGTATTAAGGTTCCAGTGGCTTCTCATCTTGCTCAGAGCTTTTTAACCCTAACTACAAAAGAAATCAAGTAAGCCCTGGGCCATCTACATTTTAAAGAGATGATGGCAATGTCCCGGGAAGCAAAATGTCCCTGTTCTCTCCTGTTTTATTTTCATAATCTGCAGAAATGGCGACATGAAACCCAGCAATGCTGAGTAGCACTAACAGAACAGAACAGCATGCTAGCAGAATTAAGGATCAGTATTTCTGATCAGAGCTTTGCCTTCACTTTTTGTTTTCTGATGTACATAGTTATTCCAAAAGATACTGAGGTTGGTAAAATATAACTGAGCACAATATGAAGTCTCCTTCTGTTTGAGGGTTGAGTATTCTCTGGTGGGAAGTGCTATGGGAGCAGGCATCAGAGGTAAGGTTGGACCTTCCATGGGGTCTGTGTTAACTTTGAAAGAGCCGGGGAGAGACCAGGAAGTGTTAAGTCCCGCGAGGGCGTCTGTCTGTGCCACATCATCACTTCTGCTCCTTTGGTTGTCCTCCTCCCCAGCAAATAGCCATCGCCCGGGAGGGTGACCTGCTGACCAAGGAGCGGCTGTGCTGCGGGCTGTCCATGTTCGAGGTGATCCTGACGCGGATCCGGAGCTACCTGCAGGACCCCATCTGGCGCGGGCCGCCCCCGACCAACGGGGTCATGCACGTGGATGAGTGTGTGGAGTTCCACCGGCTCTGGAGCGCCATGCAGTTCGTGTACTGCATCCCCGTGGGCACCAACGAGTTCACTGCAGAGTGAGTGTCCAGGGGCCGGCAGGCCTCCGAGGTGGCCTCAGCTGCAGGGACGGCCTCAGCCACCGTGGAGGTAGAGGGGGAACGTGGGTCCTTGATGTTGCTGTGCATGGATATAAACTGATGCTCAGAAGGCTTTCTGTCAGAACAGCTGGAGAAAAGAGCAAGGTAAAGGGACGTGCCCAAAGGAGGTGGGTAGATGGGCCAACAACCCAAGACTAGGTCCTCACCCATCTCACCCTGTGATTCACCCTGCACAGCCTGGCCTGAGTGTAATTCTGCATATCTCCTTCTGAGTTCCGTTTCTCTTGGTGTACACCCACTTTCTAGGAGCAGGACTGAACCTGATTTCCCTAGGAATTCACCAAAGAAAGTTCCTGGTGCCGTGGTACTTCTCTTGCCTGACTCTATCCTGTTATCTCTCCCCACCCCATCTCCCTGTCCTCCTTCCAGGCAGTGCTTTGGAGATGGTCTGAACTGGGCAGGTTGCTCTATTATTGTTCTCCTTGGACAGCAACGGCGCTTTGACCTCTTTGACTTCTGCTACCACCTGCTGAAGGTGCAGAGGCAGGATGGGAAGGATGAAATCATAAAAAACGTGGTAAGTTGAAGGGTGAGGTCCCAAAGGACCTGAACTAACACACTCCTCTGTTTTCTATCTTGCTTTGTCCAAACTCATCAATTACAACCATGCCCAGTGTTAACTTTATTAAACTGGACACATTCACTCTAAGGTTTCCAGCTGCAGTCTCAGCAGAGAGGCAAAGGTTTTAATTGGCTTGAAAATCAAATCTTTTTTCTCCCAAAGCTTTCCCTTCTTCCTGGGGTTGGGAAGCAGGATCTGAGGAGATGGTATTTCCATCTTGTGATCTTGGTGGCTTTATCAATAAGCAGCTGGGAGTCTAAACTTTGGAACAGTTAACTTAGGACCACTCACTGATCTTGTTAATGCTCTGGCTTGAGTCATCAAACCCTATAATGAAGCGAGTCACCAGTCCCTGGGAAGTGCTAAGTGGAACAGTAACACGTGTTACAGCTGCTTTGCTTTAGCAGAGGTTTCCAGCAGCAGGTCAGAGGTACTGTTACTTTCTAGCTGATCAGATGACATAAGACTCTTCATCTACTGTTTTTCTCCCCTGCCATCCCTCCAGCCCTTGAAGAAGATGGCCGACAGGATCAGGAAGTATCAAATCCTGAACAACGAGATTTTTGCCATCCTAAACAAGTACATGAAGTCGGTGGAAACAGACAGTTCCACGGTGGAGCACGTGCGCTGCTTCCAGCCCCCAATCCACCAGTCGCTGGCCACCACCTGCTAGTGTGGACACGGACCCCATGTGGGTTGGGAAGGGAGAAGGGAATGAACCCAAACCAGCTGGGAGGGGTAAACTTGGTGTGAGACCTGGCAGCGAAGTGATGCTGGGTCTGCCTCTACACCCGAGGACGCATCTTCCCCTCGGCCCCGTTTGAGTGCATGTTCCTCTGTACCATCCCTGTGATCGGTTTTACTTGTAGTTTTCGGACTTGGGGGTGGGTGGGGGTGGGTGGGCAAAACGTGCTTTTATTCCATGAAGTGGTCCGGTTTCTCCCTGTGATTCACTCGGTCAGACACATCACTGAAGCCATACTGCAGCCCCCTGCGTGGGGGTCCTGCTGGAAGAGTCCCATGCTTCCACAGCGCCGGGAACCCGCTCCCGCCGCAGGAGCAGTGGGGCAAATCAGCCCCCCCAGTGACATGTGCCACCGGCCACAGAGCAGGAGGGTCTGAAGAAAAGTCCCTGATTCACTCTGGGAGGGGAAGAAGGGATGAAGGCAGGATGGCACTGATGGCAGCGCCCTGAGGATGAAGCGATGGGTGCAGAGGAGCCCTGCCAGGGCGGTTGTGAATGGCTGTGTGCCCCAGGCTGGGTGGGCTTCATGCTCTTGGCCTCTCCAGCATTTGTTAGAGGGAGCTTTGGCATGTGGGCTTCAGAACAGCAGTGATGTAGTCACCAAATAACTCCTGAGCACTTCAGAGAGCTGGGGAAAGAGAAAATGGCCTGGCTTTTTCCCTGCTGTGGGACATCCACTTATTTTAAAGCAGAGGTTCTCCCCTGAAGACACATCTTCCATGGACTAAATCAGATTTCCTATGGACTACAGAAGAGGCTGCATTCATGTGAATGTGCTCTTGAACATATTAACTTGGGTGGAAATAATCACTGGTGCTGGCAGGATGCAGGTGTAGTTACCTTGAACATATGGGATCTTTGATCTTCAGCCAAGGATGAGAGCTGGGGTGTATGTTCAGGGATGCTGTTTTCCCTTGGTTTACACAAATTCCTAGAGGCACAGTGACCAAATACCTTTCTTCAGAGAAGGGTGACTATCAGCAGGGCTTAGGAAACTTCCCATCACTCAGAAATGATGTAATTGTTTAGAAGAGGTAAAACATAGGATAAGCATCAAAAAATACCAAGAATTTTGCAAGTTTAAAGGCTTTCAGAGGGAATACTGGAGTCTGTTTCCTTTTCCTACTCAGCTAATCTAAGATCCCTGGATAATGAGAACAAATTCAGGTGGAACTTGAAGGAGGATTTCATAACTCATGGTCTTCCCTGCTTCCCCTCAGTAGTGTCACTGGAGTGACAGAAAAGCTTGTGCTTGAAGTTAAAGGAGATTAAACCACATGCTCCAAGAGAAAATGATCCCAGCCTCACCACTGGCAATGTTTCCTCAGCTTTAGCCTGGTCACAGCAGATAATTGCTGTGACAGTATACAGATGTGATAATATATATTCCTTTCATGCATTTCATCATGCCTTGTAAACTGTATACTGTTACAGATGTTAAAAAGCAGAGCCTGGGCGTTAATTCTCTCAAAAGGAACACAGAATTAATTACTAGGAATGTCCCAGCTGGAGTATTTTGTGTTAGGAAACAACAGCCAAACTGTTGGCGAGAGATGATCTTGTTGGGTGGGATGAATTTCTTCTCTTGGACCTTCATCACTGACTCCCGCAGAAATCAATAAATACCCCACACATGACAAGTGCTGGACATTTCCACACCTTGAGATTCCTTTAATTACTGAGACAGACATTTCAACTGCAGGGGAGAAATTGTGCAGCACAGTAACCTGAAAGTAAACTGAAATCTCAGGAAGTCTGGCTGAAATCCTGGAGTGGCGGGGAAGGACCCAGCCCAACAAGGCGAGTTGTTTCCTCTGTGTTGTGAGGAAGAGCAGCAGAAGAGCATCTGGAACTTGCTGACACTAACAGGGCCCTTGCTCTCTATTTACTCTTCCGCTAAGGATGTCAGTTCTGTTTTTCCATCATGTTCCAACACTTCTACACTACTGGAGTGAGGCTATTTAAAGATATATATTTTTAAAAGGAAGAGGAGAATTAAGCACTTTATTTTTTATGGAAAACAAGATATGAGGAAGATAGATCCAACCAAGATCCAGTTTTTCCTGACCTAAATAGTAAGTGCTTGTTATTTTGATATGAAAGTGTTGCTGAAAAGGTGGCACAAGTCCCTGTCTGGCTCTCAGAGCCACCTCTAGGCACAGCACAAATTAAATGTCCTACTGCATCTGTTATTATGGGATGTTGGAGTCTTTCCAGAAACCAGCATGAGCAAGAGGTTGCTACAGAAGGATGAACTGTACCAAATGGCCCGGTCTCAGCTATCTACAAAACGGGATGTAGTAAGGTGAATTTAAATGCCTGTTTGCATCTGTTTAGGTCTGAAGTGAGTTGTGAGATATTTCACCTAAACCTGTAAAACACTTTGAATTCTTTTGCTGTAGTTTTGCCATAATGGTTCCTGAAACCCTGCAAAACACCATTGCACGTACTTGAAAGAAGAGGTGGATGAAATCTATTTGTTGCCCTTGGATTTGCTGGCAAAAATGTAAAATCCCTTCAGATTCAAAGGGATTAAATATTTTGAGCAAAATGTCAAAGTGCATGAATGAAATGTAAACTGTTTTGACTGTAGAGTGTATGCAGATGTTTTGCCTTATTGCTCAAGTCGTATGAGATATCAGCTAGGAATAATCTTACAGTCTTAATTTCTGAGATTTGATGTTACTGTCCTTTGATTATCTCAAAGATTCAGATAGTCTTTAGCTTCAGTTCTTTCATCCTCCTTGACTGTGTATAAGAAAGAGGTCCAGGCTTAGGTCTTCAAACAACTCCATGAAAGTAGATTTTTTTTCCTCCATCCTTTTTTTAATGTCATCACTGTTAATGGAAATAGGGAGCAAATTGTGGCAGTAGAGCTAAATAGTAACAGATTGCCACAGGTTTGGGCATATTCTCCACACTTGAAGACTTTCTGCCAAATTTGGGTGTCTTTCTTGCAGATATGCTCCAATCCTGTAGTTTTCAGCCTTTTATAATGTGGAGACCCCTAATGTTCTTTTCCTAGGGAAATGTTGACCCCTGCCTGAATACTTCCAAGTCCAGCAACTATGGATTTGCTTTTTACCTATATTTTCCTCCTTATGCTGAAGTAGTCTGCAAACTCCCTGGGATCCACCAGCCACCACTTGGAATGTCTACTTCAAAGACAAGTTGTTGGCTCAATGCAGGAATTACAGGGCGGGAGAAAGGATGGCCTGTGTCATGAATGAAGTCAGACCAGGTTATTTTAATGTTCCCTCTGGCTTTGCCATTAAAAAATGTGACTATTGGCAGTGCACATGCTTTTCTGGAATGATGCTACACTTGACTTTCAATGCTACAATAGAAAGGGGAAGCAAACTAGTTCAAGCTCAGCACTTCAATGGTTTTCCTTTTAAAGTCTGACAGCACTTAGTAGCATTGAACAACATTAGTCCCTTTTCTCCTGTATTACTCCAGTCCAGTAGGTTCATGTATGTTTGAGAAAAAAAGAAAAAAGAATTGAAGGTGTAAAAAAAACCAAGAAAATATTCTCCAAAACTGTTGTCAAATGTACCATATTTGTATGAAAAGCTGCTTGAGTTATTTTGTACAATGAATTTTATTTATGGTGAGGTATATTTACGCTTGTGATCTGATACAGTGTTAAATTTTTGATCCATATTTGCTATGCAGCTGAAGATGATATTTTGGTTTTGTATTTTTTTGCTGTTGTTCTGAAATACAGCCAACAGAAGCTTCCATCTCCATTAGAAGTGCTTCTGCAAGAGTAAAGCATCTGGTACCTGGTGATATGTCCCGTAACACAGCAACCAACAGTGTGTACAACAAATGTGGGATGACTTTTGTGATGAAGAGAAATAAAAATTGGGCTCATTCATGAAATGGGCAGACTTTACTTTGTGGTGTTATTGTCATTGTGATATCTGTTATTTAGGAAGAGCCTCCCATTTCACTTGGCACAAAGGAAAAGCTAAGTTGATAAAAATGTTGAGCTTTTGTCGAAACCAAAGAAAAAAACATGAGGCATTTTGGTCAACAGAGAACAGACATATTTTCCTATCAAAAAGTTAATGATCTTAGAGAAAAACTTCCTGGCACAACAAATATTTATATGAAAATTTGTTTTATTATTAGGGAGTCAGTGGAGGGAAAATTATATAATTATTTGTGATACAATTTGACAGGCTCTACTGAAAACAAAGCTAAACTGAGGAGAGCTAATTTCCTATCATTACCATAGCCTTGTCAACTCCACAGGAGCCTTTTTTATTCCAGGAGATGCTCCTTGCTATTATTTTCCCAAATTTCCATTTGAAACCATTCTTAGTTTTGTGTTAGAAGCATCCAAAGATCAGCTGCAGTTGTTGACTGCAGAAGGAGTGGGAACTGAGGGGAAAAGATTTTCTGGGAGCTGAGGAATTAAGGTGAAACAACTGACATGGATCTATGGGAATGGGAGCTCTTGTGCTCAGCTCTAGATTAAACACTGTAATTGATGTTCCATTTCATAGCTTCTTCCCAAGGTTCCTCATGGGAACAGCTTCTTAGCTTAAGAGGAATAGAAATGCAATGATTCTTCACATAAAATTGGAAGGGAACTTTACACCATGACCAGGCAGCTCTGTTGATCTTTCCAATGTGCTTTAAGTCAGGATGTGCTGCAGCTTTGTGGGTGACATCCTGCTGTGCAGAACTGTTTGCCCAGTGGCTGAAAGTTGCCCAATGTTTACTGATTTCAACATAGTTCTGCAGGGAATGGCGGAGAGGAGAGCAGGACTTTCTTCCTGCCTTAGCCACTGATACTGGGCAGGTTGTTTGGGTTTCACTCTTTCTTCCATCAAGACTTCTCTTTTTTTTAAAAACTAATTTTAGCTGCTGTGTCATGCACACCCCAGTTCTTACACCAGCCCTAAGAAGAGCTGAGAGCTCACATGGTCTCACCTGAAGCCAGAAGCAATTTTTGGTTTGGGTGTCAGGGTCCAAGGCTCTGAATTTTGAACAACCAACCCTAAGGGACCAGTATCAAAGATATAGGCTCACATCTTCTTCCTAGTGCTCCTAAATATGTTTACATCTTCAAATTAAAGGCACTTCACCCATTTGAAGAACAGTACATCAATGATTGTTCCAAAAGCTTAATAAAATTACCCTTTCTGTGACCCCTTCTGCAAGCCAGGAGTGCCTTTCATATCTAGTTTTGCTTGATTTAGAGTTCTGATGCAAATGCCTAGCAGATAAGAGGTCTGCAAACAAAGGATCTGCTGATTGCATGTCACTTATGTCACTTCACCTCTGGCACCCACTGCTGCTCCGATGCCCGCTGAGCACCAGCTCCCATCCATCACCAACCCACCACTCCTGTTCTGACAACATACATGCTTTATGGGGCCACAGTGACCTGGATCACTGAACTGATCTGGATAAAATATTTAGCAACCCTGGGAGAAAGGAGCTGGGGTGTGTTTTATGGCCTCATGACCCTGGATCACTCAGCAGCCCCTCAGCACAGACCCACAGGTACGTGCACTGGCATAGGGAAGGCAGTTCCACAAGGGTGGGAACCCACCATGGGTGTGACTGGCTTGGGAACTCTCCCTGTTGGTGGTGTCTAAACCCTTGTAGCACCAAATGTCAGCCTCAGCCACTGCCGACAGTTACCTTGAAACAGGCTGAATTAAAGCTGTCTGCTCAACTAAGTTCAGTCTTTCAAGCCTCGAGCATCCTTTCAAGTAGTGCTGCAATCATCCAACAGCAGGCAATTCCTTTAACCCTTACACTATCAGGTCATTGCCAGAAAAAGGATTTACCCTCTCTCTGAAGCAGCAAATGGCTCCTCGGAACCCTAAAACTGTACAAAGCCAGAGCAGAATGCTGCAATCCTGTTCAGAAAGTTTCCACAGGAACCATGCCTAGCAGACATCCAAGGGCAAAAGTTTCCATCACCTGTTAGCACAATACTTCCACCATTATTTTTAATACAGAACAGTTGATACCCAGTATTTTTCCATCATTTTTCCAGAATAGAAGAGATGAGCAGACAAGAGCAGGGCAAAGAAAAGCCTTTTGATGTTGCTAAAGAGGTTATTTGCATGCAAAGCTGTCTTGCTCTGCCCCCTGGATTCCAATCAAGTTTTTTGGCCTGGAAACCAGTATTTCAGGAGGAACTGCATTGTTAGAAGATGAGCTGCTATGGAAGACTCCCTGATTTCTGATGAGTTATTTTTAAGGCAGCATCTGATGTATCAACCAGTGAGGTCATAGCTTTGGAGATGAATTCCCTTAATTATAGCCTTCCCATTAAAATGAGGCTATGAAGCAATAAAAGAGGCATTGGCTGCATCCCTGCTTTATTGTTATCAGTCTCAACTTGCCCTTGACTGAGTGTAGAAGGCAATTCCATGCCAATCCTACCTGGCTTTTAACTCCCATATTGCCATACACAGCCTTGCTAATTCCATCAAATGCAACTCCTGTGACTCTCTGATTTTATGCACTGCACCCCACAGCCCCTGCACCAAAGAGAAAGAAATATGTGACGCACTTGTGTCTGTGGTTGATTACAGGATCTGACTGAAGTTCCTCCCACAGTGGTGACGACTGGGCACACTCCTTCCCTGGTATCTGATAGAATCAGCTCACACTGCAGTGCCCGCTGCTTTTGGGACCTCTTCCCTGTCATGTCTCTCTTCCCAGAACTTAGAATGGCTTCTTTTGGAGGTCTCACCCCTTATCAAATTTGGCAAAAGTCAGTCCACAGCATCAAATATCTTTGGGGATGAAGGGAAGTACATAAATACACGTTTGTGGTCACATTAGCCTTTTCCTTTAGGAAATCAAGCTGACAGGGGAAGGTAAAGCTGTGGCCCGAAGTGCCTATTGCTTTTAACTGCACCATGCTGTGGCAGTAATGTATGAGGCTGCACCATGACCAAAAGGATTATTTTAATCCCAGATATCTTCCATAAAAATTTGCTCCCTCCCTCACCTCTCTTTGTGCACAGTGGGCAACTGTGCTCTGCACAGATAACAACACACACCCACAAAAGCTTGGAATTTATTTTGGACAGAGTTTAACTGCCAATAATCACATCACAATTAGGACTCCCCAGCTACAAGCAAGACCTCAGGGCATTGGAAAAGGTCCAGCAAAGGGGAGAGCCCCACAGAGCACACAGGTGGGGCAGCCTGTGAAGGGACAGGGGGATACAAATTCCCCAGCTAGTGCAGGCAGTCAGCACTGCAAACACAGCAAATACTTGTCCCGCTCCACCATCACATTGTTTTTTGCAACCAGCTTCATATTCACACATTGCATGAATAGCTCTTAATTAATATCAGCGAGTAAATTTACTAAATAGAGGTCAAATCCTGCCATCATTGTCTCACCCAGGGTCTTGCCCCTTTTGCCTGCCTAATATATAAGAGGAGCAGAAGTTGCTCCCAGAACAGTGAAAAATTAGCACGTTTCATTTCCTACTTCAAAACCTGCTGCCAAATGATTAGGATTGATTATCAAGTGCCCTGTGATAAAGGGGAGGACATGGGATTTGGCTGGCACAGTTTCTCCCAGCCAGTGACCTGCAGGACTGTGATGGATGAACGGACCTGATTAAAATCAAATGACTCACGAAGCACTTGAGCATTACATTCGCTGAAGAAAAGAGTTGCTCAGAGATAGGATCAGGCGCTGAGTGAAGGAGCCATGAGGTGCTAGCAATGCTGCAGCCTGGTCTAAAGGCAATTTCTGTCTTAACAAGTAATTTAGTTTATGGGGAAAAAAGAAAAGCAATTTTTCAGACATCTTCAGATCCTGCAAATCTTACGTCTTTATAATGCCATATGACCATTTCTACCTATAAATGTGGGCTTGGTGCTATTGTTTTACTACTGGTTTTCCTTATCTCTCCTGACTTACAGGAAAACCTGGGTAATGGAACCGAAAGGGCTTTTGTATCAGCAGTAGGTTTCTGTGTACACACGGCCACCGAGCACAAACGCAGGAAGGGAGGTCGGCAGAGAAGGGTGAGGATGAAGGCAAGACACACTGGTGTGCAACACACTCCGAAACGTTCACACACTACCATCAGCAAGGGAGGCTTCGGCTGCCGTGGGAGGGGGAGCTGGTGGAGTATCCTCTTCTCTAGGCTGAAAAAAACAAGACCAATACGACTTCCCCTTGAGACCCTCCACCATCTTCTCCTTTGGATGCTGTCTAACAGCTTTACATCCTTCATACATTGTGGCGCCCGAAACTTTTAGGCTGGAAAACACCTCTAAACTCATCAAGTCCAACCATTAACCTAACACTGCCACTAACATTTCTCTTGTTTACCCTTAGTTTCTGTTCCACCACACCCTGAGCACGTTTGAAGCCCCCCGGCTTTGCAGGGTGCACGACCCGCTCAGCGCACACCGGGTCCCCTAAATCTGCGCCTGGACTTCCCCCCCCTCCCCGAGCCACGCTCGGGCTGCCACGGCACCTTCTCCTACCGCTGCAACAAGGAAAATAGACTCCAGAGGAGAAACCCTGGCAGCAACCTCATCCCAGATCTGTGGGAAGGAACAGAACCCCCCCGGCTGCCGCCCCCGGGCAGGCGGGGACGGGGATGTGGACGGGGCACAAGGGCTGCGGGGAGCGGTGGCGGCCCCGGGGGGCATTGCAAAGCTCGCCCGGGTGTTGCTGTCGCTGCTCCCAGCCCATGGAAGGGCCGGCCCTTCCCGGAGGAAGGAGGAGCCGGGCGGGCACAGGTGTGCGGGCGGCTCGGCCCTGCCCAGCCCGGCCCTGCCCAGCCCGGCTCTGCCCTCGGGATGCGCTGAGCGCCCGGAGCACGGAGGCGATGGAGCCGCTGGAGACGAACAGCAGCTGCAGCAACGGTGGGTGCAGCCCCGGGGGGAGCGGGACCGGCCCGGGGGGAGCGGCGGGAGAGGTCCGGGAAGGGGCTGAGCCCGCGGCACCCCCCGGCCTTACCCCCCAACAACCACCCCCGCCCCGGCTTTGGGGCTGTCCTCTGTCACTGCCCTGTTCTGCCCTGGTTTTTTTCTGGATTTGGGGTTTCTTTTGCGTTTCTTGAGGTCTGTATAGGAATGGGAAAATTTGAGCCATGCAGCCTGCGGTGCTGGCAGCCAGCACCGCGCTCTGCCAGCCTCGCAGCACACAGAGAACTTGTGTGGGACTTGGGGGTTTAGTCCTTTAAAGATTAACTAATCCAGTCGATGATCACCCCATCTGCTGCCTTACCCTTGTGCCTGTTGTAGAGGTTTTCACCCAGACGGGGAGGCAAATTCCCCCCGTATCTCCCAAGAAACTTACTTCCACGATCAAAGACGTTTTTCTGATAGAGAACCTTTGGAAATTCATCTAGAAAGTCACTGTAATTTTTTTCTTTGGAAAAAAAGTTTATTTCCAGTTCAGATCCAAAACCTCAGCTATGTGTGCTAGGGCCAGGGCTTGCAGCTGCAGAAGATCTAAGCCAGTCTCCTGGTTCAGGAAAAACGTGGGACCTGTGCCCAGGTTGCTGGTAGTGCTCGGAGCAGTTTAGCCATTACATACTCCTGCCTATACACACAAATACTTGCTCCATATTTCCTACACGAGTTCAGGCAGAAAATTGAAGTCTTTTACTACAAAGGGACTTTTGTGACACTCCACCTGGCTGCTCCTTTCCCCACAGTCACAGTCATGCTGTCTTTACTACACTCAGAGTGAAGATTGCAATAGAAAGATGTGCTGGGTGTGGTAGGAGTGTCGGGGTGAAAGAAATTCAGCAATTTTCCCACCCACACACAGCAACACACCTTGGCCAGAGAGGCAGGGCTGTAGTGCTCTTGGTGTTAACAGCAGAAAACCGTGACTGCTCTCAGTCATTCCACACTGGCAGGACCAGGTTTGCTTTAGGAGCACTCAGGCACTCTACAAATAGGTAGAATAAAACCATTAAAAAGCAGGGGCAATGTAGAGATGAAACTTTGGTCTGAGACTAACCTGTTGTTGTCTTATGACGCAGTTCAGTACACAGTGCTGGAACAGATGCACAGTTACAAAGTGCTGGCATCACTCCACATTAAACCTGAAGTTATAAGCTGCGGATGTAAGGATTAGTTGGCTGGACTGCACCAAGGCCTTTGAATCAACAAGGTTGAGTGTTGCTGACGCATAGTTCAACCCCATAACATCTGAGTTTGGTGGAGATACTCTAGCATATATATTTGTAAGTTCAAATTACATTATTAGAGAGGTCCTTGTGGCCTTCCAGTTCAGTGTGTAGACTGATCAACACGTTCAGTGTCCAAGAGATGGTTGAACTGCAGGCCATAGATCTGTCACTCACCTTGCCATTTCCACATGTGAGTAAAGAGGTGTCCTGAGCTTTTGAGAGCTGATGGGTATGTGCTGTTAGGGTGGCAGCATGGGTGGCTGTTCAGGGGGGCATCTGAGTGAGTCCAAGGGCAATAGAGACACTCTAGATAGTCATGTCAGTAATTTGCTGGTTTGTCTCCACGGTGGTCTCACAGGGTCTCTGATCACCCTTTCGTGCCTTTCCCGCCGGGTTGTGTGCCAAGTGATCAGCGATGCTGACCCAGCTGACTCTGCTCAGGACAATGGGACTTCGGATAGTTTCTGGATAACTCAACTGGAAAGCAATTATGGATTCTACATTGGCCTGGGCTTGGCTGTCTTCTCCAGCTTCCTCATTGGAAGCAGTGTCATCCTCAAGAAGAAGGGGCTGCTACGGCTGGTGGAGAAGGGAGGCACCAGGGCAGGTAAGGGTTTTGGGGGGGGCAGGAGGGAGAAGGTTCTTCCAAGAACCACGTACATCATCCAAACTCCAGCACTCATAAGGCAAGGGGATACCTCTGGGTACAGTCAGTCTTCTGTCAGCAATGTAAATTTGGCCTTTTGTGGATGCATTTTTGTGTGTGAGACTGAGACAGCAGTGCTGTGTAGGAGCTGAGGAGCTAATTTACAGAGCCCTGCTTTGGAAAGGAGCTAAATTACAGAGCCCTGCACTGGAATAGCTCAGCTAAAAGCAGCATTCCCCTGCCTGGCACAGCAAATAGCAAGTGAAGTGCTCTGTGCAATGAGATGTGCCCCCACCAGAAGAACTGTACACATCCATCACAACTCTTACATGGGAAGGAGTGAGGCCAGGAGGAAGCAGAATGCTGAAAGCTCTTTGAAATGGGCCCCTTTGCACAAAGCTGCAAGTCATCACCATGACACAGACCAGCACAGCACTGTGACCCCACTCTTGCTCTTATTGATGCACTAGGCACGTGTTCTGAGGCAAGGATGTGGCCCCATGTACTTTAATTAGCAAAAGCCATTTATGAATGCAGGACTGCACGCCAGTGCTGTGTGTGAGCTCTGCTTGTGGTTTCAGAAGGGTTCCTTCTGAAGTATGTTACTCAACAACCTGTAGATAACTTTCCTCTGGCACCAGGCTCTTAGGGTGAAGTGTATGTTTATAGATGGGCAGTGGTGCAGGAGCACTGCCTACAGCAGAATTGCACTGTGGAATTGGACACGTCCCATCAGCATTGCAAACATGTTCTAGCAGCAGTGTAAGTCCTACCTGGCAGCTGACCTACTTGCATAACTACAAAACAAAGCAGTGATAATTAAAATACTACTGCTTCCAAGGCCTGGCCTGGGAACAATTCTTAAATAATTTTTCAGAGGGAGTAAATATCACCATCCCCATTTTACTGTGTCCCCATATGGGGACACAGAGGCATGGAAGAATGAAGTGACTGTCCAGAGTCAAACAGCAAAGCTACCAACAGCACCTGAGCCACAGGCCAGTCTCGAGTCTCCATCCTCTGCCCTTAGTCTGGCCACATGCAGCTGCTGGACACAGATAGGTTTGGCATTATATTTATACAAGAAATATCAGTTGCTTCAACTGTAGAAGATGTCTCTCTCCTCCTTCCCTCCATGAACTCTTCCCATAACAGAGCCAAGTGAGTGAAACAAGAGCAAACCCCTCCCTATTTTTCAGAATGTTTAACAAGGAATTAGATTAATGACAGAAAACTGCAGCTGACAAGAGTTCTTGAGAAAAACCCCAAACAAGCAAAAAAAAAAAAAAGACAAAACAAATAAACCAGCAATTTCTAAGGAATACCAAAGGATAACATTTGGACTTCAGCATTTGTGAACTTTTTGAGGAACCAGAAGAGGCTGAATTCTAGCAAAAGATTTGTCCCTGTATCCTGAAGTCTTCCTGTTCAACTCTTCATTTCCCCTTGTCCTATCTCACTCTTTAATCTCTCAGACCCAGGGTGTCACCCCTTCCATTTGAGCACATCACTTTTCTCCAAGGCAGGTCAAACACTGCTGTTACTGACAGCTCCAGTCGAGTCAGATTTATCAAAAATGTGAGCTCTCTCTGACCCAGCAAAATCAGGGTTCACAATGTCAGCAGGCTTAAGCTCCTTATGTCTAACAGCTTGTGGGTTAGGACAGAGCTGGATTAGTTCCCAACACAGTATGTCCATTCCTCCTTATTTACATCCCATTTTTTTTTTTCATTTAGTTGTTTCAGTGCCAGGAATTATTTTTCATCAGAAATGCTCAGTCACATCATGGCTCTTCCACGTAAAATTAACATCAGGTTTGCTGGCAGTTCATGCTGAGGCCCTGTAACACAATCGTTGTACACAGCAGTGTACAAAAGGAGCAGATAGCTTCTGGGACAGGACACAGAGAGCCTTCACCTTGCAATTTATCCCTCTCCAAAGGGACATTTCTCGTCTCTTGCTCTGATGAACATGGTTGTTAATTCTTGCATACCCATGTGCTTTTCTTCCCCAGGAGATGGAGGCCATGGCTACCTAAAGGACTGGCTCTGGTGGGCTGGCTTGATAACCAGTAAGTAGAAGCTCTCTCCCTGGGTTTGAAGCTTTTCCAGGGTCTGTCCCTGTGAATAAGCTGTGGAACAAGCTGTCTTGTGACTTAAAGCCTGTTTTTTGTGGAGTTCCCCCATCCTCAGCAGAGGATCCTCAAGGAGAGGAGAGGCAGTGAGCTGTGCAGGATCTCCCTCTCCATCCCCCTGCAGGGCTGGTAAGACTTGCTAGCTCAGTTTTACCTGATCAAAAGCATGAAAAGCCGGGTTTTAATAAGGCAGCTGGCAGGTCTGCCTGTGTACCAGGCACAGGGCAAACAGCTCCTGTGTGTGTCTGGGGCTCTGGGAAAGGTTCCTGCTGTGGCACAGGGAGATAACAGAGGTGTTGGTAGCAGCTCCTTTCTTGAACAAGGCTTGCTTTCCCTTAGAGCAAGCCTTAAACCATTCTTTTGTGCTGCAGTCTTAAATAGCTCCTCAAACTGGACTCAAAGTTGCAGAGAGAGCAGTGGATTTCACGGGAGGGTTTTTCAGAGCCCTCTTCTCCGGCTCTCACTGCGGCAGCAGCAGCTCAAGGTGCCCCCACCTCGCCCTGCCCTTGCAGCTCCTGTGAGCAAGCACACATCCCTCACTGCTTGGGGACAAGGACAGCTCAGCCAGAGAGGGCACCACAGCCCCAAGGACACACTGGGGGGGTGAGGAGCAGCCTCCCAGCACTGGGGCTCCCACAGCTGCCCCTCTCCCTCATTAACCCCCAGACACAGCCTGGCTGGGCGGGAGGGTTTGGTGAGTTCTCATGGGTCACCCCTGACATGGCCCAGCCCTCCCCTGTGTGGGTGCAGGGCTCCAGGGGTGCCTTTCCGCTTGTGTTCATTTGTTATAGAGAGATTTTCACCCACTGTCTGCCCCTGTTTAGCAGCAGCATGGAACACCCAGCATAAAACCCACTCTCCAACTGATTTCTTACTGGTTTGCAAGCCCACAAGAGAAAACATAAAATGTACACTGTAACTCACTGGTATTTATTTTTCTTGTGTTTGTTTAGTGGGTGGAGGGGAAGCTGCCAACTTTGCTGCCTATGCCTTTGCTCCTGCAACTATTGTCACGCCTCTGGGGGCTCTGAGCGTGCTCATAAGGTGATTTTGTGTCTATAGTTTGCAATTTGCCTTTTTTTTTTTTGTTCGCCTGTTTGTCTTGTAAAGATAGAAGGAACTTGAAGTGATGCTAATATGATTTATTCTGCCTAGAGGAAAAAAATGTTTCAGTGTTTTCTAAAAAAACACTTTTAACGGTTGTTGTCCTTTGAGGGGATTCTTTGGGAACCATTGAATTAAGTAGACTGCCCTTCTTAAAGTGCTGCATGTGGATAGCAGCCACATGCACTGCAGGTTAAACTATTGCAAATATCATATTACTTCCTTCCTTATTCCAGGTCTTCATCCAGTTCGAGGTTGTTTTGGTTTGTTTGGTTGGTTTGGTTTGATCTCGTAGTCAACAGTACTAAAAATCTAAATGGGTCAAAAATATCAGACTTGTTTTCAAACTGCCTCTCATTTGCCTTTTATTATCTAGGCTTTTAGGGCATTCTGATGTTGTAGGGTTTTATACTTCTGGCTGTTGACAAAAGGGCTGAAACCATATTTTATTTCTTTATTTTTAGAAAGGAGATTCCTACCAAAATACATGACTGAGTACTGAAGGTTTTATAGAAAGGCTGTTATTGTGAACTGCATAAGCAGACTGAGAGTTAGGACTGCTCCTGGTGTCTTGTCCCAAATTTTTATGGACAACAACTAGATATTTTTGTAGATATATCTGTAGCCCCAGTACCTTCCACATTTCTTTGAAGCTTAATAGTTCTGCCGATTCAGTTAAAATTAATGTGACTTCTGTTGTGAGGTTCAGGTTTTTTTCTGTGTTGCACTGGTCCTTGAAGTAACTTCCTTGAGCACTAAAAGCTCCAAAATGCTCAGCAGCTCATGAGTGATTCTGTAGGCCCTGAAAATATTTCTGAGGATGTGTTAATGCATACAGCATTTTTGCACATTGCTGACTCAAGAGCTGTGATCTACAGATCACACCTGCACCTCTGCAGGTTCAGCTCAGTAGATACAACGTGATTGTGTATTAACACACCGGAATCCAACTAATTTACACCAAATTTGTGTCCTTGTATCACATGAAAGTATTCTTAACTTTATTTTAGCTGCTCTTCCTTCTTTAAAGGACTGTAAAGCACCAGCTGACATTTTTCTGTCCTGTGCAGTGCCATCCTGTCTTCATATTTGCTTGGAGAACGGCTCAACCTGCTGGGAAAGCTGGGCTGCATGCTGAGCCTGGTGGGCAGCACTGTGATGGTGATACATGCTCCAGAGGACGAGGAGGTCACCACTCTGGATGAAATGACTTCCAAGCTGAAGGAGCCAGGTATGCAGGAGGGCATGTTTTCCTGTTGGGGCTTGGCAGTGCCTACTGCTCCCTGTTCTTGCTGCTCAGTTTTGAATTCTCCTCTCCCTTTTCCAGGTTTCCTCGCTTATGCTGCGATCCTCTTGGCACTCTGCTTCCTCCTGATCTTCTACCTGGCACCCCGTTATGGCCAGAGCAACATCCTCGTCTACCTCACCATCTGCTCCGTTATTGGTGCCTTCTCCGTGTCCTCAGTCAAGGGCTTGGGAATTGCCATCAAGGGCTTCTTTGCTGGCCGGCCTGTGCTGCAGCACCCACTGACATGGATCCTGGTCATCACGCTGGTGGCAGCCATCACTACACAAATTAACTACCTCAACAAGTCCCTGGACATTTTTAACACCTCTTTGGTGTTTCCCATCTACTACGTGCTGTTCACCACCATCGTCATCACGACTTCCATCATCCTCTTTAAGGAGTGGGTCGCCATGACCGTCATCGACATCATCGGGACAGTTTGTGGCTTCCTCACCATCATTCTGGGGGTGTTTTTACTCCATGCCTTCAAAGACCTGGATGTCAGTTTAGGGAATCTACCACAAGTCCTCCAGAATGAAGAGCAAGTGCCGGTCACCAGAGATGACAAGAACATCCTGATAGAGGTGGACAACTCCAGCATCGCCCCAGAGGATAAACCCAAGGTATTCATTCACCTAGCACGTTATGTGTGAGGGACTGGAGGGTGGGTGAATGGGTTGACCAATATTCCAGCTGTCACTGAGCAGTGTAAAAAAGGAAAAGCAGAAAATAAAACCATCAGTGTCTTATCCAGAGCTTGGTAGAATCAAGCCAAAACTTTCTCCAGGTTTTTGGATGGGATCTCAGTCACGGTGTGGCAGCAAGGGGTATGTTTAATCCTCGCTGTGCCTTAATACATGCAGCCACTGAAAACAAAAATCCTCTTGAAATATGATAGTCCTGGGACAAAGCTCCTCTCCGAGGCCCCTTCCCATCTCTTATTCTTGGCAGGGCTAATGTTTACTCTTGAACTCCTTCCCCTGGGTGGCCATTGATGTCTTTATTTCCAGAGCTTGATTGAGTCATTGATTTGTGGTTTTTACCTTTTTTTTTTTTTCCTTTCTAGGCACTGGCATGAACTCTAAAATACACACCAGTATCTCAAGTGGAGATGAGAGACAAGACCTGAACAGTGCACTCCTGCTATTCAGACTCTGCTCATCCATATTTGGTCACTTGCTCTGCAAGAATATTGGTGAATATGGGCAAAACTTGGCATTTTTTGGAATAGACACTGGCTCAGGCTCAGTGGCTGGACCCAAACCATGAAGTGCTTTTGGACCATAGCAGGGAAATCTTTTTCAACTTTTGTTTTTCTGTGAGATCCAGGAGTTTCCCTGCAGCACAGTGTTAATTATTTTTATGGGAGTTTTGGTTGTTTGGGGTTTTCTTTTTCCTTAGCAGCCACGGTGCCCAGGCCATGTTGATGTGGTTGGTAAAGTTTCTGGGCCTGATCCAGACCTCACCTGAACAAGGGGCAGCCTCTTCTCAGGCTGGGGAGCTCTGTCAGGATAAACTCCATGTCAGGAGAAACGCTGCTTGTGATAATCTTTTCAGTCTGAAAGACAAAGTGGCTCTAAATGTTAAGTATTTTTTTCCTTAGGAAATATCTTGACCTTTGCGAGCCCCCCAGCTCTTTCAGCCCCTGTCCTTGCTATCATTTAAGCCCCAAAGCTTTTTTGTTGCTGTTTAGAAAGAGGTAAGAGCTGCGTGTTAAAAGCTGAACAGGTATAAGAGGGTGATGCTCTGCAGAGCTGCAGGGATGCAGTTTATCCCAGAGCAGTCCTGCTCACCTTTCTCCATCTCTCCCAGTGTAGTACACTTGGCCTTTTGCTCACGGCTCATCTTGGAAACACCCTTGGATTTGTATCATTGGTCAGGATGAAGGGATGGGAGAAATAACATTTTTAGCTGAAAAGTGAAAAAGGAAGGTATTACTGCAGTTGAAAGGTTTTCCCATCTCACTGCTGGGTCTTCTGGGGAGACTGGAGTTCATTTGCTGGCAGCAAATCCCAAACAGGGAGCAGCAAAGCCTGAGCCAGTCCAGAGGCAGCTCTGCCTGGGTTATCCCTGGACCACAGCACACACTGATGCTGCCTGAGATGCTCACCTGGTTATACCTGGGTCTTGAGAAATCACTGAGCAAATGCAGCTTGGGGTTGCAGGAGAGAGGACTATACAATCTCTTATTTTAATAACATTTCAGTACTATTTTTTTGGAATGTGGAAAATAAAGGTTTTTTTGCTAAAAAAAAATAGTTGCAGGTGGATCTGAAAGTTTTTAATGATTTCTCTCATCTTACTGGTGTAGCCCTAAAGGATAAACAGGCTGAGGGACAACAGAAAGAACATCAGGAGCAGAGTAAAACAGCAGCGACCTCCTTTGGTGGTAGACAGTAATCCAAGTCACTCACTCGAGCTTTGGTTTCAGCATCCTAATCAGTGTAATGCTTTATGCATTTTATTTTAGAAAATGACTGTAAGTGGGACTCAGCTCACGGCCTAGAACTGTATATCATAAAAGCCATTCCTCCAGCAATCCTGCCATCTCTGGAGAAATGCCATATAGAAAATGAAGATTTGAACCGAGGTAATGAAATAGCACACAGTGGAAGGAGCATTTGTTAATGACAACCAACAAATTTATTAAAACCAGGCAAAAGGCACAATGACTTGCATTCAAGTATTTGCATAGATGCATAGAGAGCATTATTGTAAACCATTAATAGACCATTAATATGGTGGACACAGGAAAAAGTGAGATGTATTTTAACATATATTCTCCCAAGTAACATTATCTTTCAAAAAAACCAGGTTTTACCATCCTCCTGCAGTTCCCCTGTTCCCATTCACGCAACTTGCACACATCTGAAAATTTATAAGGGCTTACTTAAAACTGCCTTCTGGAGATTTTTATGATATTCCAGCAATAAAGTTTTCCATTGGAGTTTGGGCACGTCCAGTTGTTCTCTGAGCACTGTGTGTCCAGGGGCATTTTTTAAAACCTTGATCCCATGCTCACATGAAATGCAGTGAAAATAATTTTAGTGATTTCGAGTGGCCATTTGCTGAAGATCAGGGGTTGGAGCAGAAGTGTGCTGCTGTGGCCTCAGTGAGGGCTCAGAGAAAAGATCAAGTTCTTGTGATTGAATCTACTACTACAGTGTATGTACAGTCCTGCTCCACCTGTGAGCACCAAAACATGCCAGGACATCCACAGCCACACTGGCTGCACCCCAAGAAACAACAAATTTTGGGGGTTCTTTGAATATACATTTTTATATGTAATATATCCCAACTATAGAAAAAGACATATAAAGATCAGAAAACTGTTATCTTTCACTTGCTAGACCCTGATTCAGAAAGGAGTTTTTTTAGGTTGGTTTGTTTTCCAGGCATGTAAAAGGTAAGAAAAGGTCTAAAATTAGTGAGATAAGGAATAATCAGCGAGAAATTCAACCCTGTGAACTGTTTCCTTGTGGAGAAAGAGGTAGTAAAGTTGTGAAAACTAGTGTGGTTTAAGTCCTTACACATACACTACTACATATAACTACAAATTTAATGAGTACTTGGAATTTCTCTGGTTGAGTTTTTTTTTAGTAAGTATATCTTAGGGAAAGAGAACCATCAGACAAGACTCTTTTTCTTTATGCCAATAATACAGTTTCTCACATGTGGAGCAGCAGTCACGCTGTTTGAGGATTTTTCCATAATAAATCAGACACAACAGAGCTGTTGTAACCACAGCTCCAGATTTCCCTGTGTTCTCCTAGGGAATCATTTCAAGGAAAAAAAAATATCTGGCATAACAAAAGGTCTTAATTTAAAATCCTGAGGAAAAAAAAACAAACAACCATACAGAAGTCCAAACTATTAGGAGAAGAAAAAAACCAAATTCATAAGGGAGAATCCTCAGGGTCAGAACCATCAGCTGCTTAAAGTGCACACAGACAGCTCTCTCCATCCATGGCCTGGAGGAAAAAACCTGGAGTAAAAGAGCTGTCATACAAAAGCACCATGTGTTGTGTTAATATTTCTGCTGTTTCTCCACTGGGCATTTTTAAGGTAGGTTTCTCAGTGGTTTGGGGATTAGACAGCCCATGCTGAGTTACTGCTCAGCACAGACTGAAGTCTGAGATGTGCAAAAGTGTCTGTTGATCGCGGTACCGCATGCTGGAGAGGAGGTCTCAGCACTGCCCTTTGCTGAGCTTCCTTCTGGTCTTTTGTTCTGTCTCTTGGCCAGTCTCCCTGTCGTACCTTAAGTGTGTCCTAGTGACATGGATGAGAGCTCATGGGCCATGCTGGGGATGCTTTCAGGTTTTACAGCACCGAGGGAAGACAAGCGAGTGCTGGAGGACAGACAGGTTGCAGTGCTCTTGCTGAAGATGGTTGTATAGGGAAAATAGTCAATCCACTCTAAAGCCAAAACCCACAGTGGCCCACAAATTATATTTCCCTGGTTTGCTCCCTGTTGTGGCCCCACTTGCCACACACTGTAAACTGAAAATAAACTGAAGAAAGTTACCACCAGCTGCCTTCTGCTCTCCCAGGAGGCAGCGGGTTCTTTATAGCACCAACGTATGCTCCTGCAGCTGCGTGGAGGGGCTGAGGAAGCCAACAGGACTGGGGCTCACATAAAAGCCCATCAGGGCCAGCACCTGCACTCACAGCTTGTTCTCCCTGGTAGCACTTCAATAACTGATTAAAAACACGTGAAACCCCCTCACCCCATCCCTGCGTTGGATATTGCACAACAATGTTTAAATACCGTACAAACAAGTCATCCCTACATGGAAAAGGCTGTCAGCAGAGAGGGTCCAGCTCAGCTTGGCATGTACCTGGGGCACTCCTGCCACACCTGACTGCAGCTTGGTGAGTCACAGAGGAAACGGGAGGCAAGAGGAGAGGAACGGAGACACTGTGGCAGGGAGCGTGTTTTTGGGTGATGAAGGCCATCCAGTGCCCTGTGAAGGCCAGAACCAGCCAGAACAGACTGCTTCAGGAGTGCCCACGGGAGCCTGGCTGTCCCACTTTCCAGCTGTTTGCTGCTCCAGCCATCCAGACGCCAGTATTCTGGGTGAGATGGAGAAAGGGAAAAGAGAGAGGAGTGAGCAGTGATGGAAGAGCAAGCACTGCCCTTGCCCTCTCCTGGAGCTGATGTTACTGCCAGCCAGGGGCAGCCTGCATTCACGTGCATTCACACCCTGAAAGCATCACCTACACAGGAAACTCTCCCACCAAGAGCACAATGAAATTCATGCAGTTTTCTCCATTTTTCACAGCTGGCCTCCAGTATGTTGGAGGCTGGAGGCAATAGAACTGTGCTGTGTGGAGTGAAGTGGAGTTTTGTGTTAAGTGGTTCAGTGTGCAGGGCACTGAACTCAGTGTCTAAAAGTCCCTTATTAACTCCCCTTATTAAGGACAATTTTGGGAAACACTCCTTGCAGAGAAAGGATCTCCTCAGCCATGGCTAGAGAGGCTGGAAAGAATTTTTGTTCTTTACTGGGATCTTCAAGTCTTGTGTGAATCTTCATGTTTTGCTGCTCTTCACTAATGGTTCTGGGTCACACACACCTTTGATCTCCCCATTTCTCTGCCCCCCTCTCACCACCACACTCAGTACCTACCTCTGCCCCCGGCTGGAGCCGCCCCAGAGTTCTGGTTTGTGCAGGAGGCAGTGGGACAGCAGGGCTGTTCCCCTGCCAGGCTCTGGATCTGGATGGGACAGGATCAGCTGGCAAAGCCCTTTGGGGTGGCCGGGGCCTTGAAATATCCTATGCAAGAAAGATATAGTTTTGAATTCTCAGCTTCAACAGATGCCCAGCCTATAAACAGAGATGATATTTGCATTCACTTTACATGGTGTGAACTTCTGGGTATGGCCAGAGGTCCTTTGGACCTCCTGGGCTTCTTTCTTATTTTGCAGCTCTGAGCAGGCTGGGTATGGAGCTGCCCACCCCAAGATCTCTGGTTTGGAGTTAACCCCAGGGTTATTACAATCTATGGCTGCATGATGAAAAACAGGAGAGGCCTTACAGAGTGGGCAGGAGTCCCCATCACAGCTGAGCCTTTAGCATCCCTGCCTGAGACAGAGGGCTGAGGGACACAGGTAAACCCATGCCTATGAAGACCTTCCTCTCCCTCTCTGACTCCAGAAGGGAGCACAGGCAGCTGCCATTATGGCATGTTGTATTACACAGGTGATTTAGTGGTTTTCAATGTGTAAGAGTTTTTCACCTGTCATTCATGAACACAGGATGGCCTTAGGCTGCTGGGCAGCTGCCTTCAGCCAAGGACAGCCAAACAGGGTAACACGGTTCCCAGCTTGCCCTGCTTCCCAGATGGAGCTGTGGCCAGAAAGCGCATCATATTCTGGCTATTAAAGAAGGATCCAGGGGTTTTAAGCCCTGAATTTTGCAAGTAATAGGAAAGCTATGTTCCAGAGCCTTTTAAATAGCCATATTACTGATGCATTTCAGGCTGGAAGCAAGTTTCACACAGGTACACTCACTGTATGTTTGCCCATACAATGCCTCTAAACACTGTATGTTTATAAACACGTGCCCACACAA